TCCAACCGCTAACATTCAACATAGCGTGAAGTACAGTAAGCTTATATACGATATGCATTCTGCTACATGTCACGATTCGCGCTGTGCTGAGTGCTGGGTGCTGCAAACGCGCTAGCAGCGGCTAAGTGAAAACAATAATAGCATGAGAACAAAACTCGCACCCCACAGTCCAATCTTTGTCCCCATTCCCAGACAACATCATCAACTCCACAGCGAAAGCTTGTCGATCGCCAATACTTTACTATATCCTTCTCTGAACGCACTGGATTCCAAAGCGCTCCTTAAGCCGAGGATAGCGCCGAGGATATTCCTGGACATTGGTTGTCGTTACGGTGATGTCCTTTCCAGAAGGCTATATAATTCACTGAGAAATTGGGGGAGAACGAACAGATTGAGAACACGTACGGATGGAGGGTAACGCACCTTCAGCTCGATAATGCGCCATTTGTAGATGAATCCCGTCCGTCGACGACGGTATGATACTCATGTTTGGTCATGGGAATTATTACCTTCGTCGACAGCATGATACTCCTGTTTGGTCATGGGAATTATTACCTTCGTCGACAGCATGATACTCTTGTTTGGTCATGGGAATCAAAAAGAACTCAACGAAAACCAGATTGTCCCAGCAGGGATTCGAACCCTGTCGTTTCGACAATATTTACATTCCGTACGGAATCCAATTCATATTTATCAAATGCTCTACCACTGAGCCACTGGGACTTGATTAGCACAAAGTTCACTCAAGGCAAGTATTGATAATCACCTTCATGAACATCCTTGTTTGCTCATGGGAATTGCCACCAATGGGCACCTTCGTGGAAGGTATGGTTCTCACCTTGTTCACTGATGGGAATTACTTGATTTGAGCTGCAATGTGTGCCCATGGGAACTGCCACCAATGGGCACCTTCGTGGAAGGTATGATTCTCACCTCGTTCACTGATGGGAATTACTTTATCTGAGTTGCAATGGGCGCCTAATTTCCAAAAGAAGTGAATAGGCGCTCAATTCACGGACCAAGTATCCACCGGAATTAGTGTATATAGTAGTCCACAGCTGCCCTCCAGTTCTCTCTAGCTATACCCCAGTTCTCCCTAGCTGTACCCTAGCTGTCCCCCAGCTGTACCCTAGCTGTACCCTAGCTGTCCCCCAGCTGTACCCTAGCTGTCCCCTAGCTGTCCCCTATAATTTGCCCCCTAGTCTGTCCCCTAGAAGTCTCTAATAACCCCTGACCCTTTCTGTTATTGCACGATCCATTCCAAAGTAGGAGGATGGCCACGGGATTGCAGCTCGATACTTCGTAAGTTAGGATGATGCGACGAAAGATTGAGGGAAGTTAGCCTGCCCACAGGCATCAACGTTCAACGGCGGTAGGGTCCTTATGCAACATCGCAGTCTCTATATCACCACTCACCTTAAGCAACACTACACAAGTTCCGCTTGAACGATCAATGAATTGAGCCTCTTCGAAGCCGAACTCCCTGCTAATGACGACCCTCAGCCAAATTTTTCGCATTTCGGACGGTGGATCGAAATAAAATGAGTTCACAGTATGGAGCAATGTGGATGAGCAGCTACTTATCATCGTGGTGTCGAATTCGAGTTGATTGTTCTGTATTGGATCTGCATTGCCTAGACACGAGCTGGGATGATCAAATAGGGAGAACCTGGATAAATCCTAATAGTGGTTTATGACGGAGCCTGGGCGCTAAAGACTTAGCTTAACTTCGGCAGAGTAGCATCCCCAGACAACTCTTCGACTACCAGTACCTTCGCCATACGGAACCCTCATATAAAAACATTAACGCTACAGGCTCGAATTTAGCTATGACTGCATGTCTTCTGGGCGGCAACTGGCCTTTGGAAATTGCACAAAAGTCTCAGCCACAATTGCGCTTGATTTTCAGCATGAGAACGCCGACAGTAACTGATCTCTGAAGACGAGCTGTATCTCTGATCGGGGCAGGCAGTGGGAGGGAAGGATCGGTGTTTTCAGATCGTATGTCTACAGGGTTTATTCATGTCCTACCACTACTTATGCTCTTCACGGTCTAGAAGGAAGACGACAAACATGGGGTCATCGAATAAGCTAGGTCGGATATCAAGTCGAGCTATTCTGTCAACGGAAATCCAAAGGTTGCCTGTCGACACACTGTTTTTCTATTCCATTCATGTTTTGCGACTTCCACAGAGTGGAGAATACTACAACATACCCGTAAGGTTCACACTAAGGCTGTTCGTTGATCTAATAAAATAGCACAGTGTCTCTTCCTCTGTCATTCTCTTCATCTTAGTATTTTGTGCCTCAACGAAGAATACTGCTGGCGCAAAACATTGAACCCTTGCTGAGGTCGAAGTTCAGTCTACTCAGTCATCACCACCGCTCTCTTCCCTCGCCGAGGACGTACCACATGCACGAACTGTTCGATTTCCCCGTGTTCTGTATCTATTGAATACTCGCAAAGCAGAGAGTACACTATTTGGTGGTGGGGAACGGAGCGCAAAACTCACTCGTCAATTCAAGGAGACCATGGTTGTTGAATAAGTTGAGCCCTTCATATTTGGATAGGTGTGGTAGTGTATTGACCGTTATATCCTGAGTTCTTGCCTACCTGACCGGGCTCTCAATATCCTCTCTTCTTTATGAAAAACGAAGATGTGGTCAGGCAATTTGTAGCCAAGGTACTGCTGGAGTTGCGGAGCTTGTGCTGGGAGAAGAGGTTCCGTTGACTATCGTGACGCTCAAGGTATCTATTGTAATCTACCTTCAATTAAATCTCCACTCAACTCCTCCTTCGATAGCTTGTCAATTGCGACTTGGCCAATTCCCTTACGAAGCTATTGACCATCGCCCCTGCTGATAAGCAGCCGCATCTGAACAATGGGGTATTCTCCCTCTTCAGCTGTTCTTGACATCACGAATCGTATACCTGGCTCACAGAAAAGCCTGCATCAATCAAAGAAACTATCACCGTCGTCGACGGACGGGATTCATCTACAAATGGCGCATTATCGAGCTGAAGGTGCGTTACCCTCCATCCGTACGTGTTCTCAATCTGTTCGTTCTCCCCCAATTTCTCAGTGAATTATATAGCCTTCTGGAAAGGACATCACCGTAACGACAACCGATGTCCAGGAATATCCTCGGCGCTATCCTCGGCTTAAGGAGCGCTTTGGAATCCAGTGCGTTCAGAGAAGGATATAGTAAAGTATTGGCGATCGACAAGCTTTCGCTGTGGAGTTGATGATGTTGTCTGGGAATGGGGACAAAGATTGGACTGTGGGGTGCGAGTTTTGTTCTCATGCTATTATTGTTTTCACTTAGCCGCTGCTAGCGCGTTTGCAGCACCCAGCACTCAGCACAGCGCGAATCGTGACATGTAGCAGAATGCATATCGTATATAAGCTTACTGTACTTCACGCTATGTTGAATGTTAGCGGTTGGAGAATAGTGATCTTGGCTGAAAGCACATATAGTAGAACTCCAGGAACGTCTAAGAACACGTCCTTGTTCAGAAGTCCATTCAGAAGTCAGAGCAACGCCACCGGCGTCTATTGTAACATATTCCCCTTCACCGTAACTCTTTGTTTCTTCAATCTACTCCAGCTCTCTTCGTTTAGAACAATACCATCTATCTCAAGCAAATTTCGAGTTATCTATATCGGAGATACGACTGGTCACATTGGTGAATAAGGAGTTTCAGTTGTTGCGGTACACCCAAAGCTTATCTGAACGTCCTTCGCCCTTTGACCCTGTCATTTACCTTCTAGATGTGTCTAAATCTTATGAAACTCGTTGCGGGAATCTCTCAGTATGAGATCAAGATTTGGTGCATTGTGGCTGAGACTTTTGTGCAATTTCCAAAGGCCAGTTGCCGCCCAGAAGACATGCAGTCATAGCTAAATCCGAGCCTGTAGCGTCAATGTTTTTATATGAGGGTTCCGTATGGCGAAGGTACTGGTAGTCGAAGAGTTGTCTGGGGATGCTACTCTGCCGAAGTTAAGCTAAGTCTTTAGCGCCCAGGCTCCGTCATCAACCACTATTAGGATTTATCCAGGTTCTCCCTATTTGATCATCCCAGCTCGTGTCTAGGCAATGTAGATCCAATACAGAACAATCAACTCGAATTCGACACCACGATGATAAGTAGCTGCTCATCCACATTGCTCCATACTGTGAACTCATTTTATTTCGATCCACTGTCCGAAATATGAAAAATTTGGCCGAGGGTCATTAGCAGGGAGTTCGGTTTCGAAGACGCTCAATTCACCGATCGCTCAAACAGATTGTGTGTAGTGTTGCTTAAAGTGAGTGGTGCTATAGAGACTGTCGCAGGTTATTCAAAATCTGATGCTGCACAAGGACTATAATGCCATCGAACGCTGGTGTGGACGCCTGTTGCCAATGGAAGCTAATTTCCTCAAATTTTCGTCACCTCATCCTAACTTATGATGTACTTCCTCTAGCACCTTCTCTGGGTTTACTTATCGACTTGCTTAAGGTGTAGGAACCTCCTGATGCCCGTTTTGCCGCGTAGCTGACATCGCTGCCAGTGTTACATTGCCTCAGCCCGCGTCCGATATCGAAATAGATGGTATCTGACATAGTGCAGCCCTTCATGCATCAGGGTTTTACCGGAATGAACTATCTGGGACTCAGCATGATTTCCTCAGTTGGCGATGCAGGTTGAACTGTCGAAGCTTTTGAATGCAAATCTGGCATCAAACTACAGGAGCTATATACTGCAGTTTTCGGGTCGCTGGTTCCACGAAACCCTATGCGACTACCTGAATCCTACCCTACCTTCCTTACGGATATGCTGGGGTTGTATAAAACCAGTAGTGGGATGATTAGTGAAGTTATCGCGAAGGAAGATAAGCATTTGGCTTTGATATCTGTCAATACTCACGCTATACATTGTTTGAACTGAAGCAATTAATTGAACGAAATTGTATCACGCGTGAATGCAGCCCGAAGTATAACCTGAGTCAATTGAGTCAATCAGATGAGGTCGAATCTCTACTCTTCTTCAATGAATTATCATCTTTTGACTGTCGCTTCCGCTTCTGACCCCAGACCCCTTTGCTACCTCCTGGAACTAGTAAATGATCAGCCCCTTGTTTACTCCTCTTCTTTTCCTCCCTCCTGTTCTGTTTTTCTACCTCCTTCGTCTTCTTGCTTTGTGTCCCAGCGCCCCCATCCTCTATTGCCGTTTCTATATCAGTAAATAGTGGGGACTGAACGCCATCTTCAATCTCCGTCTCTACATCAGTATATGGGGACTGCACGTCATCTTCGATCTCCCTGCCTTTTCCCTTTTCTGACGTGACAATGGTGTCCAACGGGACATCCTGTAGTGGAATATCTTCGCCCTGGATATCAGAGGGAGGAGCAGGAGCAGAAAACACGCCCGGGGCAAAGAATGGCATCTTACTAAACTGTGGAGGGGGCCGACCAATTGAGCTGAGAATTGAGTGGCCAACTTTCCCTCGGAATGTGATCCATTCTTCTGGTTGATCACGCCTGAAGTGAATGATAGCGTTTTCGATTTCCGATACCCTTACTTCCCGATTAGGATCGATATTCCAGCCGCAGGCTTGAAATGAACCCTTGCGCCATTCATCGACTGCACAGTTAACCTATGATGCAGGTATTCTTTAGTCGGCAGATGTTAGCAATAATATTGAGCTAACTCACAAGGTATACCCCATGTGCTACGAACTTCGGGTCAACTTCCACTTCTAAAGGCTGCGCTGCCCCGCCTTGGAAAATATAGCTGCAGGCTAGTGCAGCACAAACTGTCAAAAGAGCTTCATCGCCTAGAGTTTTCCACTGTAAAGGTGTGTTCCCCGAAGATAGCTGTAGTCATGATCAGATTTAGCGTATCGCTTCCAGCACATATTTTGTAATACTCACTCGAACATCTGGGCCCCAAAGGAAGGGCCTCAGTCTATTTAGCTTCTTAAAGCTGCTTTCTATAGCATCAGTATTTCCGGAAACTATATTGTAGCCCGCTGGCGACATAACGAATTCTCGAGCCGTATTCATCGCATGTTCACCATTTCTTGTCCAAGCATCAGAAATATCAATAGCTGTTGGAACAACATTTCTTCCACCATTGCGAATGATTTGATCTAGCCGCTGGAGAGCCATGCTGACACGTATCTGGGAAAAGAATTCGGAGGTGTTGAAACCGGTCCCGGTCATGTAGATGGTGCGGGCATAGAAATTTCTAGAAACTCTACCTGAATGTTGACCCTGCCTATCAACTGGCGACATCAGGGTAGAATCGTTCAGCCGCTCACGGGCTTCACCAAGTTCAGGATACCAGTGCCGGATTACTCCAGTTGTTACATGTCGAAGTGAATTGGCATCGAGCCTCAGAAGTGTCCCCTTCAAGCAGATATTGACATCTGTAGCTGTCCACTGATAGGTGTTTGGAATCGCATTTAATCTACCTTTGGTGAGAATCACAAAAATATAGTGTTTGAAATCTTCGACAGGTCCAGCATGGCGTATCACAGGAGACTCGAGGAGATGTATGACCACCTTACGAAGAACGCCAAGATATAGAATCAGGTACCATGCCATATCGGGTGGGAGTGCAAAGAAGCACTCATACTGCTTCACACTGTCCTGCTTGGCAATTGGGTTGCAGATTAAAACGTGAGGCTGGTATATTTTTAATGATCGAAGAGTGGTGCCCACAGTGGCGTAGGTGAGAGCAGCAATTTGCTCTGCTCGGGGGCATACCCCCATCGTTGGTATAATTCCACCAGCAAGGTACTTCTGGAATTCGGCCAGATCTTCTATCCATGACCAGACCCTATCGGAAGAAAGCTGCCCACGTCGTGCAAGTGTTCGATCTGGCCCTTTAGACTGTTCTAGTGCATTTGTAAGCGTCGCAATCAGACCGTCAAAGTACGGGGCATTTCTAGGCTGGTCAAAGATTGATACTGGGCTAGCTGGATCGTCCACCAGGTCTGTCGTTCTGAAATTTTCTTGAAAGTATGAAGCAAGCGATGCTGGGATCAAACGTGCGAAGCTCGTCCGCAACCCCTTTAGCTGCAATTCATGGTTTTGGGGAAAGATTGCGAGGTCGCAATGTATTTCGGATGTCGGTGTAGGAATAAAAGTGAATCCGAGGTTGCTTGCATCAGGACGAAAACTTTTTTTGCCTTTAGCAGATCGCGAATATCCATCAGCGCGGGCCCAAAGGCTAATCAAAACACGGAAGGTGTTCTTCTTGGTAGAATCCTTGGAAACATACTCCCGAAGGGCCTTATCCAGTCGCCTGAATGATTTGGTGCAAGTTTTAGAATATCAATGACAATTTCAGGTGGCAAATAAGGCACATACTCTCCAAGGGTAACTTGCTCAGGAGTGAATTTTGTAATTTCCACTAAATCTTCTAGATCAAAATCATTCTCGAGGTCTAAGGAGTCAGAATCAGTACTTGAGGAGTCGGAATCGGAATCATCTATATGATCCAGTTCTGCATCGGAAATTGCAGCATCCTCAGGGCTAGGGAGGTGATATTGCTCCTCCCATCCCCCAGCGACCATTGCTTGGAGAACAGTCGCAGAGATTAGCCGAGCATAGTGTGATAGCTTCCTGGTGAAGACTACGGCTTCGTATATGCACTGACCATCTTCGCCAGCCTTTGTATCCTCGCGTATGGTGAGGCAAAGAAGGATGTATTCCAGCAGTGTCAGCTTGTCTGAATCCAGCGGGTCGTGGGTACGCACAAAGCAAACCAGAATTGCATGGAGCAAAGGGGCTAGTTCTGATACTGAAGGCTCGGAATCTTTCTGGGACTCCAGATAGAGACGTTTAACTGCTTCGAGAAGCTCCATTCCTAGCGAAATACGGAGGAGAGCAGGAAGCTTCTTCTTCCTCTTCATCTCAAAATATCTCAGCAGGAAACAGATGATATTGGTCCCTGCGCCTCCGTACTTAGCATATGTATCAGATCTACGGAAGCCACCCTTATAGTTCAGGCCAGAGCTACGAAATCAGGATGAGTCAGCGGACAAGGATCAGCAAAGACCACTATCATAAACTTACTATTTTTTCAGCATTTTTGAAAAGCCAAAAGTAGAGGGTACCTTTGCAGCAGCCTCCATGAGGTACAATTTGAAAAATAAGTGACACAACGAAAGCATCTTCTCCAGCTTGCTCTCGCGTGTTCCCTCAGCATAGCTTTTGATGGCTACTGAAGGCAAACGGACAAGGTCGAACAGTATACCAGGGGCAAGTCCTTCACCAAGCAACTGCTGCTCTATGGGGAGCAGTGGACGAAAGTTGATTTCAGCAAGAAACCTCCACCAGGTATCTGGATAATACAGCGGCCGTTGAAGCGGCTCAAGCTTTGGCTTGTAGGTAGTCTGTGTAGGAACTGGATCATCCGTGTCTAAAGCTGGATCATAAGCATCCACAAAGCGGACAGCATACCGCATATTGGCCGGTTCTTTGGATAAAGACTGGGTCCATTGTTGCTCAAGTGCATCTCTCCGAGATCTCGATTCATCGGATAAGGGGCATTGCTTGTCGCCACTTCGGAGGTGCTTGTTTATACTAGTACCCGTCGTGAAATACAAAGAACAGAAAGGGCAGCAAGCGGTCTTTTTTGGATCAGGAAGATAGGGAATCTTTTTAATGAGCCGAATGTCGACAGAACCGCGAAAAATCGAGTCAAAATTGGTGAGCAGTGTCGGGAATGCAGTATCGATATGCGCCAGAAGGTCCTCGACTATTTGAACCTTATTTTCCCTCCTCTTAATCACCCATATGCCTAAAAGCCTCGACTCAAGTTCTGCCCTGCCAAACATGCGATGTTCTTTCAGGTACACAAAGCCACCCAGGACATGGACATAGACAAGGTTGAGGTAACAAGCGAGGGCACAGGAGCTATCACTGTAGCGATTGGGCTCACCCTCTGCTTGATGTGAGCAGCTGAATGCACCAGCCGTGGTCTGGTATGTGAAGCGACCATCTACCTCGTTTTGGAAAAAATGTATCCCTGCAGTCTTCAGAGGAGCAGGAGGTTCCCCCGTATATCTTGACTTGAGAATGCAGGGGGCAGGAAGTTGCGGGGCAGGACGTCGCGGGCCAGAACGTTGAGAGGCAGAACGTTGGGAGGCAGAACGTTGGGAGGCAGAACGTTGGGAGGCAGAACGTTGGGAGGCAGAACGTTGAGTGACGGGGTTGGGTGGAATGTATCCTGGGAGATAGGGGTTGATTATACTGTCTCGGAAGGGATTTTGTACAGTTTGATCATTGGCTCCGTTGCTGTCATCGTAGGCACTGTTGTTGCCATCGTAGGCACGGCGGCTGCCACCGTAAGCACCGTCGCTGCCATCGTAAGCACCGCCATCATAGACGCTATCATCATCCTGGTCGTCTTCAGAGCCACCATTGTAAGCATCATCCTGATAGCTCTCATTCTGCACTCCTGGAGGATTTGGCGCAGACGATAATCTATACTACCGTGAGAAGGAGAAGACAGGCAAGTAAAGGCTAATTTACCTTTTACTCCGGCGACGTGTAGGGGAACGATGACCACCCATCGAAATCCTGGCTCGTGATATCGGGAAATGTGCACAGTAGTGAGAATTTTGATAGTAGGAGAGAGGATGAGGGGAAGAAGGGAAGGGATGGCCACATCTGTTTTTTGATCGGCATACTTGACAACGTTGGTCTATACATACATACATACTTAGCTGGGACCTATGTAATGTAAGAGCACGGTACATAGGCTTCAAGAATGACCGAGTGAAAGTGTACAACTGGCTGCTGACTCTGGTGCTGCAGCGGTGCAATCCCTAGCTATTGAGGAGTGGTAAGCAGCATGGTAGATGTGCCAAGAGATATTGCGAGCCTACCATGCTATTAGAGTCATCCAATATAGCCCCAAATTCTTTCAATGAAGATGATCTAATCTAAAGAAGTCGAATATAGCTCAGTTGAAGGCTATAATCACCTCGTTCCATAGAGAGAAATACCTATAAGAACTCCATGGGTGCCGTCGAAATAATATCGAGAGCATTAGATGTCTATTAGATGCAATTAGTAGCATGTCCCAGCATAAAAATCGTGTATTGCTCACCTTCGCGGAGCTCATGCCGGTTGTAATCCCCTGCAACCTACCAGGGTAGATGTTCTAGAGCTCCTTCTTCTCGGAGGATGTCGGTGGGGGGTAGTACAATACGGCTGCCTCTGAGCCTCATCGAGTTGAATCAGGCGACTTGGAATCTGGAGGCAGTAAAAATGTCAACAGTTCTGAGAATCCGAGACAGGTGAATGACAGAGGCGCTGAGATTGAGTAGGCTCTCCGCGAAACTGACCACGATATTGGTCTGGCTGTATCGGGGACAGGGTAGAATGCAACTATGCTGTGAGTGAAGATGACATCATTCATAGAATTCAAATTGGTGATACTGGCGCCAGCTAATCTAGATGCGAGGAGGACAAAGGTGAAAGTCCACCTGGTTCACCCTGCTTGCAACTGGTTTACATGGGAGACATGTTATCCTGGGATCCCTCTCCCTTTATCCACCATTCAAAACACCGCCTTTTCCACAATCACTGCCTCAATCCTCCCAACAAACCGGTACCCCCCCGCTGCTTTTCACCTCTATCCTCTTCCCCATAAGTATTCCTGTTCGCTTCCGGGATTAATGGTATGGTCTGCAAAGCGCCTATTGGCGCTGTCCCTATCTGGTATACTGTTTCATCTCCCCACCCCTGATCTGTAATGCTCGCCGACCTCCAAATCCTACTCCGGATCTTCTTATCGTTGATGTGGATCCAAGATGGATAATTGCAGAAGGAACTGCATATAACCAGGTCAGGATAGATAGAACACGTAAAAGTAATGTAAAAACTCACCATTCTTGAAGCATGATGATAAGCACGATAGGTTATGAGCAAAAAGGCGTAGGTTGGGAATAGGAAAAGTAGGGCGCTGGGAACTCGAGGGTTCAGAGGGGGAGGATATAGATGTTGCAATATTTGGAAGAATGGAGTGTTCTCTTCGATTTTGCCCTGCCCCGACAACTTCCTCATCTTCGAACTCGAGGTCTTCATCCTCTAAGCTCAACCGTTACCTTTCCACCTCCATTCGGCCATCGTTGTCTAGCTGTAGAGCTAGTTGGAGATCGAATTGGTGGAATTTGAGGAATCGGGTCGCCATGGTATACTAGGAGTAGATGCTAGGTTGAGTGAGTAAGCGCCCAATCGGAATCAGCAGAAGGATATAACAAAGTTTGATGCACTGAGCAGGTTAAGAAAGGTCCGTTCGCACGTCTGGCCTGTGGAGGGGCTTGACAGCATGGCCGAAGCCTTCAAAAACATGTGATACACGAAGAACAGCCGGGATTCACCGTAGGAAGTCTCTGCCAAACTCCTGGCCTGTGGAGAGGTTTGGAGAGGCGATATTCCTTCCGAGAATCCCTAAAAAGAGAACAAGAGGGCCCATACCTGATGAGTTTTTGCTGGCGGATTTCATCTGATATTGAGAGACTAAGGGGTAGAAGGAGAGCAAGAGGCGTTCTATAAACGCAGTCACATGAATTAACGCGCGCCTAATTTCTCCTCTAAAATTGTCTTCAGTGGATACGGTCAATGTAATCCGGTCATTGAATCAATGTTTCGACTGTGTGGTAAAGTACCGCATTAGATAACTCCATAGTTTTTCATGTAAGTATGGGCCTTGATACAAGTCACGCAGGCCTTGAATCACCTTGCCAGAATATCGCCAGAGTTCAACATTTCAGCAGTCATTCCTCGAAGTAAGGGCCAGTGCTCAACGGGTCGTCCAGTCCCAATGTTGGATCATTTCCTTCAGTTATCGTAAGGAAGCGCTACTAAAGTTAATGAAGTTCACTGACGACAGACAACACTCGCATCTATTGCTTTCGGTCGATCCTTGCGAACACAACACATCCACACATCTCGCACATGTAGTTTCTTCCTTTGAGCGTTTCGTACAAGTCCAACACCGCGGGCACCTGACTAAGGAAGCAGGCCGAACGCGTATTCCCAGCACGTCTAGCTCTCCATAAAACCGAAATCTTCCCCAAGGTCCAGTGACTCTGTGTATACCCACGCCGAGGACTGTGAACCACTTCCGAGGGAGCCTTCGTCGAACAGACATGCATCCGGAGTGATGAAGAGCGTTTTTGTTTTGAGTATTTGTTCTGAAAGAAACGTTCTTCAAGCGATCAAAACAGAGGTGAAGGTATGGAGGATACCTTCTCGTTTCAGTAGTTCCACAACAGGATAATTCCCTCCCTTTTTTGGCAGCAGGATGTCTACCCCCGCTTCTAGGGAGCTTTTAACTCTTCTATTCACCAGAAGTGGGATCAACCAATCGTTAGAGAGTGCACAAGTTCAAGCGGAATGCTGCGTACTTATGCCCCCTTGCTTCCTCTAATAAGCCCAGAACCGCCTTCCTGATCTTCAAAAGATAACTCATATCCTTCGCTGCTGCGTAATCTTCCCATTCCAGATCCTACAAGCATGATAACATAAGGTGCAATTCCAAACAGGGAAGGACGAAGGACTCACTGGTGGTTTCCCACCTTTCTCAAAGAAAGATTTCGATTTCGGATGAAGATTCTGATCACGAGCCAGATGCTGATGTATTTCCTCAGCCAAATGAGGAAGGATTGGCGCCAAAATTGAAGTCGTCGTATCCAGAATCTGCCCGGTATTATCAATGAGAAACAAGGGTGAATTTCCTCGAGTAATATATGAAGACGACTCACAGTTCCTCCCAGAACGACCATCAAAGGGCTTACGATATTTCCTAGTGACTTGCTCATCTCCGCTGGGATACTCGGTAGTCGTTCCTGAAGCAGACCCCACCGCGGTCAAGAGTTGACTTTGGAACCAACCCCGGTGCTGGTCAGAGCCTTCCAAGCACACGTCCGCACAGAAAGAACGAGAGCAGATTAGTTGGAGAAGAAAAAAAGAAATGTCAACAGATCAGTGAGGCTCCCTGACAGCGTTCCAGCTTAGAGCGATACATACCTAGCCAGTCCGCCCAACCGGACATATATACCCCTTTGGCGCTGAAACCGATATTGAGCCACTTTGGAGTAGGAAGAGTTTGGCGTGGAGGTGTAGCACAGGAATTAGCCGTGGAAGTGCCTCAGAGCAACGCCACCGGCGTCTATTGTAACATATTCCCCTTCACCGTAACTCTTTGTTTCTTCAATCTACTCCAGCTCTCTTCGTTTAGAACAATACCATCTATCTCAAGCAAATTTCGAGTTATCTATATCGGAGATACGACTGGTCACATTGGTGAATAAGGAGTTTCAGTTGTTGCGGTACACCCAAAGCTTATCTGAACGTCCTTCGCCCTTTGACCCTGTCATTTACCTTCTAGATGTGTCTAAATCTTATGAAACTCGTTGCGGGAATCTCTCAGTATGAGATCAAGATTTGGTGCGACCTCCTTCCATGTTTGTTTTCAGCTGTGACTAACCACACTGAAAGCTCATAGCACCCTCGTTAGACGAGCATGCGGTCCAACTTTCGCGTGCTCAGTTCATTCCCTACGTTCCACGCACATGAACTTCCTGCCCAACCCATACCTCATGCTCATCTGCGTCCGCTCTGCACTACGCGGTTCCACAGCTGTGCCGTGCTCGCGTCACAAAGGTGTCTGAAAGGTCAACGGATGGACTCGTCTGGGCCCTGGATGCTGAAGGATCGTAGTTCGGGATGACTGGACGTGTCGAATACAGTTGTCAGGCGACCTTTGTTCGTTTTGTGAACTTCCCATTGCGCCGTATCCTCCATGCTCGTCACATATGTGTAGGTGTTTTCGGAGGTGTTTCGAATCTCGCTTTCTGAGTTCTTCTGATAGCCTTTTCTCTGGCTCATGCAGGCTTAAGCTGGCCACTCTAGACCGACTGGACGAATCATGTAAATGTAGGAAGGAAAACGAGTTCTTGCTCATCTTAGATGAAAGAACGGATGACGCAGGAATATTGAGTATGGGCTGGGACGACGATGACCGTGGCACTCTTACAACATCCCCGAGGTTCAAGGTGAGTCTCAGTATATACGACATCTATTTTCGGCGGTTACTCACCCTTTTCTGATGTCCAGTCCCTTTCTTTTCGTCCATTGGGACCCGCTGGCTCTTCCTCACAACTTATTGAACCTGCTGACCACACTCCATGAACGAAATATCCTCCTGAAATTCACGTACAGCCAGGAGCATCTCCTCAAGTCGTCGCACCTTCAATTTGTCCCACATCGCTTCGAGAATTCCTTAATGGACGATAATCTCCCACAACCCACCCTCTTATTAAGCATCCCCTGTTTGCGTGTACATTCAGCGGTTCATGCCAGGTTCATGCTTCACTCCTCGCATGGTTTCCGCATATCACGCTGGCGCCATAATCCACCATGCCTGCAGCGAACAATTAGCCGCCTTCTCCGAACGCTGATTCAGAATCCAGCGCTGGACACGCTCGAAACTGCATATGGTGGATGTTGAGTTCTATGAGCAGAGGAGAGAGAGATGGTGGTCGTGTTCAATTTTAGTAAGCAGCAAATCTACCCCTGGCAATTTTCGCTATGTTCATTTCTCTTCCCTGTTTACGCAGTTCCACCTACTGAATATCGACGGAGTTCAGTCTCGATGCTCCAGCCCCGTTTGACGTATTTCATATACCCCCACGTTCCTCTCTTCTAGGCGGACTCCGCTGCATGAATTTTCCCACGCAAGGGAGAAATCCCGCTGCGCTCGCCTCAATCATACCACCCTCCCTGAAGCCTGCCACTACAGATCTTTTGCTGGAGGAAAGGTGTTACCACGAGAAAGTTCACTGGAGCCGTTTCAATTTCGCTGTTATGTGTCACGTTCGTATCCTCCAAATTATGTGAATTTTTTTTGTTGATTTTCATGAAAATTTCCAGTGCAGATTTCCATGCTCAATGTGAAGCCTCGCCTTCATTCACCTCTTCTCTCTGTGTGTACCATTGCTTTACGCTCGCCATACATTGCCCGATACCACCAGCTACGTACAGAGCAGTGGAACGCTGGACGGCGTCTGAGAAACTGCCATATCCAAACCAAATCGTCGCCGTCGCCGCACGCGAAGTAGCAATGCCTGATATCGATTTAGTCTATATTCATCCAGTGCCTTCGGTATGCAATCAGGCGTCGCGAGGCCTTGAGCTGGATGAGAGGGGATAGGTTATTTGCTGGATCCAATGGTATTTTCACTGCCCCGTCTTCTCAGGGTATAATGCTGAATTTTCCCAACCCCAGCATCCCTTCATGTTTCGTCTGCCGTCACCTATCCTCGCCGCAATCCCCTCTATTTCATGCCCTCCAGAACTCTCTACTTCGGACCAGTCAGCCGTTCGGGAGACGGGGTTTTAGGCTGGTGGGAGCTGGGCAGGAAGGAAGAGAGGCACAGGACTGCCAGTGCAGGGTTCTGTAATCACCATCAGCTGGCAGGAAAAGCGGCTGGAGACATTTTATAAGAGTGGCTAGCCAGTATCCCCAGGAGTTCCGAGTCCTGAGTTCTGTCGTGTCATCTCCCAGTAATTTCCCAGCAACCAGGGATAGTATATAATTCCTGGCAATATTCCCAGGATCTGCACTATTAGAGATCCTGAAAACCCGATTTTTAAAAATTGCCCGGGGTTTCGTGCAGCAGTGTAGTCCTGATTTGTGGGTATATAATGTCACAGGGTGAAGTCGTTATTGTCTAGTGGTAAAGCTCCCTGGCTGTGTTCAACGCCAGTCCTGATTACTGCATGACACTCTAGGGCCCCAGGGTTCGATTCCCGGGTGCACCCCGCTAGCACCACCATGCATGTAAGTAAGAGATAGCCTGTATGTAGCACCATGTACCCCCGCATATCTCCTGCAGCCGCAGGTTCCCAGCTGCAGCTACCCCTGGTCCCCTAGCACTATGTAGTTATGCATGTATCGCCCCACCACCCATTCCAGTGGTGCCGAATTTCTTTTTCAGCCCACTGTTTAGGAAACATGTCCGGTGTACCGAACCTGCATCATGCATCACATGGTCACATGCCCTGTATAAGATGCGCTAAAGCCGGCCCTGAAGCTGCTGCCTGCTGCTACATCTCACCGTCAAGGCAGCTGCTAGCCCATGAGGAACTTCGCCTGCCAGCCCTGGCTCTGGATTCTGGTGTCATTCATGACCAAAGGTATGCTGCCCTGTGCCTTTATTCTCCACCAGCTGTTATTTCTCGTTATTTTTTGTTTATGATTTGCTGCTCCCCGAGTCATGCTGGTATTCATGCCTGGGCGCCGCCTGACTCGGAGAGCTGGAGGCTCTGGAAAGACGGCCGGTATTCATGCCTGGGCGCTAGCTGGACTACCCAGAGCCCCCGTTTAGTAGTCTACCTGTTCGCTTCTTAACCCATGCCTCATTTACCCGCCGCTTCATTCGTTTTGCTAAACGCCCTGGTAGCTGCAGCCCCGACTGGATCTAGAACGGTATGTTACCCTATTCTGAGCCTGGATACACCTGTGTAGCCACTCGTTTGGGCAGACTCGCTCAGGTAAAACCTTTGCCGACTGGACTGGACTCGCAATTAGGGCCGCCGATGGCTTTAACCTATTGGACACAATCCGAGCTGCCGAGCTGGCCCGGGATGGTATTCAGCCCGACTTCGTGGACTCCCCTCATCCCCCTCCTCCCTTCAGCCCCCCCGTTTCCCCACCCGCTAGTCCCTCGTCTACCCCCCCCCAGCCCCCCCATGCCCACTCTAGCCGAAGCCCCCGGCCCAACTCCCAGCATGCCACAGCCTGTAGCTCTGCTGGACTCGGATCCTATCCCCCCCCACCGGGGCCCATCAGGGTCATCAGGCAAGCGGAAGGCGCCCTCTGTAAATGCCCCTAGCGCTAGGGCCCGAAAGCGTCCACGGATTCCGCAACCGCCACCTGTTTCGCCAGTTCGAGAGGTGGCTAAACCTCCTCCAAATCAATCTCGACAGCATGCAAGGCGGAGGGCTAGAAGGGAGCGAGCCAAAGGTGGAGCCTTCGCGTATCGGCCGAAGCTCAGTCATGCCCAGAATGTCAGCTCAATCCATGCCGACCTTGACGTCCATGATATGCTAGGCAGCACCTCCGGGTACCTCGGCAGCGAGCGAGTTGATCCCAGCCGTCGTGAGAGCACCTGGTCGCTGGACCAGATGGTAGGCGAAGGCTCCACCCATGGATTCAGGCTTATCAGGGTCGACCCCAGTAATCCGTGCGTATCATAGTGCATCCTAGCCTGATTTTCTGACCTGTGGCGCTATTAACAGTCGCCCCATGCCCCTTGTTAATGACGACGACCTCGTGTATGGGGTTGTCGTTCCTCCTCCAAAGGGCGCTGATGGAAAGGTGGACCCCTCCTTCATGGAGGCTGCGGGGCTGGCTGCAAAGCAGCTTGATGAAGTTAGGCCTGACCTCTTTAAATCAGGTAGGAAAAACCTCACGGATGAGGATCATCGCCGTGGTCAATTTCCTGTGAAGGCTGTAGGCATCTCTTTTGGAGGCGGTCAAGAGGTAGGGTGCTGTTGCTGCATTTCATACCGCTACTGCCTGCTCACCACACCCTTTAGCGTCCCAAGCGAATATATCATGCGGCACCTGTTTTGAATACCATTAACACCCTCCTCGGTGCTCTATGCTTCATCAGGCTTGCCCAGCATGCGTCTAGTGCATTCAGGAGCTGGGCCCCCTGTCTTTACGAATATTATGCCCAGGCGATGAGGACTTTGAAGGAGAGGGACCCCTCTCTCCAGTTCAATTTTTTTGGTAGCATCTGGGCCTGCTGTACCTTCAACTTTGGCCCTCGTACCGTCACTGTTGAGCACCTAGATCACCTGAACTACCTGTTTGGATGGTGTGGTATAACTGCTCTGGGAGAATTCGACTACTCTAAAGGGGGGCATTTAATCCTCTGGGACCTGCAGGCCGTAATTGAATTTCCCCCCGGTTGGACTATTTTAATTCCATCTGCATATCTTCGCCACTCCAACACAGACATCGGGGATGGTGAAACTCGGTTTTCATTTACTCAATATACTGCTGGAGGACTATTCCGCTATCTAGACGATGATGGACATGTTCGCAGAAAGATGTCACCCAAAGAGAAGAAGGAAGCTGAAGCCAGGCAGAAAAGTCGTATATCTACGGGCCTAAATTTATATTCTACCCTACAGCAGCTCAGAAGCTCGAGTATATAACGGTAATAGTTTGCCAGTAATATATCATAGTTGTTCATAATTGTGCTACGTTTGTCTCGGCTGGAAGGAGCACTAGCTGCACCTCGGATAGATGAAGTCCCTGATACAGGAATGGTGTTTCACCTGCTGGTGGAGCTCAAGGGGGTTTCGGAGGAAGAGGAGGGAGAAGGTCATGATGATGCTGCCGAAGAAGCAGGTAACAGTCCCGCTTATCAGATTTTCGCCGCTTCACAGCGGTCTTTTCCATCAGAGCAGTCCCCCTCCCCCTTTGCCTCTACTGCTGATGCTTCACGTTGTTGTTGCCCATGCTGTCCCTGCCCTTCGAACCACTCCCCTGCCCTCGACCTCCGCCCCGGCACATGTCAGCACCGTACACTAAGCTCCCCAAAAATCCACACTCGCGATCCCTCTATGCTGTGCGAGTTTAGCAGGAGGTACATTGCTGCCCGTCCTTGAACTAGGACTTCGTCGTCCCTGTTCGAGAAGTTCTTGAAGGAGATGTAGGGGTACGTATGATTGCTGGGGTGGAATCTGTGGAGGGAGTACTAGGCATATGAGCCCCGCTTATCGCTCGTCCCTGTACGCTACACACCGCTGGCATCGCAGGAGTGGAAGAAGAAAAGGGAGGGGATGGGGGGGAGGCGCATTATTGGTCACTGAATCTTGATATACAGGAAACACTGGATACCCTGCCCAGTAAGTACGCGACTAACATACAAATCACATCTAGTCCCAAGTAGATCATGAACCCTTCCCCCTTCTGAATCAGTCCCGCTTCCATCCACACCGTAGTCCTTGAGCGCGTCTCCCGTAATTGTCACTAGGGGCTGGAGGTACGGTAATGTTGACCAAAGACAATCATAGACGGCTACCTGAGCTCGCTGAAGCTGGCGCGTTCATGAAGCCCAGCGCCGTTCACGAGGATTGTGAAGCGACCAGATGTTCAGGTCACCGACCTACATTAATAATAGGAAAAGAACAGCATATTTACCAGGAAATCAATCATAAGATGTCCGGCACATACCTGGGCGTCTTCCACTGCTACGATACGACAGATATCACCTTTTCGTACTGGCCATGCCTTTCCGCTGCGAATGGGAGAGATGAAGCTTTCAAACAGTGTACGCAAATGCGGTTCTGTGAATGCAGTGGCTGCTACTTCATTGTAGGAAGCCTTGTCGACATCAAGAGGACCTTCAGGGAGACATTGGTATGCTGCTGCTGTAAGCCTATTCTTACTAGTCATGGGTGTTAGAACATATGGACATATGATTCCGAAGATATGTTTTTATCTGAGAAGTTCGAAGCAATGCTGAATCACCGAATGAATTTTCAAGACCAGGCAGCGGAAATTGAACGGGATGAGATTACTCAAGATCCCTGGTCACTGGTAAGAGCATTTGTACGATCGCGAGTGGTTATAAGCTACAGGCTCTGAATGCAAGTGGGAGGATTGAAAATAGTAATAACAGCACATCAGGGCCGATCTCTATCCTGCCCAAGACATGATCATTAGTTCAAGAGCTTTGACAATGAAAGAACCACTTACTGGTATAGGAGTGTAGCGGCATTAGGCTCAACCCAACGCGTCAAGACCCTGGTTCCGGTAGCTGTACATATTGTATCGATATCCAATGAATGAAAAGTCCACGATTTTCCACATTCACCGCCTGTTCAGCAGCCATATACATATACCAAGAATATAAAGAATGAACCAATGGGTGGATACAGGAGATATCGGCCGAGTCAAGAGTGCAGCATTCGTCGAATTCGGAGATGAACCTGATCCAGAACCGGGCGCTGAGTTTCCTGGGGAGGAGCCAGAGCTATCGGAGCTATTCGTGAGCATTCAGAGAGCATAGCCAGAAGGGATGGTCAGCACGATGCCATCGGGATCTACACGAGGATTTAGCAATCGCAGCTGAGCTCTAGTATGTAGAAGACGCACTGAAATACGACTGGTTCACACCCGCTAGATTAGTGGTACTCAGCGAATGTTCTCCTCTGGTGGGATGTGAAATACTCTAATGTACGCCGCTGCTGCTTGCAAGTTTGCCCAAACACTCCTTCACATCTTGATACTCCGTCGAATATCTGCTCGGTGCCATTGTCATGTACGACGCTGTACAGGCCATGGTCGTTTTTCTGGTCGCTGAAAACATAAATGGTGGAGCCTGTGAAGCACATCACATGGCCAATAACGGGTTAGAAAAAGAGTCCTGCGAACCATTCAAAGGGAAGGACGCCGATGCGTCGTCGTCATTCGTGTACGAAGACCCGCCTCCACTGAAATTTCCCGATGTATTGCTGCCCCAAGTACCTGTGTCACTCAAAGATTATTTTCCTGTATCGTGGTGTTCGAAACCGGTGCTCTAGAGGAACATAAGAAGGGATATTCAGTGTAGATTACATAAACGCACCCACAAGGTGCAAGTTCAGCTGTAAAACGCAGAAAATCACATAGCAAGGATTTCCACCCCCAGGTCCATTACCTGAAATAGCTCCGAGATTGTGCAATGTAATTTCATGCTCTCCATATGTCAAATTGCGCGCTCCACAGGGAAGGTGAGGTGTTGAACCATTACTCAAGGAGTAAGCAGTCACGGAAGAAGAATCTAACAGAACTTCTTACGAGCCGCATTCCGGGCCAGAGAATCCATAAATATACAGCGCGGGGCCTGCCTCCACTTTTAGTACTACACTATGAGCAGCAAATTCTATACGGACCAGTGAAGTTGAACTTGTTAGACGCGTTCACGGTATCGCTCTTGTGAAAAGCACCCAAGAGCCACGGACTATTTTTGGATGGTAGTCCGAGCTCGAAGGGTCCGGTGTTGCCCATATAGACTGGTCGGGGTACGAGAGCACGCTGTCGAAGTCATCCGCGGTCACATTGAAATTTACAGCCGACGAATCCATAAAGGAAAGAAGCAACGGGCGCTTGCAGCTCAAGCGCTCAAAATGCACCCCTGCGGGGTTACCCAACACCTCGCTTGCATAGTTTTTTTATTTCTTCAAAAAATTGATTAAAAAACTAAGTACACAACATTCGTTGCAAAGTAGCTTTCACTAATGGTGAGTACAGATTGTAGTTTTGGAACTGCACAGTCTTAGTAATCCAGGACCTTCCACAATACACTTTGACACAGCAGCTACAGAGGCTGACTGCCCCTGAGATAAATAAAGAGCGATTTCGAAAAGAATATCATTGTGTAGATCTGGAAGTGATACCACAAAAACTGGGATGGGTGGCAAGGGAAGATTATCATTGGAATCAGTTAATTTGAAGAAGACTGACTGTGAATCAAAGTCAGAACTCATAGAAGTCAAGGGAAAAGTTGTTAACAGAAGAAGGGAAAAATATAGACAATATGTGGAAGCATAGGCAGCCGACAGCCCCGACAGCAAGAGGGGCCAATGTGCGATGAGCAGAGGGAATTGCACAATGACAGACAAATGTAGCAGGTAAAAGGGGTTGACCAATGTAGGCCCACAGGTAATGAGAAGCAGGCATTGACTGGAAAAACGCAGGAAGGTACAATGCAAATGTTCTGAGCATAAACCCAATAAATACGAACGAACAACTTCGAAATATCAATGAATAAGGCGTATTAACGATGATGGGCGCTAAACGTGAGAAAAAAAGTGCACGAGCGCTTGGTCATTTCAGGGTGGCAAAGGACCTAGCAAGCTAGGTGATAGACACAAAAGCGATCCTACTTGATGTTCGACGGATGAAATATTTGAGGAGGCACAGTTTGGGTTGCTTTGCCAAACTGACCCTCCTAAGCAATGATCAGCTCTTTGGTTCAACTTCTAGGTTCATTCGGTGTTGGAGGTCTGGTCTTTACCTGTCAGAATGTGAGGATTCATAGCGACGATCGGCGCATGGGCGAGATAGGTAGACACCGAGGCTTATTCCAAAACTGACTAGCTCCTGCACTGTGTTGCTTATTCTGGTTTGGCTGATTGACAAAGTAATGTGTTTCCGCTAGGTAGTAGGGGATGGTACAATATGAGACTGCAGGGGCCTCGGCAATAGTGGTGTAACAAAAGAAAGACAGGGTATGACCATACTAGAGGCAGTGTTTGAAAGATTGAGTAAACAATAGCGCTAGAAGTATACGGGCAAAAAACATTTCAAGATATCTGCGGTCCATTTCTCAGAGAAGCCGATTACACGGTCACAGCACTGAACTGTGCATCATTCGGGAGAGTAGGGATACCAGCAGTCAGTTCAATGTCCTGTGGAACGATGAGGATCTAGTAAAAGGGGTCAATGAAATGAGATACGTACACCATTAGATAGATTTCCAGCCGACAGATTTTCTAGCTCATACTTCTCCTCTTGCTTTGACAAAGTACGGCAGCCTGAGCGATCCTGGACCCTACGCCCCCTAGTGTCGAATTGGATTGACATCTCTCCAGGCTGCTTCTATAGGACAATAAATAAACGATATGTTCTCGTAACAAATGTGAGACATTCAAACCTTAGACGAGTAAGAGACCAGAGAAGCAGGCTTTTTGAAACTTGTGAAAGAAAATGTGAAGTTCTGGCCGCTGGTTATCTGTGCATTATCTCCTGCATTCCGGATCATCTTCCTTGCATTGAGAGTAGCCAGGAGCGAGTTAGTGTACACTGGGAAAGGCATGATGTAATAATATTGCAGCAAGGGTACGAACGTACAGCGACCCATGCAAAAGAAGAATGGAATATATATGAAAGTGCTGGGAGCAGCAAGAATCTGAAATGTTATCAGCAATGCGATGGGATATAGAGTCAAAGCCTACCGAAATCAAGGATGCTACAGCACAAAGACTGCTGGGCAATGTGGTCAACAGCAATAGGCGAAAAATAAAAACATTACAATCCCAACCTGGTTAAAGACCCGATGCGGATGGCGAACAAAGTCTACCAGCCATAAAAACTCGAGTCAAACGCAGGAATCGAAATAGACACAGGACTGACAAGTTTGTTCAGCATTGCATCAAATCTGTATAATAACCTGTAAGCGAAAGTTCATACAGGTGCAAATATATAAGCGTGCCTTTGAAATCCAGTCTTCGACTTTTGCAGAAGAATGGCAGAAATACTGGCAATTAAAACATCGCCAGCTGCTGCAAGTGCATTGGCAGCAATGAGAAGTGTCTGGGCATAACAAACAGGTTAAATTCACCGTCGACAGGTCGGAAAACTGACCCTGAGATCGGCCGCGAGCTCTGCGAATGTGCTCATTCGAACCAGGCTGAGGAAATGTGTTAATGTGTATCTGAAATAATGGAGCAGATACACGAACCCAACTATTCCGAAAGCTGTGGTCATGATGAATCTTCAGCAAAGGTAGCATTGAAAAAATGGCATACCGACAACACAGCCTAGGATGCATAGATTGAAGTAGACGATGAAATACAGTCAAGACAACCCACCAAATTCTGCCAGGACAAGGGAAACCTGGATCAACATTTATAACAGGATCAACACAAGGAAAGAAACAAGGTTCAGGCGTACGTACCACTATACTAGTGACCCAGATATTACTGCTGACTGTAATATACAGGGAAAGTCCAGGATGAACACATTCAAACGACACACATACGTCTCCAGATTCTCCATGTCAGGAAGCTAAATACATCAATTAATCAGGTTAGCCAGCATCGATCCGCTACGACTGACCCTTGCACACAGAACGCAATAATTCCCTGGTAATGGAAGATCAGAACGCTGCAGTACATCGGGATACCGGAACTGTCGACGCACATTAAGAAAGACTTGGGCCTAGAAAAAATCAAGGAGCTCAATGCCCAGTCAAGTTTGATGCATGAGCGCCTGGCTTACCACGAAACTCCTGTTCAAAAATCCAGCCCCCAGTCTCAACATATGAAAGTTCCAAGCGTACGTACCATACCACAAACACTAGGGCACTAGGATTGGCGTAGTTGAGAATGAGATAATAGTAGACTATAGATCAGAATTGATAAAGCCAGCATAGAAATATACGGCGCGAGATATCTACCTACCGGTGTGGCTGATGAGTGCTTGGTGTGAAAAGTCGAATAATACCACCAATCCAACCTGAGACCGATGTTAAAAACATACTTAGTAAGCGTGAGCAACACACAGGAGATGTCCTTACAAGGGAATGAATGATACGGGTGTCGTTCTGTTGAGAAAAATATATGTAGCCCTGCAAAGAAGATACTAGATGTTGAAGGTAGCATAGGTACGGGGAGGAAGAAGGGCAGGCCACGAACATCCCAGCAGAAACCCAGCGACCAGCACGCCAATAAAAGCAGCACCCAGTCTGGAAAAAAAGACCTGGAATTCCAGGTAGTAAAGTGGCAAGACGCTTAATGACCCACGTATTGTTGAGGGGTCCCACAGGGGACATGTTGGAAGTGTGAAAATTGGAGAAGGAAAGTAACGAGCGAATCAAGGACAAAGATTGCGACAAAATCTTTTGTGTGGATCCAATCGTGACGAAAAAACATGGGGGCGGCCCCACGCCACCTATTGCCGTGCAGGGAAAGGCAGAGTACTATTGCCGAGTTGGATCGAAGTTACCGGCGCTTCAGAAACTTACACTTCTTTTGTCACCCTAGACATATGAACTGGACGCTGCCAGGCTTGTTTGAAAGTCCAGCCCGCGGTCCATCTCATACGTGCGTCTTCAATTGTGCTGTCTTCTCTGTTTTCTTCTACCCCGTCAGTTCCTCCCACTCTCGTCTTCTCACCCACCTCATCACTGGCCGCATCACTAAAGCCCACAATAACCTGAAGACCCTTTGGATGGATAATCCTGCTCTCACCACATATCCTGAATGCAGGGGTGCGGGCTTCATCGTTATAGAGTACATGACCCCATCCCCAAAGGATTTACCCAAGATCTCGGATGCGAGGGTCCATCGCCTGATACCTAGTGCTCGTAAACTTCTCCGAATGCATACCCAATGCCCACCGCAGGCCAGTCGATTCACTCATTGCCGGTACCAAAACATTACAGGGGCAACCGCTCCGACACCAAGTACCTTGCCTCCAACATGGGGCCATCTTCAACCTCACCAGGTACGAATACAAAGACGGCCACCTTGAAATAGAGCTGTATCAAATGGTGAGCCCTCATCCCAAAGCATCTTCCTGGAGGCATGCCTCTGACAGTGAGATCTCTGGCAGGAACCACCCTATCTCGTGTGACGACACTTGTTGCACCCGCTTCGGGCTGTGGTCCTTCTCTTCTCTCATGTGTTCCAGCACTCCACGCTTTGAAAGAAGACTTAAGATCTGGGCAGGTTCTTCCCTCTACATTTAGACAGGTGAATGTGCGGGCCATTCTTTGTCCAGACCTCGTAGTGCGAGAAGTTCTTTGAAGTTGGCGGAATGCCCCTTAAGCCGTGGGTTCGTGCTGTCCTGTGGCAATAGATCGACCGGAGGGTACCTGGAGAAGATGGTGGATGACCTGGGGAAGGAAGAAGAGGGGTGGGATATGAGTTTTCGACCCTTCGCTGTTAAGGTTTCATCCGACAAGTCTCCCAGGGGTTTTGGTTCCTGCGGGGCGTGGTTCGACTTGGACCGTTTCACCAGCTGTCGGTGGTGCGCCCCCAGCATTTCACGCGGGCGCCGCTCCCACCATCGCCCCCGTCGCCATTCTCAACTCCTCCTTTATCCCACTTAACCTGTGATCGTTCATGCTCGCTGTTTCCCATCACTTGCTGGAAGGATTTTTATAGAATTCGCTGTCTCAGTGCTTAGGTTTTGTAGAATAAACTTTCTCCAGTGTTCCATCTGTAATATTCAATGCATCGCCTGTATCACTTTAGCATACCGGTTTCCTAGTGCTACATAAACTTGTTCTCGAAAGTCTTGCTTGCATCGTCAAGCCCCACACAGGTCAGATGGGTGAGCCACTTTTTCTGGACTTGTCTTATGCGTAAATTCTTTGTGACATAGTCTCGAAATTAAAGTTATTACAAACATAGTGTCGCGCCTTGACGCGCAGCATTCAGCATTTCCAGTATAAAGCATCGGTTGAGAAAGGGCCAGGTAAGAAAAGGCCCAGGTCAAGAAAGGGTCAAGAAAGGGTCAAGAAAGGGTCAAGTCAAGAAAGGGTCAGGTCAAGAAAGCTATCCAGGACTACACCACCACTATCAAGAGATCCATCCTCCCTGACCTCCTGCAGCCCATACTTGTGTATGATGATGGTATCATCCCACGAATCGGTTTCCCCTCCCGGTCCTGCCTCCTTTAGTGCCGCATTCCATGGGGAGCTGAGATTAATTGTCCATGGACTGTACGGTGCCAGTTGAAGCGAATCATTCCTTGTTACAAATTCATAGATAATGGGGTTGAGCCTACGATCATTTCAGATGTTAGAGATGAGCAGAATTTTGTCGCAAGTGGTAAAACTTACTTTTTCGAGTAATCCGGAATCATACAGTGTGGGGCATTCTTGATGACCAATAGTGAGGCGTCAACCCCAGCCTCCAGGAGCTCATGGAGAAACTGCTCCGTATATATCTGCGGATATGCCACATCACCAGATCCATACGCGAGGATGACAGGGCTCGTTATCTGGGCTAGAGCCATCTGCGAAGTAGATGAACGATTGACATTAAAATCATGGTTCAGGATTTGGTACTGGTCCAAAAACGGATAGCACCACCTCTTTTTGGCAACTTTGGATGTTAGGGACAAAATGCTGTATGCGACGTAGATCAGCAGTGTACAGCATAGCCCGATGATAGATATTTACGCATCAACAAGAGGAGACAATTTTGGTTCCGTGAAGAGGTATTGGCGTTGTCCGAACTCGGCATCAGAAATCAATTCCGGCAATGTCGTCGTTTTGTCGGGGAAAGCGCAAGTCCATAGGTCCAGTATTTCGTGGTGTCCACCTGCCACTTCTGCTGGCTATTTGAACCATACTGTTAGAGAGAAAAATGTATGTCAAATCCACATAGCTCACCATTTCAGTGCACGACTGAGAAATTAGGAACATAGACAGAATACGCTGGGGTTGTGTTACCGCCAACTGCAGGGCAATAATCGTGCCTGAGGACACCCCAACCAGGTGGCAGGGTGGTAGGTTCAATGAGTTCTGCAGAACTCGTCAAAATGAGCATCCGAGCGACAGTACTATAAAGTTAACGCGCCATTAGTTGAATCGTATCTTCTGCTGCTTCAACCTGCCCATAGTCACACGGTGCACTGTCTCCAAATGTATTTCCATGCCCCCTTAAATCGAAGGAGACCAAGTTACATCGCCTTAATTGCTGATCGCTAAATTGACCTACCACCAGCGTCGGCAATATATTATAACATTGAAAATAGAAATCACCTGTGAATAGATATTCCGCCAGGGAGACGGGGTGAAGGAATAAAATCGTAGGGAGCCCAGCATCAATCTCCTTGGCCTCTTCAGAGCTTGGAGTACAGATGGTGTACTTGAATTTTGTTTTGCCAGTACTAGAGGTGACCTCGACGAACGGCATGTTTTCGAAAAAGAATAAGGATGAGCAGGTCTTGCGATCTGTGACTGCTTCGTGGTGACTGTTTATATAACACATCTGACGCAATATGGGTTTGAAAGTAAGTACATGCCCCCAAGGTATGTATAAGGTAAAACGGAGCATTTTTGGTAAATAACACTGGAGATACACGTGTTTGGTTCAGTTGCAAAGTTTATGATAATTCAATGAGCTTCCATTACCTTGTTAGTTCTATACATGGACCAGCTGCAGTGTCAATCGATCGGAATACCAGGGCAATTGTTCGTATTCGTCGGAAATTTTTTTCGCAGCCGCATTTGACCAGACAGGATAAGACGACCAGACAGGATAAGACGACCAGACAGGATAAGATAGCCACGGTCAGGTCGTAAGGACTGCAGCCACTATAAAGATGCAGGGTGAAGATTTTGCAATAAACTCAGATTGTACTGCGCCGTTGTCAGGCAACCTGCATGTTCCCCACAACAAGTTGACTTCTAAACCAGTAAATACTGGATATGAATGTTGACAGTAGCTATAGCACCCACTCGTGATTTGGATTGCATATCTTCCGTCTCCTTGAGAGAAGTGGCAATAAGCACTGGCCATAATCCTGCCACTAATATATTGTTCCAAATCAACACCTGCTCGATGACGGGCCTGCTCCAAAAAACCTTCAATTTCATGGGCTCTCCGATTAACTACGTACGAATGTATTAGTCATCAACATTTACGCTTGATGCTGTCTAGAGTGCAGTCGCACGTTCTTCGTAGATGGAAGAAGAAATTCTAATCATTCCATTTCCACATCTTCTCCTATATCAGAAAAACGCATAGAAATAGCCGGAAAAGCGCACGTACCTCTTCACCATATACAGCATTTAGTACGGTCAAACCATCTGACTTGGACTGCCTGAAAGTGGTGGTGTTGCCCACCTCCGAGAGGAAACAATGGGTGTAGTTCTTCTCAGACTCTGATTGTAACCAGCACCGGCCTCAGAAGCCAATAATGGGATACGCAAGCACCTGGTGGATCTGCGCGAGGGAAGTCGACACCCTACACGCGCGAGGAAGATAGCAGTGCGACAGGTAGTGAGAAGGCAGGCTTACCCTTCATTCCATTCCGCTAGATTCCCTGACCATCATGCCAACGCCAGCCTAGGGCTGTACATTCTCGCTGTTGCTGGCCCTCAGTAGGCCTCTGAATCCTCTTTCCTGAATCCCGACCATTCAAAGTGTCTTGCTGTAAAGATGGAGTGGAGGCGAATCCGTGTGTATTAGAGCCAATACTGGTGCAGTGGAAGGATGGGAACGGGGATGGACGGGCCAAAACCTGCTGCAAATCTAATGCATTTGACCTGACAGGAGGAGCGAGCTGCCGGCTGGGAATGGGCACCGGTGTTGGCTGCAGATAATGTTTTTGGAGGAGGTGAAGCGACACTATCCCGCCAAGCGCAGGGACACGCAGGCCCAACATTAGGCGACGCTGCCCCACCGTCAACGATGGAGCCCACGCTGGAAGCGGAGGGACGCCTGAGCGGTCCCGGTACAACCAAAGCCAACCCAGGATTGCCGGAGGGAGGAGGTGTTTGCTGGTCTAGGTTAGCCGCCGCATCGGTCGTTCTTCTGGATCTTTGGAGGTAGGCAAGAGGTCACATTAGGACAAAACAGGCATAAAGTTAAGGAAGCACAAGCTTACCTCTAGGGTCTTTGATTGGTTCAATGCCAGGGAAGGTGCTTTGTTTATGATCCTCATGATGTCCTCACATTTATGTCACGACGAACATTTTTCTTTGGTGTGCTCAAACTATAATCTCACAATCCTGGTCCTTATAAAACTCTTCCCAATACCTGAAATGAGTATAGTAGGAAGGTAATTTCAGGTGAAGTAGTTGAAATTAAGGTTGAACTTGAAGGTATCGCAATTGTAGACAGGCTTGAAGTGGAAGAAAAATCAGTTTTGCACGTGACCCCGTTCAGCTTCTCAGTAAGTAAAGTACGTCGATGCGCAAATGCCAAAAGCTGAGAGAACTCTACGGCGAGTAGGACCGGGACTTCGAGACATGCGTGAGTTCTTCTCATTGATGATTCACAAGGAGGTATTAACGGGCTGCAGGGTACGTATCCACTCACTCACTCGCTTTTAGCTCTCAATTTGCGTCAATAGTTCTGAGTACTTATCCTCAGGAGTCGTAAGGGGACAGATACAGGAAGAGCTGTCGAACAGTAAGCCATCACTTCATGCAGCACTCATCAATCCTAATAGTAGACTTTGAGGTGTTTTCTGGACAATAACTGAATATCAGAAGTTGACGAATATCAGAGTCTCCGGATCCGACCTGGCAATAATATTTGATCTGGCATCTAGTATGTTTTCATTTAATGCTCTCTGGCACAGTAAAACTCAGGTGTGGGTACAGTGAGACTTTCGCAGTCCAAAGATCGTATCCAAAGGCACCCTTCAAAAACTTCGCTCGGAAGCTGCTTCGGTGATTCAGATGGCATGGATAGTCACCTTTGAATGTGCCTCCTCTAGAGTCTAATGTGTACATATAAGTAATCATCCTAATGCCCAGTTGGTTCAGTACATAACACTGGGGGAAAAACAATTGGTTTAGTCTTATCGTTACTCGATTATTTATGTGGCACCGGCGATAAATCGTTTAAACATGTACTATGTTAACCATGACCAGCTGATCCCCTGTTTCATTCAAAGAAATGATACGAGAGTCGAGATCCAGTTAGTCCAGACAAGCATCTCGAGTTGTGAGGGTCAGGCTTTCACTTGTTGGCCTTGTAATGTTCAATGGATGAGGCGGGCGGGCGAGCCAAAGAAGCAGAAGTTAGTTCAAATTAGCAAAGGAACTCCCAGGATGTATGAGCTCGAGTTTCCTGGACCAGTATCAGCCAGTATCATATGCGCGAAGTTCACGTTGACGGTCGTCGATTCGGACCGGTCACCGGAAAGTCATGTGAAAATCAGAGTTTGCCTCTTTTGACAATATTTCCCATCACTGCTTCCTCCGCTGCTTTCATCTCGAAAGTCCACAGATTCAGAAAGAACAATTGAATTCTCTTCATTCGCTCCTTAAATACATATATCCTCGCTTTTACTTTGACACCGAAGATCAATCATGAATTTAAGAATATCAGTAAGGCTTCTGAATTGAATTGTACCTGGACATCTGCGTCTCATACAAGCCCGTACACTGAGGACGGAGTTGCATTCGTAGGATCATTGGTTCGGAGAACAACTTGGAGCAGAAGGTATTCCGGAAATGACCCGCCACGCGAGAGCGAAATAGCTTGGCCAGCGTGGCATTGGTATGCATCAACAGTCAATCGAATTTGACGATGACTGACATTTAGATTTTCTACTTATATAGGTTCTTGCTTTTTTCTTTCTTTCAATCTCTTTTTCCCCAAGGAACTCCCTCTGCCGATGCAGATCTGTTTACCCCCACCCAGCCACGAAGTTAACAGGATGGCCTCCTCGAATACGACCACGGACCTCGAAAAACTTTCCTTGGATTTGTCGTCGCCGGCTCCATTATTGTGTATGCGACACTGGGAACGAGGAATGAGGATATATCTACTTATACAGCCGATGGAGTGACGCCTATCTGATTTTGTCAAGCTATGCGTATCTGTTACAGTGAGTAAAGGTACGAGGTAACGTGCTTGTCCTCGACGGAGAACAAGATAGAGGGATTGATGGATGGTGGCGTTGCTCCCTGCGTCTGGGGGCATGGACGTATGCTTTTGCTGACCAAATTGAACCGCAGGGTGGTCGGGAGTAGAAATTTCAATCCCTGCTCTGGAACTACGGCTAAGCCCAGAATAAAGGCCAGGCTCGATTCCAGAATTCACTTGATCACCGGCCTCTGGGATCCTTCCCGTACCAAGGCTAGGAACTAACCACTCCCCAACTCCTCTATGATCGCCATGGACGCTGGGATTGCGGTTGGTTATGTCGTGACCAATCCCTACGTCACGTCTTGGCATATTCAGGAAAACCATCCAAAGATCCGTTTGACTGAGGTTGAGGTCAAGTATTACCCGCAGCAATGGTCTATGTAGCAGTAAGGAGTCCGGAGTCAAAAAGTCGAGGGAAACAATGACATACCTGACCAGGACGCTGCAGCTGCAACATTTCAATGACGGCTTTCGTCTGCTGAGGATCGTTCTGCAATAACACCAAAATTTTCTCAGCAGCCCATTTCAGGTCATCACAATGCGTGTCTGGTTCGTCATGACCTCTCTGTCCGATGATGGCCTCTGCTTCTACTCCCGATTCTGCGCCATCTCCGAGAAAAGGATTACCGACGACCGCAATAGGTGGAGGGGAAGTCAATCCAGGTATGTGCGCATTAGTTTGCGTAGAGGTCTGGACGTGAGCGTGAGGAGAGTAAAACTGGTGAATATGTCCGTTTTGATTCCCTTGTGAACTTGGGATCTTGACAAGGTTATTAGAACCCTGAGGACCTCCGAATCTCGTACTAAGACCTGAGGCTGAAACAGCCGACGTACGCGAAAACAATTCATGTTGCCTAACACTATCTGGGATAAGATGATTGTCGCGAGCTTCATACAGATTTTGAGCATGGTACGCGTCGTGATGAGTATGTGAAACATGTCGATGGTGCCGACTCGTACTGGAATTAGCGAGCACAGTGGAAGGACGAGGTTTCGCAGGACGATCCCGTTTAACGTGAGGTTTGACTGCATCGTCGAAAACCTTTCGTTTCCCGAGCGCCTTCGCCGATAAACCAGGGGGATTCAGCAATCTTGGATCAGGTTGAATTGAGAATTGCTGAGCCTTTATGAATGACACTCGACAAATTTACGAGGTTCTGGTTGAGAATAGCTTTTTCGCAAGGACTGAGCCGATAACGATGAGGAGGACCATGACTGGGTCGAGATTGGTTCGGAGAAAGAGGTTGGCACCGAAACTGACGGGTAAGACGCAGACGACGTGGAGAGGGACTTGTAAGAGCTTCCAGAGGTCAGCATATTGAGCTACAGCATTTGCAGTGGTAGAGCTAAAAGTTTTTCTCCGGAACTTGATATCTTTTAGAAAAGATGACTTTGGGGGTCCTGCGAAAACTAACGAGAGCGCTCTCCGGGGAATTCCAATTGGTTAAGTTGTTGGTTTCAGGTTTGGGCTTGTAAGAGGCATGTCAATCTTCCCAGTGTCGACAGAAGGATATGACGACGACGCTTGCACTTTATGAACCTCTGACAGGTCCAGGTACGGAAGATCATCTTCATCATCTGTCTCATCTCCAGGAAACTCTGCGTCCGAATTGAACAAACCGATACCCTGCCACAGTTTCAGGAGCAAAAATGGAGGCAAACATATGCTCTACCCACCCTGAATTTCTTTTTGAAAAGGATACATCCTATCCTTCCGCTTTCAATCCATTAATCCAGCACTACACCTATTCAATTCAGGGGGTAGGCCGCGCTTCGTCCCAAGATTGTGGATTTCGCCTTGTCGATGGGTCTTCACTCCAATCTGACGCGTATTAGAATTCTTGACCAGCAACATCCGATGGTCACGCTTTTTCTGTTTAGAGGAGGAATTGGGTATGGTGGACTCGTGCGCATTCTTCAACCAACTCGCCCCAAAAATGAAATCCATGTGCCTGCCTGCGAAGAGCCGCACGTAACCATCACCGTCCTCGCGCGTCTTGTCAGTCGGCATTATACCACCTGGGATATAGGAAATCTCCGTCGTCGTCGAGTTTTGACTGACCACTATGAAGACAGAACTGTTGCCAGACGAATCACGATGGCGCCGCGACGGTAGATGGATGGGTTCAACTTGGCCTTTTTGCGAGGCAGGTGAACACCGTCAAATGGAGTCTGAACTTTGTTTCTGTTCACGACGAACGACAGGTCGAGGATTGTCTATGAATGCCCCAAAGTAGTTATCCTCTGCGTTATGTATCATGGAAGCGTTCATAGCATCCTGAAGGTTTGTGTACTGCATTGTGGTATTGTTTTGATGATGATGATGGAAGCGCAGAAATAGAGGGAGCAGAAACGTTTGGTCTAGGAGGTGCTTTCTTGTGATGCGACCCGAATGGTGGAAGCGACGGGGAATCCTGGATGGAGAGCTGAACTTAGTAATCTTTTCCAGGACTTTCGGATGTGGTTTTAAATAATGGGCATGAGTAGTGTCTCTAAGAAGAAGAGAGGCTTGGATATGGCAGAGAAAGATGTGAGTGTGCCGGTACCATGTCCATGGTAGGATTCGAGGTCAAACTTTTCGCTTGGTTCTTGTTGATGGTAGTTTTCTGACTGCTGTCGCAGGGGCGAGAGCGTGCTAGTTGATGATTTGGGGGACTCCCTTGGGGAGAAAAGAGAAGCACCATCCAATGAAGATGACGGCGAAAGGGGAGAGATGGACTCCCGACGAGGAGAAGTAAAGAGACTACTGTTGATGCTTTCAGACATATTCGTAGCCTAGATGTAGGATGAATGATTCAATAAACAATAAAGCAATAAAAGTCATGACAGTAGTAGAACTCACTACAGCCGTCTCGGTATCGGCGTCTACGACTTTCGGCCTCTTTATCAATCGCATCGAGATTCTAAAACAAATGAGATTAGCTACTCAGACACTCACAATGATATATGGAAGTCATACCGGAATATTTGCACATTTTTCTAACGCTGAAAACGACTCAGACGACAATACATCCTGATGAATTGGCAGCTGCTTCAAAGCGGCGACCTCTGAAGACGTGCATTCGGAAGTAGATTCATTCTGGGACACAGATTGGATTGAGGTGAATCTCTCGTGGAAGACGTTTTGGATGTCGATTTTGGTTGAAATAAGCCGCCACGCAAGACTTTTCTAATCCAAACGGTTTTAAATGTTCGATGGACCATTGAAACGCGCGGCAAGAAGCGAGAGAGATCGAGGCTGGGAACTGGGGGTGAATGCGCCAGATGATTGTTCGAATGCTTCCTGAAATCACCTGATATAGCTGCTCGTCTTTCGTCTTCGATCTAGTTTATCCAAGTCGGTAAAATCCACACTAACGTGACTGTTAACGAAGGACCCGACCGCCCTGCCAGTTTGAGTTTGAGTGGGCCAGAAATCCTTGAAAGTACCCTTGCACTTCGTAAAATCCTCCCTGTAATTCGGGTAATCACACTTGATATTCTGCCAATGTCGGCCTGCTTGCTCAGATAGCCCTAACAGGCCCTAACGTGGAATTTCCCGTTTAACCGGGGTTACAACGTAGCATACGATTGGGGAACTCGAATGAAATTCAATCTGCTAGGATTTAAGATGTGTCTGGTAACCGTCTGAATACTCCCATTGTCTTCTCGGGCTCATCCCAATGCGTCTGATACATAGTATGATATATCAGCGTAAGCCTTACATGGAAACGATTCTCAAGAATCACTCACGGAATGGTTCACGCCATCTGTAATCATAGATCGTATGAACTTTCCCTTCTCTCCCCTCCAGCCTTCATATCATCGTCCTCGATCTCCCAAAAGGTCGGCCAGACGAACGAGTAAGATTTATCCTCGATGTCTGCCCATACCGTCACCATATTCCACGGTGCAGATTGATCCGTAGTTTCTTATCAAAGCACGCCTCCAAGTAAGTCTTTCGCAGTTGACGTTGGAGGACCTTTGAAAAGTACAAATCGGTGCTAGATTATGGCGTTAGGACGACGTTCTCGTCATGTTCCGCTGCGATGAAAGTGTAGATTGAAGGCGTTCGGGAAAGCCAAAGTTCTTGTCTGTAGTCGTGATAGCCTGTGTTGAGATGACTGAAGAGCGGTGCGCGAGCTGAGTAAGGAATGTTGGGATCGCGGAACGCAAGCCGCGTTTCTGGGGGAATGGAAAGACCAAAACCCGTGAGCGCGGGCTCTGCATGTACCATGGTTTTTGTCAAAACAAGTAAACAATTTTAGAGCAAATTTGTGGCTCACCTAACATAATATGGGCACGTAGATACTGTCCGACCCGATCTCGCATCCCGTTAGAGACCAACGAGGAGTCTATGTTCGCGATTGCCGAAAGGGAAAATGTGATCCCAAAAGACCAGCCAACGATAGCTAGTCCACCTTTCCGGGTCTTCTCATCACCATCCACCTTCTGACTGTTGTTTTGAATGGGAGGAATTCCAGAACATTGAATAAAGCGTCGATGAACTGTAAAATCTCCAGGCCTCGGAGCTCTAGGATTTTTGTCTTGGCCTCGTCGGTAGCAGAAGCTTGAGGGCCATCGTCTTCGATGAAAATGATTTCTCATCCTGAGTGAGCGGGGTTGAGCCAGAGAAACCTCGTCGGCCTGGCGCCATGTTGTATTGTGTGTTCAGGGGTGAGAGACGTTTGAGTGAGAAAAGAACCTGCTATTGATATCTATTGAAGAAATCACCCACCGTTGCTGAAAGAATGACCATGGATGAGGAAAACAGTTTTGTAGCTCGATACAGAGGAGCTGGGAGAGCCACTATCTAAATATGACAGAACGACATTGGAAGTGCAATTTAAACCAACACAAAAGACCATGCAAGAAGAAAACCCTTAGGTGCAGAAACGATCAGCGCTTGATAGCGTGAGAAGATTTCCGCGGGCGCGCCTATGTTGATTTAGGCCAGGCATTAATATCTCAATCCCGACTCAGTGTCACTCCTTATTGAGCACGAGCAGTGCGACGTAGAGTGCCTCGATTTTATTCTTCTTCCTCTCTCACCTTACCCGTTATGAAGCATGAACAGTGCGCGATAACGTGGTTGCATACTCTCAGTCAATTACTCTCAAATCTAAACCTTTCTATATAAGGGCCCTCCACTGCGTCCGATGCTGAACTTACTTACACTCATACATGATACGCTCTTCTGCACAAATCCGGGCTGCGTTGGCCTTTCTCAATCATTCAAATTGGTGTGCACCCAGCCTCGAATGGTAAATGTGGATCAGTGCTCCGAATCGGTCGGATATAGGTGTGTGCACAATCTTATAGATTCACTCTCAAAAAGTTGTGAAGTTCTTCTCACTTCAGATCATATTCGCTCTCAAGTGGTGAAATCAAGCTGAACTCAACAATAGTGTTGACATGGGGCTGCTGGCTGGGTGCCAACGTGGTAGAAGAGCCAGAAGGAGATTGCAGAGTCGAACGGAGGGGTGGTCAGTAGCGACTCGCACGCCGCGAACGGTGATGTCTTCGTCATGAAAGCGGGGTATTTTGATAATGCGCTTCGGAGGGTCGAAGGAGCAGCTGTCGCGTTGAGATCAGTATGGTCAATCTCGACTTTCTCCTCGACCCTCTTGCTTCTTCCTGCTTCGCTGTTATCGTCGCAGTCTTCCCTCCTACTCCTCCCAGGTCAAACCTCCTACTTGAAACTCGGTGAACCGTCGAGCCGCAACAATATACGAGGCCAGTGGTTGAAAAAGGACAACAAAATGTCATTGAGGAGCTACGCTATCAGCTGGATTGTCTGGCGGTCGCTTCATATGGGCACGAAGAGTAGACGGTGGCAGAGGTCTGCCTCAAACAACCAAATCGCAAAGACTTGGGCGCTTATTTCTTGACCTCCTTTTGACGGTAGAAGTGTTTACCAAGTTGTGTCGGGTGGAGTCCCGCCCTTACTTCAACTGTAAACCCGCTTTAGCGTCTGGCTAATTCGGGTTCAACTTGGTATTCTAATTCTTGTCAATTAGTTATGGCGTCTGCTTATCTTCCAGTTTCGTGATGGGTCTACTTATCTTCCGTGCTTCCGTGGTGCGTTACGTGTCTTAATACTTCTCTCCTCTATCTTTACATTTTCCGACAGCCCTTTACTATGAATAAGGTCTTAATTGATGTTTTCAGTGGGATTTTGCATCTGGATCACCTCCGTATGCCTAAGCGTACAGGCAGAACTGCTTACGGATGACAAAGAGGACTAGGATGGTGGACATCCTCACGTTCAAGGCTTCAAGTGATTATGTAGCCTGGCTCTCCGTGGATCATCCAAACGTGAAGCCGACGCTTCCGGTAAATGGCTCTGTCCACCGAAACCGCTGCCAAAAGACTCTAGGTGCTAGACGTTAGGGATCGTTGGGTCGTTGGAAACGAACGCCCCAAGGGCCCGACTCCATCACTGACATAGTACCTTTCATTTTCAGTGTGAAGGTGCGCTCCGACCGACGACCGAAAATGAGACCAGATGCGGTTTTAATATACAGGGTCGTTCGGATGGCCGTTCATTAACTCCATTCGAGGAGGCTCTGAGTTTCAGTGGCCAGCAAGGTCGTTTGAGTCGGCTTAGCAGTCTCACTAGCCGCAGTAGCCATCACACCCATCTTTCCAACCACAAAGATGACGCAGACTTAGTGTGGACGTCGATGTTGAATCGGACAACTCAGACTCCAGGTCCGACTCTGGCGAGTCTGTCGAGTTGATGATGTCTTCCACGACCACGATGACGTTGTTCTATGACAACTGCCGGCGCCACTCCTGCCCCTGCCCCTCCACCTCCGTTATCAAGCACCACCCCGAGGACCACGCCCCCGACAACGACGATTACTACGTTCACCCCTGGTGCACCTGCCGGTCGGAAAGCTGAATGCTCCAATTGCGTAGCAACACTTACACCGTTACGGAGAAGAAGTTACGGCGGGTTAAATAACTACCACGGATTGAACGGACTCGGGTCGTTCAATAACTCACTGGATGCGTTACCTTTCCCGTCTGGTGAGCCATTTTTCATATTCTTACCACTAACTAAGTGGTTTGATTATACATTTATATATTTTCAGGTGAATATGACTTGTCTATGTCGTCTTTGACGTTCTCTCCTTTGGCACCGCCCTTCACCTCCAATAATTTCACTTCACTAACTTCGACCACCATCCCCAACCTCACCTCGACGAACGAACAAACGTCGGCGAATGTCCAGTGACTCGGCGAGTAAACCACCATGTTCTGCCATTTCTTCTCTTTCGAGCTCGTATTCGCATACGAAATTCGGAATGGTCGGTATTCTTCTAGCGCGTCGCACTCGCACTCTCCTCGTTCTTCGATAAGCTCATTGAGTTCTTTGAGCTCGGTGGGTTCAATGATCGATTTTTCTTTCACCGGTAATGTATATAACGGGAATCAAGGTATACTTCGTAACGAATCTCGGGGATCCACGACAAATGGGGGGTATAATGATAACAACAACAGCAAGAATCCAGGTAGCACAAGTGGCAACGGGAACGGTAATTTAACCAAACACCTTTTAGCGTCCGCCGATGTCATTACCGGAGCCTCAATACCCTGCCATCCACTCCGAGAATGGTTTGAATGAGGCCCACAATGCCCCTGATTCGCACTATAAACATTCTTCTCATTCTGGGCACTCGGGGCTGTAGTCATAACGAGTCGCACTCGCAGAACAGCATGAACCTGCTCACACCCCGAGTAGCACTCCTCATGCGGTCCACTCGCCTAGGCACCTAGGCTTCTTTCCAGTGCCGTGATTGGTACTGAGGATTCCCCTATGGACTACCTTCACCCTCCAATGACGCTAGTGGGTGAGGTAGATAAAGCGACATTGTTCTCGACGCATTTAACAAAGCTGATGATTCCTACGGGGAAGATGAAAATCCGGGACGTGGAGATGTTTGATCATTCCTCTTCGGCTTACGACCGCTCGAACCTTCTCTATGATATCCGTCCTTATAATAAACGTATCACTGCTTTTGATTATGACCTGAACCTGACCTGAACTCCACTGAACCTATTCGAGTTCCCATCGTGGCTGTGTCCGGGGATCTCCCGGTGGTCGTTCGGATGGTCCTTTGTCAACTCCATTCGAGGAGACTGAGTTTTAGTGGTCAGCATGATCATTTCAGTCAGCGTAACAGCCGGCGTAACAGCCGTAGCCATCGCGCCCATCTTTCCGACTACGAAGACGACGCCGGCTCGTCCAGTGTGGTCGTCGATATCGAATCTGACAACTCCGACTCTAGCGAGTCTGTCGAGTTGATGTCTTCCACGACCATGACGATGTTAAGCGGTGCTCAGCGCAGTACTGAGTTCGTTTATTCAGGTGTCGGATCCATAGGGGGTGTGAAAAAGAAACTCAGTGGAGTTAAGCTTACTCTGAACTACAGACGGAGCTAGTCTTCAAGCCAGAGGAGGTCTACAACTACTCGTCCTTCGTCTTCTGTTGGTGGTGGTCTTTCTGTCTCTAGTAGATTCTGTGCTTCATCTAGACCTGCCCCCGGCCTACACCTCGGGCTAACGCCGAGACCTTCTGCTCGTCAGACCCTGAGAGCTGGTGTACAGAATAGCCATAACAGCAATAACACCCCTTCTAGATCCCGCGCCACTGCTTCTTCAAGGCCCGTGCTTACAGTGCGAACGTCTTTGAGTGGTGTGTCGACAAGGTTGACTTTGCCGATTGCAACCGCCACTCCGAGTTCCCTTGTTTTGTCGATTTCGTCGTTCAGTGCCAGTGGGAGCGGGTCTAGGGAGGTCTAGGTCTGGTTCGGTTGGATTTGGGTTTTTGGAATTCTTCTACCGCTGCTGACGTTCCTGAGTTGTTTGGGATGGGGTATGGACAAAGTGAGCTTAGATCATGCGAATCCCAGCCAAGCACTACGGCGGGAGTAGATAAATGGCACATTAGGCTACTCGCTTGTGCGGTTATTCCTCGTAAACCTCGCTTCGGCGAAGATAACTTCGACCGCTTGCCCTTCTTTGCGCTACAGTACTTTGCGAAAAGGTTTGCTTGTATGGATTTTTTACTCATACGCAACTGTTTGCTTTCCAGAAAATATCCTCTTGTATTCGGCGCTCCATGTGAGGTACTTTAGCTTCCTGTGTGTCAAGTCATACTGGGAGACTTATTGTTGAGCAGCAATTGGATATCGAAGCATTATACTTCAAGTTTTTTAACATCTTCCTGTCCATACACAAAATGGCACAACGGTGTAGGTGCTTCAGAAACGACAGCAAACAACATATACTTCTTCCTCGACTGCGCTTGCAGCTCATGTGGGCCTTGCTGATGCCGAAGACGCTGGGCCTCCAAAACTGAACAGCGAGACAGCATTTTGCCTCTCCATGGAGAGGTCATTCTACAACGGAGTCAAACGCCTAATGTTCAAGGTGAGCCATACTCATACTACAACTCGCATTTCTAAAAGTTCATGCGTTTGCATAGACCACACCCATTCTACCGAAGACCAATACAGATACACATGATGATGAGGAGATCTTGCGCGACTACCCTGTCGAATCCTCTCATACCAATGACGCTGAACTCGTGGAATTTGTTGGACATGATGAGGGCGACCATCCATTCCGGGTCGCAATTACGATGAGGCTTTCCACCTATTTAAACAAGGCTTCCTGGACAGAGACTGGACAGCCGGTGATTCTCTGGCCACTTCTCTAACTCCTGCAGTCGTTGAAACCTATTCAAATATGATATTTGATTCCGACGCAGACGACTCAGCTTATGACGGTTCTAAGGCTATTGTTGATGCTGGCGACGAAATGGTTTGTCTATCGTCAAGCTTGAACGTTCCCCCAGGAATAGACTCAATATGAAGGAACCTGCTGGAATCCCTCTGGGAGAAGGGGGGTAGGTAGCACTTACCAGACAAACGTCTCTTGCTCGTTCTCCGGAAATATCGGGGAGCTGTAAGCTGGCAGTGTAAGAATAAGAGGCGTTAACGCCTGAGGCTGTAAGGTAATAATAAACGAAGTCACATGCCTTTGGGGCGCTAAAACACGCGGCTAATTTCCCCGCGTAGAAATTCAATACTTTAACGGTCTAATCAACGGAAGCGTCGTTTTCGTCGCTATTTGAGGAATGTTTGAGCTCGCACGAGGGATTATTAGGTGGACACAGGTACAACCCTGAAACCAGCGGTCGTACCCTATAGAAAGAACTAGATTTGACAAGCGACGGTAGAGTGGGGGGAGGACGACATTGACAAGGAAGTAAACGACAGTAACGATGCGCATGCGCCTGCAAGGAGAAGACGATGATATGTCGCAGGACTCAATCTGAGGGTGTTACGGTTGGTCGTTTATGTCTTACTTGTATTGTAATTACAGCAGAACAGAGTGAAATGATAATCACTAGATGGTGAAATATATATTGAGAATACGTAGGTTCAAAGATCAGATAATTGATATAAACAACCATAGCAACATATAGTGTTCAGGTCTACAGCATACCTCTGCCAAAAATGAGGAATACAAGGCAATCAGTTCAAGGATCTCCTGACTTTATGAGTCTTTCCAAAATATATCAGTGCATACAGTACATGAAGCCTCAAACTGCAAACAAATCTTTTCCTAATTGCAGCAACTCGCCGCATGCACCGGAGCCTGGACATTCATGTCCCAGTTTGGAAACGCGGAAACCTATCAAGCAAATATTATCACCGTTCACAAGCACATTCTCAGGTGACAGGTTGCCATGTACTATCCCAAAAAGGTGCAGTTTTTCAGCCTTCTTGAGGAGCTGATATTTCCTGAGAGGACCAACTATCAGATCGCTACTGAATATATTGAGATCAGAACATACCTTTTATTATCCAATACATCGAAGCTGAGCAATTTCTCACCCTCGTAGCTGAGAAGAAGCGCTATTGCACCTGATCCATTGTAGGTACCGTAGTAACGGGGAGTGAGATTAAATGCAGGATCTTTTTCAGCTAGATGTTGATAGATATTTGCCTCTTCGAGGATCGCCTTTCCTCCTTCACTGACGTCACCTTCATTTTCCCGGTCCCAATCGGCAAGCTTGACTGCAATGCGGACTGGGTCGACCTCAAAATCAAGTCCCTCCATGATTAGGTCCCCGCTCCATACAATGTGGGTAGCGGACTCGGAGATTTGCTTCTCTAGGATGGTTCCTGCATGCCGAACCACGATAGGGGCGGAGCGCAAGACACCCTCGGTTTCAGGGCCAATCAAATGAGGAAGGATGTCAAGATGTGAAGTAATGGTTCCTGGTTCTAACGACAAACTTGAGGGGCCAGATGTAGCTTTAACTTCAGGTACACTAGAGTGAGATGAGAGTGGGGCTGTGAAGCTTGAACTAGCAATAGAACCAGTACTGGACCACAAAGAAGAGCTGCCAGTACTAGAACTTTCACTTGCGGTACTAGAGAAGGATTCGTGAGTAGACGATTTCCGATGAGTACGAATGACTGGATGTCTAAGAGTCTTCGGCTTGAGGACAGATCCGTCGGACAAATTGATGACACGGAGAAATTTGCTGAACTTGCTAGAATGCAGAAGTGGTGCCTTGCAATAAAATCCTAGATGTATTTCCTGTATTTTGTCTTGTAAGTAAGTACAATCTTTCGAAAGATGATAACATTGATCACATACATCAGCTAAAATCTTGATATTCTTATGCTGACGGCTCCGTTTGGATTGTGATTTGGAACCACCATCTGAAGATCTTTTGCTACTAGATCTGGTTGTGCGCTTGTACCAATCGCTGCCAGACGTACTGGCCTGTGACCCGGGCGCGCCGCCAGTACCTGCTCCTCCACCTGGAGGAGGAGGCGAAGGGGGGGGGTGGATGCCGACGAGGAGGGCTAGGTAGATGTCGAATGCTAACTTTCTTCTTCCTCTTCTTCACCTTTGAGGACTTTTTGGGCTTATACTCGTCATCATCACTTTCCTTTTCAAATTCAGTGTCACCGTCAAAGTTGTCGTTGGTATCACCCTCATCGCGACTTTGATCTGGAGGAGTAGGAACGTTGTCAAGGTCCTGGATGTTATCGTCATCTTTGTTGGATGCAGTAGCAACGTGGACGTTGTTGTTGTCTTTGTTGGCAATGGGCTCTTGAGGCTGGATCGTTGTATGAACTTTGACAGCTTGATATGGGTCTACAAATTTTGTAGGATATTCCGCTTGGCGAGCGATTGCATCATGAAACGCTGCTACTAACCACGCCGCGCGAAGTATTACATACCCCTCTTGAGTTGGTTCAAGCAGAGGAGAAAGTGTTAAACATCCATTGTGTCGGAAACGCTGCAACAAAAAGCAAGTGTTGTAGGAAGTTAAGGCGCCAAACGTGAGATCATGGCGAGTCATCTGGGAAAAAGCCTTATGCAAATATCAATTACTTCATGAAACAAGAGAGACAGCTTGAGCATACTTGTACTAATTCATTCCGGGCAGTGAGTACCCACTTCATAACCTTCTCTAGTTTGATTTTTGGTTCCAACTGCGCAAAGAATTTCGTTTTGAGCAGTTTCTCCATTTCGGGATAAACTGTATTGTAGAATGTTCCACCGTGCGGTCTGGATTTCTTCTTCTTTTCAGTGGCAGGTTCGTTGACTGGAGAGGTTGGTTGGGGATCTAGTTTGAGATGCCAGTTCCCCCTTGGTATAATCCCAACGACCCGCTTAATTTCTTCCTGGATGCGATCTAATCCAGCTTCTGTATCTTCTACCTTGTCCATGCCAAAAGAGTGTACACTATCTGGAGGCACAACAGCTCGTTTCTTTCTCTTCATCACTCGATGAGATTCAGCAAAAACCTCACAACCTGCACAGTCTGCCTCTGGCCAGATGACAATGTTCAGGTGCATAAGGAGGAGGAGGGTTAGGTATAACATAGGTTCTCCGATTAGCGTATTTTTATTCTCTAGATTCTGTAAAATCCCCATGTATGCTGGGCTGAGATCTGGATATTTGCTCTCTAGGAGGGGAAAGATGGGAGGATATTGCGACGAGTCTGTGTAATCTGTTGCCAAGATAGCAGTGTTTGGTTTGACCCCAATCAACAGATCTGCTTTTGTTTCTCTCTCGCGGCTGAAAACACACCCGAGAAGGGCCCAATGCCCAGTTTTGCTCATTTGAGTTGTTGAGAGTGGGAGCAGCAGGAGCGCAGCGAGGTCAGATATGACCCTAATGATGGATTTTTCCGCATCTACGGTGCCTTCTTCGTATGTACCATCGAAATGATAGATATCACGAAGTAGATTTTGCCAACGATATTGGAGAGAGTAGCTATGCCTGTCATTGAAGAAATCGACAGCTTCCTTCCTGGCAAGAAGCTGTTGAAGGAAGGGTATAGTGACGTCTGATAAAAGATTCGCGACGGGTTGGGTAGAGCCTTCTTCGTTTGTAGTTGAATCTGCTACATCCTCGTCCTGCTTCGTTGAATTTTTTTCGTGTTTGCCTTCGGAATCACTGGGAGGAGGCATAAAAGAAAAGGAAAGGAGGCCGAGGGTCATACGTGAAATTTTAATCCTCTCAGGAAGGTGAAGAGCGTATAAGGATGGACTGATAGTAGAAGAAGACGGCATGCGGTCTGACTCCTGGAATCTAACAGCAGAAGTCCAATCCAGGATTCTTCCACTGGCTTTTTGGAAGTCACTTTTTGAAGACATCTGGCCCCTGAAGCCCAATCAAAACCCACTCTGGGAGATCCTGTGATAAGAAGAATGAGAGTGTAACTGATTGCTTAGATTATCATAAACGGAAAGTTGCAACAATGCTCAAATATAACCAAACAATACTTGAGTGAGGATTCCGATGTATCATCCGGCATCCAATATCCGACTCAATTAAATATATCGAGCCTGCTCTAAATGCACTTCAACACATTGTTCAATATTCAACGTTGTGCCATACAGGTATTTCAGCAATTTCTATATTCTTTTTAACGACTTTCTCAAGTAGTTGAATTCATGCTAACGTAGCCTGATATTACGACGCAGGAAATTGACGACAAGGATGATCCTGTGTTTCCTTCAACTATCGTGAACCAACATCCCTCTTTACTCTATTGCACTTGCGAATCGAGCAGTAGAATCTGCCAGTTCAATTGAAGCCTTCGCGGGATCATGACTTAAGAGAAGATCTTTTACCAAGCCCAAGTCGATCTCAAAAACGCACTCGAGGTACGCTGATTCTTCCACGCATGAGTTTCCGTCCTTATGAACTATGCAGAATGCTATGACCAACATCAACTCCAGCCAAGGCTTCAAAAAGTCGAACTTCGGAATGTTGGTCATTATTAACGTCGGCTCCATTCAAATGCGTCTCGTAGGTGCCATTTGAGCTCATAATTCCAGGGCATCCAGGGCATCCCGAGGAGCAATTCCATCTTCAGCAAGGGTGAACTGTGATAGTATCTGGGTCTCTGTGATCTGGACCTTCATCATCAGGATTGGCTGTCTTCTTCCCGTATGGCACATGTTGAAAAATATTGTCAGCATTAGGGGCTCCTCCGAAAGGAGCCGATAGCATTATGTCTGCTAATTGAAGTTCACGAGGAAGTATATTGACATGCGATATTCACCTCTACCGCCATGTACTGAGCTAACTCGTGCATGGACTTCTCTCTCGCTCTCACCTCCAGGCCAACTTCAATTCCCTTCAGGAGATGTTGGGATTACAGCTACAATGTCACGTTTGATTGTAAGTAGCATTACATCCCCAAAACACGTTTTTAGTTGACAATGCGCATTCCTCCCATTCGTTGTTGTGCTGAGTAGACGACCAGATGAGAGTGAAGTTGCTCAATTTCTAGCGTATTCAGTTTTGCTGTTCTTTTCTTTGATCTGGAATTATATGAGGGAAGGGGGACACTTTGATTCACGATCGCGGTTCCTGACGTACGCAAATTCGACGAGACCCAGTGGCTTACTTTTTCTAACTTGTTAGTAGGAGAATCGGTAGATCATTACACATTACATAACTAATTGAATAGTATTTACCGTTGTTTGTTGTTCGTTCCGATTTTCTTTTTATAATCCTAACACTACCAGTTGAAGATGAATAATCGTTGGGCTGAGTGGGATAAGGTAAAATATTCAATTGAAATAGATGAAGCTACTCAAAGTTCAACAGGAAGTACTGGCTCAGACCGCTAGGAAGATCCCTTTATCTGCGGCAGAACGTTCACGAAAATACCGGTATCAACTTATTCTATCATTTTTACAAAATAGATACTCACAAACGCATAAGACAGAACAAGGCGCTCGCAAAAGCAAAAGGCGGAGGTGCAGAGAACGATAAGAGAAGCTGGGTCAAACGAAACAAATTTGAGCGGAAGATTCACTTCGGTTCTCCCCCTGAAACTGAACTCCCTGCCATTGAATCCCCATGTCCTTCCTCGAATTCCGTTTTTGACATTGAACTGGTCACGCCTCTCACTATCAACAAGATATTCTCCGAGTTGCGGGTCAAAGGGTACCAGATTCAAGGCCTTCAAGAGAGCTTTATGCTTAGTCCTTTGGCAGCAGTGCAGGAGAACATCCACTGTTATAGACCATGTGAGTATGTACACTCGAGTGCTCTTTATGTTTGATGCCTTACAGTAATTCTTGTGAGACAAGTATTTCCTGGAATTTCGGCTAATAGTGAAGATAGTATATTCCCTGTAGTCCAGTTCACCTTTCCGGGAGCAGTTGCCTTCGAGCGGTATTTTGATCAAAATCAATTCCCTGCTACAAGGTCAAGTCTCACATCACAGCTTAGATACCCCCTTTGCTTCTCTCGGAGGACATTGGATTATCAGCCGGTTTCTGATCTCCTAGACACTATCTATGTTCTTTCCAAAGGTAAACAGTTCATCTGATTTGATTGGCAGCCTTAGTTAAGCTTCTTATTAGCTGTGACATCAAGATCTACCCCGTCAGACCTTGAGGTAAAACAATCCTGGGTGTATGCTGGCTGGAGCTAATAGCATGTCAGGCCTCAATTCATAGTCTTGAGGAAGCTGTTCAGCGAAGTGATCACGGAGCATTGATCAAAAATTTGGCTTCAATCAATAAAATCTTCTCATCTGTGCCACCTTTGAAAGGTGCAGATGCTAGCTGCTATTTTCGCTTACTTCAAGAAATCTATGGACGTTGCCTAAAACCCAACCATACACTGCTCAAATCAGGACGTGATAACACTGTATATGGAGAATTGATGCCGATCTTCCTTGAACGCCTATTCAACGAGGCCAATCTAGTGGAGGATTCTGTTTTCTTAGATTTGGGTAGTGGAGCTGGGAACACGGTTGCACAGGCTGCACTAACCCACAGATGTAGATCATTTGGTATCGAGATCCGCCGAGATGTAGCAGCCATTGCGGAGACTATGGTTCGAACAGCCATTGTAAGAAGCGAGATTTGGGGTATTCCCATTGGAAAAATGGAGGTTGTCTGTGGAGATATGCTTCAAAGTGCAGAGGTAATTGAATGGATAAATACGGCCGATCTTGTTCTGGTCAATAACCGGATTTTTCCTTCATCTCGTGTGTTTTGTGTTTTATTCTACTCTCAAATTTGTTCCTAACAATTCATGATCCACAGTTAACGAGAAGATCAAGAACCTAATAAAGACCATGAAACTTGGCGCAGTACTCATCTCTCTGGTATCGTTTCAGCTTTGTGGGGTCAATCGCTCCGGCGCAGCTCGAAAAGGAACCGACGTAAGTTCACAGGTCTTGAACATATGCGTCCCTTATTAGTGGTCTTAGGATGTGGGTGCGATGTTTGAAGTCCGTCAAAGTCATTATTCCTCGGATGATATATCGTGGTCGAGTAAGGGAGGGAATTATTATGTCCATACGAAAATCCGGTAGATTAAATGTGTACGCAAGGGTTTCTGCCTCGGTCGATTTTTGAAGGAACATAGTCGGTGGATGGCGCTAAGGGTGTTTGCTTCTGATGTTGGACTGGAGTCAAGTTTTGCTGTGACGGTAAATAAGAGTTAACTGCGGGCTATGCACGGATACACACATTCGAACGCCTTCTTTCTTTATTTGACTGATCTCGCCTTCGCCTGATTTCCTTCACGACTCGCCAGCCATGCAGGTGCTATTAGAAGTCACCGAGGTCTGACAGTTAGCAAGTTCAACGTACGAAGAATTGTTGTAAAGCTATGTACTACAATGAGAAGCTACAGAAATATTCATCCCTTCAGCTAGAAGATAATGGAACCTTCAAAACAAAACAAGTTCGAAGTGTGCCTGCACATCAAAAATGTCCAGGTAGAATAGACGCAAGCAAGGTGACTATACTATCTCAACAATCTTTGGCTTCTTCTTGCCTGTTGGCACTCCAGGTACTTGAAGGTCTCTTTCTCTTCGTCAACGATGACTGGAAAAGGGCCTCGTTCCGAGGTACTCACCTTCCTTGCTCAAAGCTATCTTATTCAGGACTGGAAGAGTCACTAAGTAGGATTCGTCCTTATGGTGACTTTGTCGAGAGTGCAGTTAGGTAAGCAAGGACTGAAGATATTAATAGGTTCAATATTCCACCACACCTATTCAAGTATGAGAATCACTCACCTTGCAGGAATAATAATGGTCTCCTCCAATTGTCGAGTGAGTTTTGCGCTCAGCTTTTCCAGAAGATTTCGTTTCTCGCCACCAAGTGGTGTACTCTCTGCTTCGAGGGTATTCAGTTGATACAGAGGACGGAGCAGAAGAACAATACCTGCATGTGGTGCGTTCTCGGTGAGAGGAAAGGGCGGCGGTGTCGATGAACGTGGTTTGATGCCTAACTAGACCTTAGCAACTCGGGTTGAACGTTCGGTGTCGGCTGTATTCTTCGTTGAGGCACAAGGCCTTCGCCACGACCATACGTGATAACAGCGGAGAAATCAACCAGGAAAGAGACATCTTGCGCTATTATATTAGAGCAACGAACGAATTTAGCGTCAAAGGCATGAACCTTACGCATACGCTGTAGTGCTCCCCCCTTTGCGGAAGTCGAAAGACGCAAAATGAAGCGGAAAGACAGAGAACGTAGAACCCGTGTTGGTAGGCAATCTCTACATTTCCGTTGACAGTATAGTTACGTTGTCGTCCTAACATAATCTCGCGTCCGTTGCTTGTTTCCGGGGAGCTGGTTGGTCTTCGTTCTAGACCACGAAGAATATGAGTAACGGTAAGACATGGACAAACCATGTAGATGTACGATTTAGGAACACGGATCCTTTCCTCCCACCGCCTGCCCCAGTCAAAGATCAATACCATAGTCGGGTTCTCATGCCGACAGGCGCAATCGTGAATGAAACTTTTAGGTGACTTCGGAAGGCAAGTGGCCGCCGTAGAGTCGTAGATAAGTTGGACCAGTAGCTATTAGCGTCGACATTGCTATATGGGAGTTCCGTATCCTCATCTAAGATGGAGAGAGGAAAATGAAAAACTATTAGGAAGCAGTCAGACGTTAAGGGACTTACCTCCAGGTTACACACGGCGATACAATTGCCCCTACAATCTCGAACCCTTGTACTCAATTTCCTTCCACCCCTTGCGGTTATCGCTTCGTCCTGATTAGTGGCCATGATGGTGTAGAGGCCTTCTTCCTTTAGAGCCTCGATGGCTTGCGATCCAGAGTAGTCGAATTCCCCAGTTTGACCAATCGACAAACCCCTTGAACCAAGAATGACTGACTTTGGCCCTCGGAATGCGCGTTCTATCCATATTTCCCACAGATCAACGATCGTACTGAATTGCCACTATAGCCATTCGGTATTAGTTATTCTGGCGCTTCGTACGAATATACCGTGCTTGATTTATCTGGACGTCGTTCAGCTGCTCAAGGTAATCATCTGTTTACTTAACTCAACTCGTTATTCAATTTCAGGGATAGTTGGACAACTCCCTCAAACGTCATATCATGCCTGTATCATGCTTTACAATCGCCGTACTCCTTCTTCGGCCTTGGACGCACCAACAACTACATCGAGAACCTTTTTGTAGGGTCAACCATACATCTAGAAAACCACTACATCAACATGGAGGGAGTCAACCCCAATTCAAAAGTCGTCATTTTACCATCAGCTACAGAGGGCGAAGCAAGGAGCGTGAACTTTTTATACGGCCGGGAGATTGGATTCCTTGGGTTACGGTCACCGTTGTGCAGTAAGTACCTGAAAGGAGGAAGGTACTGCATCATGTGCCCGTTCGAAGACTATGGTTTGCCTACGGCGTCGGCAAACCGGCACTTTTGACGGTCACGCAGCGGAACGGCGGAACCTAGCGGAGCTGCGTTCAATAAACTGCCTATCCTCGACGGCTTCTTTCTTTCTTTCTTTCTCGCCTCCATTGTCGCTTTCGCTTTCTCGTTGCTTGAACAATTAACGAAGAATCAAAAAAGCAAAACACTCTTTATCTGAAGAATTTACGATCCATTTTTACGCCCATAGAAGGTAGAATTGACTGGGTACATTATCTATGTCAATAGTAAGCTGCTTTTCTCCCCCGCTACATCGTTGAAACTGACCTTTTCACCAAAGGAATCCCTTTATGTCCACGATTGAAACATAACACGGCGCATATCTTGACTCCGAACCTTTGGATCCGGCGTAAAGAATGGTCGTATCTATTCAACGATGATGAAGGTGAATCTTCGTTAACCGCTAGTGACAACTTACCATCACTTCATTTCCAACCCCTTTTTTTAATGGATCGAACGCTGTTTTGCCACTCAAAAATTGAGCCTTGATGATCCGGTGTACCCGTCATTACCAGAAGCTACTGCCGGTTTGCGAGGGCTCTGGACTGGTTTGACCGTGTCGCTTATGTACTGTGCAGTCCTCGGGACGATATTATGCTTAATGACTGATTGGGAACACGAGGTGGACAGGGTCAGAGCTAGAATGCGAACAGAAGAGCGGCGGGATCATCGGGAGAATGTGGGAACCAATGCCAGTTATGAAACTACTTTTACCGACACATAGTAGCCACGTACAGTGCAGAGAGAAGATTACTGAGGGTATAAAAATATTTTTTGCCTCTACATCATTTTATCTAGTGGGAGGATTGATGTATTTCCTGCAGCTTTCCAAAGATTGCCCTAAATATGGTAATTATCCAGGCAAGGTGTCCAATAATGCTGGTCAGCTTTCACTAGAATGTGTGGAATGAAAACACTGGTGAAAAAGTTGGAAAAAATGTATAAACCACAGGCATGAGGTTGATCGATGACCCGGACAAGCGCAACTGCAGGTCCCAACTATGCGGCGAGGATTCTTTATTATTTTTTTCACTGTCTCGAAGCCTTGTGTAAGATCATCAGCTTCTGAGTTCACGAAATGGAAGATCTTGGCCGCAACTCCGCCAATATATCGTCTCGTTTTCAAATTTGTCACAAGCACGCACACATGAAGACCCGCTTTCTTCGCGCCTACACGCCAACGACCACGACCACAACCAGCAGTGTTCAGCAATATGCAACAACATCCAGACTTTGATTGTCGCAGAGGAAAGCAGTCATCGCGAGCAGCTCCCTATGGCACTAGGCGTACTAGTTCTCAGCTTGATATGGCCTCCGAGTCGTCTCAATCGTCTCACTCTGATTCCCTACATAAAAAAGATAGAGGACACGGCAGCGCTAAAGTACCTGCTTCTGACAACGGCTTGGCATCGTGGGTTATCGATGACATGAAAAAGACATTCAACACCATACATAGGAAACATGGCTCGCTGAAGGAGAGACGAGATCTCAATATTAAGTACCACCACGTCGTTCTTGTCGTTCTCTGACATGACAACTACTACGACACTGAAGTCGGATTGATAGGTATGTCAACAGTGTATAACTAAAAACAAGCCATGCGAAATTCGACCTACCGCCCTCCAATGCGGAAATTGCCCGCCGTACGTCAAATGTACCCGCGTACCAACTCTCAAGAAACTTCGTGTTCTGGATATGATGGACATCTCCGAAGAGCAATATGATTGGCTACTCACTTGGTACAAAAAGACTGCAGAGGAAGAACTTCTCGAGCCTTTAAAGGAATCTCTCAAACTTACTTCTGTGAGAGATCGTGCATTATTCCTCCGAACTATTTCTTTGGCTGACCTTTGTTTCAGGCAAGTGTAACGAGCTCGGCGAAGAATTCCATGGTCTCTCCCAAAAGTCGTTTGCCCCATGCAAGTTTTTGTTTTCCTTCCTCTACTCGTACTTACGATGATCCAATAACAGACCTCCCTTGCTCCGTTAAACAAGTCTCATTCTCACGAAACCGAAAACTCGACTGACACGCAATTCCATAAAATCGGCGACTGTACCGATTATAGAACAGTGAAGTTTGTCCTTGCCACAAACGATGTAACCTATGGATATTCTTTTCCTCGTGAATACTCTTCGGCTTCAATTACTCCCATTTCCACCCAGCCTTCCCCCGCGTCTTACTCTCAGAATCAACAGTTACCCCAGGACAGATTTTTCACTCAGGCCGTTCCTTATTCACCATCGTTGTCGTATCCTTCTCCGTCCCCTCGCTTACTCGCTCCGACCGCTCTGTACAGAACCCCTGATTCCTTCTATCAGGAGTCCAACGAAAACTCCTGCTCCACAAGTGCTCAGTCGTCCGGTGAGTTTCTGAGGCCGTCGCTTCCTTCGTCTCATCTTTTCTTTGTGCTGAACTATGTAATCGCACCTGTAGTAAATCCCAGTCAGTACACTACGGTCACTTAGAGTTGCCATGATCCACGTGCTTACCCAACAATGAGTGAACCCACTCAATCGTCGATAAGTTACGATGAAAGGGCACCTTACATGACAAATCACCAGACTTGCGTGGACACCGAATTTGAATTTGGTGGATACGACCGTGTTTCGAAGAGCGCCCCAGAATCTTTGCACTACCCTGCGCATGGAGCTAGGTATATTCGTTATCCTCTCCTGTGATACGCTCCCTGGCTCGGACAAAGGACTCCTTGAGGGTTCAACGCCTTCTCCCCAATTTCGGAGTTGGAATGAGAATGCAGCTTGGATCGGTGGCCAAACTTCGCATGCATATATGAAACATTCAAGAAACTGACATAATGCAAAAGCTCCTGATATACCATTGGCGACAGGCAAGGGGAATAACTTGTAGGCTAGACGAGTCATTGGCCATTCTAGCATGGCAAACAAAGGCGGTGGCATTACAAGACGCAGCTTCCCACTATATCCTGGATGCTTTCCACTCGCTGCTAACGGAGCTCAAAGCAGCGCAACCAGATCTACGAGTCATAATATCATGGATACCTGGACATCTTGGGTGGAAGGGAACGAGTGAGCGGATGAAGAGGCAAAGAAAGCAGCACACGGATTCTCAAGTTCTCGCTCTTGCTTACCACGGCAACTACACAGACAGCTCCCATGAAGCTAAACGGTAGCTATAAAGACTTTTCGGAGTAAACTCGAGGAACACCATGACAAGATATAGCAGAAATCCCCTCAGTAGCCAGGCATACGGACACTGTCCTTGCTTAATCAAACCCTCGCGGTTAGACGGGTTACCGTCGAGGCCTCCTTATGGAGCCTGATGTAGATCACAGTTTTTTCAACCAAGATACAGGTCCTTGTTTAGTTTGTTAGACTTACTACGGTACAATGTTCACTACATATGCACTGGCACAAAGCCCAAAGAACGAAATTGTCCAGAACTTCGACCACAACAATTGTCGTCAGAAACCGTGTCGGCAAATCAGCTGTTAAAGTCAGCTTTGTCCCTTTCGAAACGTCATATGTTATGATAGCACCTTGGATGAATGTCGAAGCTTCACCGAGTGCAGAGAGTTTGACAAATAGTCCTGTTTTATCAAGAGTTCCCAACTTGTCGAACGTTGCGGTATCACTAATGACCCATCCATCTCAGGGAAAAGGAGAGCCCACAGTCTGATTATTTTCGGGACTTCCTGACGACGTCATGGAGTTAGTTCTCGGTAGTTGGGATAATGAATGGATATATTAGTGACATGAACAGGAGCGGCCAGCTTGATAGCCACATATCCTGCTCCACCTGCGAATTTCCAGCATCGGCCAATTTGAATGTCTTCCTCTATTACAGCAAGTGGTGGGGTTGCTGCATAGAAGTGATCCTGCTGGACACTTTGATGTCCTTGATACGGTGAAAAGCTTTCAAAGAATGTCGGGGAAGTAAGGGCTAACACAATAGCACCATCAGGCCCAAGTGCGAAGTCAGGGGCTTCAAAACAGGAATCGACTGCGGCGTGTGTGGAGAACGTCATAGACATCATCGGACAGTTACCGCAAAATATATGGAAACCATCGGCGTCGCATCGAGGAAACGGTTCATTCATGAAAAATAGCCCATATATCAGGTTGAGAGTCGCGCATACAATGAACGAGAGCCGAGGTGCAAAGCGAGACTGCAAGGAGGAAGAGTGCACTCTTATAATGTCAGAAACCAGGGCAATGATCAAGGACCCGCAGAACTGAAACGAAATTCTGGGTGTGGCAAGATGTAGAAAAGTGGCACGCGAAGACAATTCTAATGATGTATTCTCTTGTGCAGTATCCGGTGCAGTTGTTGTTCGAACAACTGGGGAGCTTTGAAGCTGTGGATCGCTGGTGCGAGGTTGCGCGCGCTGGTAATAGTGAAGTTTAAAATAGAACACCAAAGAATTGGTTTGGACATACATGTAGAAATTTGAGATCTACCAGCGATGAGTCTGCGACCACATTTCGGCGATAATCCAGTTTTTTAGTAGCCATAACTGAGAGGCAGAAACAGACGCGGAACTTGGAAGTGGCGATCGCGATGAAAAAATATTGCGGCACAGTCCGGACCGCCGCGTGATCCATGTCGTTTCGTCGTCTTTGTTCAACTCTTTGTTCTTTCTTTTATATAACTGTAGTGCCATGGCCACCCTTCGCGGTCGACCTTCAAATACAACGCTGCGTACAACCCCATAGGCACAACGTTCATTGCCTTCCCTTCGCTTGAGTCTGTCGACGTCGAAATACTGTAAGCTCGATGTCTTTTAAAGAAACGCTCCATCTTATTTCCCCACCCATAGTATAGTCGCGCTTTACATCAAACATCCAACAGGTCTCATACTCCCGCTTTCTCAAACATGTAAGTCAAATCGTGGATTCTGCTGCGTTAAGTTAGTTCTTAGTCCTAACAGGAATGAGTCGAAGCAATCATCTCTATCGTCCTTTTCTCCACATAATGATCCTGTCGCATCGATTCAATACGTGCTACATACTTCGAGTGTTCAAGCTGAAAGTTCATTTGTTCAAGAGGCCAATGCTTTCAGGTATGACAGAATTTCTAATTCACGAACCACTTCGAATTGTTTCTGAGTAGGGTTGCTCACCAACATCACGTTCAACACAACGCTAACCGTCGTTTCGTCGAACTCGATGTCACCAGGTATTCTCTATCTTCATAGCTTTGAAGACACTAATTTGAGCCTATAGGAGTCATCAATGCTGTCCAGTCGACCATGAAGGGAGAACCGTCGCTATAAACGACATCAAGGCTGCTGGTATAGCCCACGTTCTAAGGTTAAATTATCCCGAATCTTTTGACAAAATGGTTATATTGATCTTATTTCCAGGGTTGATCAAGGTTCTGCTCGGTACGATGAAGCCCAAGCTAAAACTACCAGGTATTATGGGGTCCATCTTCATGGTTGATGCTGATCCTTTGTAGGAGTGCTCACCCAGGTGCTGGTCCTTTAGCATTTCCAATCACACCTTCCTCATCTCTGGACTATGATGTCGATCCTTCTGCCCTTCCCAGATCCAGAAAAGTCAAAAATAAGGACATCTTGGATACATTGGTTCATGTTTTGTACCGACCAGGACATTGATTATCTTCCACATCGTCCCGCGGGGTTTTTGACTCTAGAAGATCACACACTCTTTATCCATGTTAATACGAAGACTCAACAAGAAATCCAAACCATTTCCGCAGTCCGCAACAGTGCACCTGGGGGGCCTTCTGTTATTTCTCGCTGTCTCCTACAGATTTGGAAAGCAGGAGACCATGAATGGCGAACGATTCAGTATGGCGTTGCGGAAGTCATTGAGGGTGAATCACTTGTTCTATCTTTGTGTAAAGGTGGTCTGGAGCCATGTTGGGTTCTTGCCAGTAGTCTCAGGGAAAAGGGTTACAAGTTCTTATCGCAGAAGACTAATCCTACAACTTGAATCAATGCTATCATGGATATGGTGCATGGCGGCCGCTCGGAGTTCATTCACAGTAGCATCACCATCTACATCGGCAATAACAACGCTTTCAAATGTTACGCCCGTCCCATGCAATTCATCAGGGCCCTTGGCAGACAGATCATAGCTTGCTGTAAGGGATTCGTTTGTCATCAGGGATTCGTTTGTCATCAGGGATTCGTTTGTCATCAGGGATTCGTTTGTCATCAGGGATTCGTTTGTCATCAGGGATTCGTTTGTCATCAGGGATTCGTTTGTCTGATCAGGTAGAACATGCTCAATGTGTACTGGTAGCGTATACTCTTCGGGCAAAGAGTTTAATAAACCGTCGTTGATTATTATATCCTTATACCATCTTTTGTGGGTCTTCAGTCATTATAAAGCTCTACGAACTTTCCCAGATCGTACCGTCAATGGTTTAGCCTGAGTTCTAAGCCATTCATCACTGGGTTGTGTAGATCCGATAAATATAACGCAACGGGTTCAGAAAGTTCTTCGATTGAAGGCGGTAGGACTTTGGACACAGAGGATACATTCTGCGGGAATATTATTACACTCTTTGTAACCTCTCTGGTTGGTAGGTGTAATGAAACCGTTATCTTCTTTGAGCTGAATGATCCAGCTTTTCGCACGACATCGTGAAATCATTGCCTCTTCAACGACACTCAAATCTTTTAACTCTTCAGGAACCGCACCAAGGAACAGATGATTGGCTAACGATAGTGCAGGTGTCTTTCTGTTTTTCAAAGCCGAATGACATGGTTGACAAAGGCTCAGCACATATTTTCCATCGTTTGATCTTTTGACACCATTGATGTCCAGCATAGCGTCTGGATAATCCGCCACAACCCCGTGGAAGTCGGGAGCAACACAACGTTCCTCTAACCAGTTTGCGTCGATGACTGTAGAAGAGGTCTTTGAAGAAATTCTTACATTCGGGGCATTCAACAGCGTTAAATCGACAGAGCTAGATTCAATCTCGTGCGCATGAGAAACAAAATCCTCAGTAGAACACGAAGCACAAGTGAATGTTTTCAATTTTTCAGTGGATGTTAGATCAATGAATTTTTGAATACATTCCTCCTTAACGGATGTAGGCACTATAGTAGGCCATTGGTTCCTAATCTTTTCCAGATTTTTTTCACTGCTTACGAAACTATCGGGATTAGATACTAAGCCATCCACATAAAGTTCTAGACGACATTGCAGATCTTTCTTGCAAATCGCTTTTCTGATGGCCGAGTTCCAAGATGTCCAAGATTGACCTCAGAGTCTTAACTTTAGTATTTTGGTCGACGATCTCTGATAACAAGATCTTAAGATTCTCGGATGGTTCAGAAGCGGGCAGTTCTGAGTGCGGATGGAATGATTCAACAATCGAACGACATCCTATTGAATCATGATTCGCATAACACATAGCCGTCACCAAATGGCGAGACAATAAAGTAGAAGGACTGACATTGGGTGCCGATCAATGCCAGAAAGGATTTCCGATGGAGTGACCGGTAACTCTTTGTGTTCATCAACCACTGCTGTTTGTACACGAGACAAATATCTCTGTAGACTGCGAATCATCTGCCTACGGGTGTCTTGTCTGACGGGCAGAAGGTCTCGGCATAGCTCGTGCGTTCGCCCGAGGTTTAGGCCGGTTGTGTGGTTTAGATGAAGCCCTGGGTTTACTATAGACAGAAAGACCACCAGCAACTCCTCCTCCTCCAGTAGGAGAGGAAGGACGAGGAGTTGTAGACCTCCTCTGGCTGAGAGACTTGCTCTAGTTGGGGGCCAAATAAGCAACAGAGTTTCTTTTTCACTCCCCCCTACGGAGCCAGCACCGGAATAAACAAACTCAGTACTGTGTTGACCAATGCTTAACGTCATCGTGGTCGTGGAAGACATCATCAACTCGACAGACTCCCTAGAGTCGGACTCGGAGTCTGAGTTGTCCGATTCAACATCGACGTCCACACTAAGTCTGCGTCATCTTTGTGGTTGGAAAGATGGGTGTGATGGCTACTGCGGCTAGTGGGACTGCTAAGCCGACTCGAACGACCTTGCTGGCCACTGAAACTCAGAGCCTCCTCCAATGGAGTTAATGAACGGCCATCCGAACGACCACTGGGAGAGTCCCCAAACAGCACACGCAACGAGTCTCCGGATACAGTTGGGATGGGAATTTGGATAGGTTCAGCGGAGTTGAGGTCACGATCAAACGAAAAGATATGTTCGTTATTGGGATTGTCGTCAAAGATCAAGGGGTGATAAGCGGAAGAGGAATGATCGAACATCTCTACGTCTTGGCTTTCATCTTCCCCATAGAAATCGTTCGCGTTGGGATTTTTGGACGGTGGAACTAAGGAGGTGGTACCGAACAACGGGGGAGTCGACGACGACGCCGTTGTCGTAGTTTGAGTAAATTGGTTGAACAACTCGAGGTATCCGTGGTATTTGTCGTGGTGTCACTTGACCCCTTCTGGGATAGAGAAAGCCGGAGACCAAGGTCTCCAGGACCGCACTCCACCTACCGCACCAGGTGCAAATGATTAAGGAGGCCATCCATGTCGTCTCCGCCGTCCAAGCCCTTCATACCTTCCATACCGTCAAACCCATCCATCCCTCTCAATAACTCATCAAGCGGAATCTCAATCGTCGGTTGAGGAACGCTGAGTGCGCTAGAGGTATCATCGGAATGGCTAGCACCATCGTTATCTTGAGAATTTGAATTCGAGTTTGAATGCAAATGAGGATACGAAAGACTGAGATCTTCGACGTAATTCATACGCGTCGTGAGAGTAGGAGAAGGGTATAACAGCACAGGTGGACCCAAGTCTGAAGAGGAGAGAATAGTGGTTGAGAAGGTGCCTGCGTCCCAAGTGTTCATAAAGGTGTTATTCCTGGGGGCGTTAGAGGGCGAGGTAGAGCTCGTCGTCCTCCCGCACTGAGTCGCCGTCAGTGGGGCATCACCACAAACATCCATTTGGTCGTGCGCCTGATCGATATGTTTGGCAGCGACAGTACCAGCTTTAGTTCGGAGTTGGCGGATAGCCCCAAGACGTATCTACGCAAGGACCCTGTATATTTAAACCGCATCTGGTCTCATTTTCGGTCGGAGCGCACCTTCACACTGAAAATTAAAGGTACTATGTCAGTGATGGAGTCGGGCCCTTGGGGCGTTCGTTTCCAACGACCCAACGATCCCTAACGTCTAGCACCTAGAGTCTTTTGGCAGCGGTTTCGGTGGACAGAGCCATTTACCGGAAGCGTCGGCTTCACGTTTGGATGATCCACGGAGAGCCAGGCTACATAATCACTTGAAGCCTTGAACGTGAGGATGTCCACCATCCTAGTCCTCTTTGTCATCCGTAAGCAGTTCTGCCTGTACGCTTAGGCATACGGAGGTGATCCAGATGCAAAATCCCACTGAAAACATCAATTAAGACCTTATTCATAGTAAAGGGCTGTCGGAAAATGTAAAGATAGAGGAGAGAAGTATTAAGACACGTAACGCACCACGGAAGCACGGAAGATAAGTAGACCCATCACGAAACTGGAAGATAAGCAGACGCCATAACTAATTGACAAGAATTAGAATACCAAGTTGAACCCGAATTAGCCAGACGCTAAAGCGGGTTTACAGTTGAAGTAAGGGCGGGACTCCACCCGACACAACTTGGTAAACACTTCTACCGTCAAAAGGAGGTCAAGAAATAAGCGCCCAAGTCTTTGCGATTTGGTTGTTTGAGGCAGACCTCTGCCACCGTCTACTCTTCGTGCCCATATGAAGCGACCGCCAGACAATCCAGCTGATAGCGTAGCTCCTCAATGACATTTTGTTGTCCTTTTTCAACCACTGGCCTCGTATATTGTTGCGGCTCGACGGTTCACCGAGTTTCAAGTAGGAGGTTTGACCTGGGAGGAGTAGGAGGGAAGACTGCGACGATAACAGCGAAGCAGGAAGAAGCAAGAGGGTCGAGGAGAAAGTCGAGATTGACCATACTGATCTCAACGCGACAGCTGCTCCTTCGACCCTCCGAAGCGCATTATCAAAATACCCCGCTTTCATGACGAAGACATCACCGTTCGCGGCGTGCGAGTCGCTACTGACCACCCCTCCGTTCGACTCTGCAATCTCCTTCTGGCTCTTCTACCACGTTGGCACCCAGCCAGCAGCCCCATGTCAACACTATTGTTGAGTTCAGCTTGATTTCACCACTTGAGAGCGAATATGATCTGAAGTGAGAAGAACTTCACAACTTTTTGAGAGTGAATCTATAAGATTGTGCACACACCTATATCCGACCGATTCGGAGCACTGATCCACATTTACCATTCGAGGCTGGGTGCACACCAATTTGAATGATTGAGAAAGGCCAACGCAGCCCGGATTTGTGCAGAAGAGCGTATCATGTATGAGTGTAAGTAAGTTCAGCATCGGACGCAGTGGAGGGCCCTTATATAGAAAGGTTTAGATTTGAGAGTAATTGACTGAGAGTATGCAACCACGTTATCGCGCACTGTTCATGCTTCATAACGGGTAAGGTGAGAGAGGAAGAAGAATAAAATCGAGGCACTCTACGTCGCACTGCTCGTGCTCAATAAGGAGTGACACTGAGTCGGGATTGAGATATTAATGCCTGGCCTAAATCAACATAGGCGCGCCCGCGGAAATCTTCTCACGCTATCAAGCGCTGATCGTTTCTGCACCTAAGGGTTTTCTTCTTGCATGGTCTTTTGTGTTGGTTTAAATTGCACTTCCAATGTCGTTCTGTCATATTTAGATAGTGGCTCTCCCAGCTCCTCTGTATCGAGCTACAAAACTGTTTTCCTCATCCATGGTCATTCTTTCAGCAACGGTGGGTGATTTCTTCAATAGATATCAATAGCAGGTTCTTTTCTCACTCAAACGTCTCTCACCTCTGAACACACAATATTAAAATTCGTGTAGTGGAGGCAAGTGGCCAAGTGAAAAACCTCGACGGAGGTTATGAAGGAGAAGTGGGTAGTGATAAGAGATATTACAAGCTAGTAGAGCTTTTCGAATTCGTCTGCATTGTAAGGGGTGACAATCCGCTCATATAGCTCGATGAACTCGGGACATGTGTTGGGAAGTGGTAAGCGAAAATGAACGGAAAAGCCATAGTAAGAAAGGGTTGGCGGAATCGAAAGTTCGAGGAATGCCTCAATTAGGTCTGGAGCGACAAGTGTATGAGAAGGCGTGGTGCCCATCGCTTCCGCAGAAGGTGCAGACGTGCGCATCCTGACAGGTCTTGTTAGCTTTGCAATTCCCTCGGATGTTCCACTGATATCAGATGCGTTTGTCTTCTCCCTGAGGGAGACCGAGGACGAAAGATACCCCCTTTGATCCACCTGGCCCAGAGGAGGGAGCATGTTTATTCGAATGGTCTGCAGCGGAGTGCCCCTTCTTACCACATCCAAGGCAACAGAGGTCGAAGGAGTCACCCTTGTTGCCTTTCGGAAAGGGCTTAGAAGAGGAAGGAACCGTGGATGAGTTAGGTGACTGTCAAGGTTTCGCCTCCAAAGACCGCTCGTGATCGGTGACGACGCGATTCCATGCCATGTTATAAGTGGTAAGGTCGAATTTGGTGTTATAGAGACGGCGTTCTTCCCGAAGACGATACTCACGGGGTTTCCAGAATCGGTAATATTTCTCTGCATCACGTTGATTGTTGAAGAAAAGGAAGTGTTATCGAGTTCAGTTTGCTCGAGTGCAACCATGACCATCCGGGTCACGACTGAGTTCGAAAGCAAAGTAGTTCTTGGAGGCAAGTTGTGTTTCGTATAAAGAGAGACCCTCATCTTCGTCTGCTTTCTCCGAATCTGGCACCCGTATATTGAGACGGTCCAGTAAGTCCCACAGGACCACTTCGGTGCGCTCCTTATCTCCCGGAAGAAGCGTTTTCGAGGTCTTGAGAGACGAGGAGTTGGAATGTATGAAAATGAGGTTGTTATTGGCAGTGAAAAGTGGAAGAGGAAGATAATTATGCCATCGTCCGATTCGGTAAAGACATTCCGGTAGTTCAACGTTCTGAGCGATGGTCGGGTCTGGCGTGGTTTCGATGATGGGGGTCATAAGTCTCGGATTCTTGTCCGGCCCATTCTCCAGCGCGTCGCCTTCCTGCACCTCCCGAGTACGCTTTCCTTTAGACAAATTCTCCACCTCGTTGGCTTTCGTCATCCACGCGAGTATGTAGCTAGGGATCCACTGTTTGACACGCTCAAAGATGGCAGGAGTTGTCCTGATATCGTTCCATTCATCCTCCGTGATGGTAATGAGCGAGGCCGAAGGAGAACCCTTTGCTGGGGCCTTCTTTTCAATGAAAAGCATGGTTTTCTCCTGCCGCGCCTCGTTAGCTCGTTCGATGTCGTAGTTCCTTTCCAATCTTCTCTCCAGACTGAGTTTTTTTAAATCGGAATAATTCCGAGAATGTGAGTACGGCGTTGGCGATCATCAGCCCTAACAGACGACGAGGTTCTGAGGAGAAGCGGGGGGTGTTGTGTCATGACTCAAGAACGCCTATATGCACAGAAATATCACAAAGCGAGCTTGAGTGAGTTTCGACAATGAGAGCGTAGTTCAAAAGCGATTGAGGGCCATTTGTGGAGGGGTCCAGCGAGAATGCATACATGATGTCCCATTTGATATTGGGCTGTGCCTACGGGTACAGTTCGCGCACTCTACGAGCGATAGCCTTCTCCGATGTGCAAACAAGCCGCATCCCTTTCTTTTCATAAGAAATACTTCGAATAGTGTCCTCACAGTTTACATCGCAATGAGAAAAGAAGTCAGCGTTGAATTCTTTGTCGCTTTGCCGACGAGCGCGCTGGATTGTAAGGGCGATGTTGTGAATGGTCGGAGGCAAAGTCATTGAGCGCTGGTACTCTTCAATAAGAGTCTCAGGACAGTTGTTGAATTTCTGTAATTCCTCGACCAGTATCTGAGGAGAGATCATTATTTCCACAATCATGAAGATTACTCATTATTGTCTTACCTTCCATTTATGCCACTGTGTTCGATTTCTCGATGCCTTCCAGCGTCCGGCCATCGAATAAACTAGTTTCCAATGCTTGGCAGCTATCCTATTTCCTGCAACAATAGGACAAGATGATGCATCCCAAGCATGGGAATCATCATCCCAAATGCTCAGCAATTTCTGTAGGTACGACTGTGGTTGTCGAGGCATTTTCACTATTGGATATTCAAGAACATCCACTATAGTGAAAGTGATGCTCCTGTCACCCGGTAATATAGCGCTGAAAGTTTCGGCAAAAGTCTCCCCAGATGACTGCAAAAAAAGGGTCTGGCAGGATCGATGGATGAGGTGATTGGTGATTGGCAAAGTTTTGAAGGTGTGACAGGTACGGATGATGGTACGACCGCTGCAAGTGAAGAAAATACTTGCAAAGACACAAACGTATAGGGATCTGATGGGGAGAATCTATCCTGTCAAGCTTCGACACCTCAAACCAATTTTTTGAACCGATACAGATATGTGGCCTACCCATTTCTGTGCTTGTCTAGCGATAGATTTCTTGAGCAGCTCTCGCGACTGGCTTAGCTTGATAGACGATAGGCGAAATTTCGTTTGTTTGGTATCCTTGTCAAAACAAGATGGATCAGAATTACGATCAATTGCAATGTGCATTGACGGATGATGATGAGCGTTTTCTTCGTTTGACAGCCTTGCGTGGACAAGAGGGATCGGCATCGCTACTATTTGCATTCTTGATTGCAGTTCGGTCACGTCACTGAAGGTTACACAACACACCTCCACTTTGATGGGTTGAGGGAGAATTCTCTGAGGGCCTTTAGATAATCACTACTACATCGTTTAGTCTTGAGGCCATACTTCTTGCATAAGTTGGCTAAACTCGGGGCCGACAGTTTAGATCTATGTGGGTAATTGATTAAGAAGAATCTCCATTTGAAATACAGGCCATGAAGCTCACAGATCAACAACTTCATGGCCAGAACCGATTGGGAAGGTCATTCTGCTATCTCCTTCTTCAAATTCGATACGAGCCATGTGGTTGACCGAGAGACTCAGTCCTACCGAAATAGTAGTTGTACAGCAGTTATCACTGAGGATAAGTCACATGACTTAGAAAGATAAGATATATTAGTTCTTCATTTTGAAGTAGCACTGTGCGATGCACGATGAGAAGCTCGGTTCCGCCCACTCGCTCCCTTCGCCCGTGAGTTGAGAAAGTGGGAGCAGCCAATTAAAATATCCGACCAATCATATGTCGAAGACAAAAAGCCTTCGTTTGTATTACGGGTTCTTGCTTATCTTTTAAGTAGCGGTGTTTGATTCGTACCCCCACAAGACCTATGTCGAATACAAGCCCTGCTCCGTCGCCATCCTCAACTCCGCGCAAATTTACCTGGGGCCACATTTGCGGCATTAACAGTCAATGCAGGCCTGCAATCCTGTTTGCCTCCTCATCAAGACCCTGACAGGACCCCGGAAGCTCCTGCCAAACCCCACCCGCCCAGGCGGCCTCAAGTACGCTACGATTTTGGCCTCAAGCAGGCCTCAAGTACGCTAATTCGGATAAGGAATGTCACGTGAAATCGTAAAAATTGCTCTGAAAATACCGAATTTTCTTCCCCAAGCCTGGAATCATCTTTCTGTACGTTTTTTTGACTATTATCGCTGCATCCGGAGCTCTTCTGAGCTTCTTTGCCCAAACTCCGGTGCCAGAGCTCCACTGGGCCACCAAGTCAGCCAATAAATACCCAAAGTATGCTATCTCGGACAGGGATTGAGCCTTCTGAGGCCTAAAGTATGCTAATTTCGGCCAAGGAAAATGGCAAAATTGGGTCCTAAAGTACGCTAATTCGGATGGGGTCTGGTAGGAGCTTCCGGGGTCCTACCCTGACACTGTTCATGGATGGTGCGCCGACACTCCCCCTGCCAAGTATGACCCTGACAAAGGCGGTCATCTTGTACTCTGGGTGCTTCATCTTACTATACGCTTTCCTGCAGGAATCACCATACTATTTTTTTCTGAACTCATCACCCACTCCATGATTCCTATTCAGAGAGGCAAGACTCGTTATGCCTTAATCCAATATTCATCTGGCGGTCTATTCCGGTTCAGGGTGATTGGATTCCCATCCGACAAAAATTTCCTGTCAAAACCAATCAAGAAAGAGCTTAGAGAATGAGAGGTGTTCGTGGAAAGCTTTATTAAGCTAGTTTACAAAGGAGGGGAGGGAACTTGGTATGGGGAGACGGGAAGGGGACTTACAGGACAGAGGTGGGCCTTGGTAATCTGAGTAGTCTTAGTAGTTCTGAAGTAGAAATCATATCTCATGCAAAATGTCGCTGTCGATAATGATACACTGAAACTTTTGAACTATTGACTTGCATTAGGCTATTGTGAACTCTGATAAACTGCAGAATGCATTATCACTAACACAATGCAAAGAGAAGCATAAAGTAAACATCTTCTGCACCATGGGCGTGCTTGCTTGTCTCGTCCTTGTCTTGCAAATGACGAAGTTGCAAGCTTAATTGAAGTTAGTAAACTTCAAGTATGGTAAATGTACCTTCCCAACAATTACTACAAATTCCAGATAGTAATTATAAATAATGACAAAATTCGAGAGTAGACATAATGCATCAGACAAATAACCTAAAACCTATTTCCTATCCTATCTTTAAAATGAATGTTCACTTAAGTAGCAATACGAGTCGAAAACTCCACAAGTCACAGGGGAGATTCCCTAAAGGGAACAGTTAAGATAGCAGAACACGGAGTGTTCCGCGAACGTCTCGCGCTTCATCATGCACACGAATCCACCCTTTGAGCCACCACTGACCTCCAGTACCAGATCGTTCATGTTCATAGCCCATTTCGTCGACATAGAAGGCCTGTAATCCTCCCATACGCTTCGCAATGTAAGAAGTGCACCATAATAAATCAGCTTCTGCGATGGCGGCGTATACTGCGCAAGGATCATTCCGATCAAGTTTGCGCACTGGTTGTAAATGACCTTTGAGTCCAAATTGTAGCTGCCGAAGAACGTTGCGAAAGTACAAGATTCGTAGCGACGATAAACTATTGAGTGCAACGACAAAATCATCCTAATGGGAAGTTGATCAGCACCAGAAACAAATGACAAAAAGGACATACAATATGATAGGTATCATCATAATAGTCAAGGTCAAGGCTCAAGACCTCAATTGAGGGGAATGAGGAAGAGATGAGGGATAAAATTTCGAATAAGCGAGTACCGCCGAATGTGGTGGTTATGAACATCCCAGTAACATGCCACTGTAGTGGGAGCTGGGTCGTTCGACTCAGACCAACACGATGAATATCAAAATGTTCACGAAGGTCTCGACGGACGGATTCCTGGATAAACGAAGAGAGGAAGAGTGGCGTATGATGATTGAAATATCGGTTTCCATTGTCTACAAGCCAAAGCTGTTTCAGGTATGGGTGAGCCGATGTAAACGTAGGAAGCCATGCGTATGATACACGATGATATCCCACCGACAAATTGAGCTCCTGAAGGCCTTTGAAAGTTCTGCGCTCAAAGTTTTTGTTGAGCTCGGATCCAACAACGTCTAATTTTGAGATACCCGAGCCTCGGTGTAAGCATCGAGTCAGTTTTGAAGTATGATCGAATTTTGCATGCTCGAGGACAAGTTTTGACAGATCTAAATTGAAAGATCCTGCAGGTAGATCGTGCAACGAGTTCAGCAGTACTGTTGAGACAGAGGGCTGCTCGAGAACTGTCCGAAGGAGAGCAATGCTTGGATGTGGGCATTTCATATGGATGAATGAGAGCTGACGTAAATGGGAAATAACTCGGCACAGAAGCAGAAGGTCTTGTCCCTCTTGTGTGCGGGTACAGAACGCGCCGAGACTAAGAGCTCTACGAATCGTTGAATTAAAAGAGGAAATATCAAGCGCTGTTAACTCGCCGTATAGTGTTTGGGATCAAAGACCCAGCGGAGCAGTGCTCCAGGAGCTTCTTCACGTCCTGGTCACTCTTCAGTTGTAGGTGTGCGAAAAGAAATGGCACGCAAATGCGCCGCAAACACTTGTTGACTAGAGAAAGCGAAGATAGTTCGGCGGACGTAAATTGATAGAAGGGCTCCAGATGTCTACAGCTGGGTGGTCCTGGGATATAGGCCACAAACGTCACTATATGATGAAGGAGTTCGTTGGGTAGAATGGTTGGGTTAGACATCATGTCGCATGTGACGTTGTCAACGTGAAAAACATAGGGTACAAAGGGTGGGTAAAAATGCCCACCTTCCTTTTGGAGGTATGGCCGACGATCTGATCTGATTAGTCTTTGTTCGTGTCCGCGAGGTTCTGATAAGATAGGGCTCATGTAATCGAAATTAAGTTCAAACAGACCTACGTTACTAGGGAGGACCCCGGAAGCTCCTGCCAAACCCCACCCGCCCAGGCGGCCTCAAGTACGCTACGATTTTGGCCTCAAGCAGGCTTCAAGTACGCTAATTCGGATAAGGAATGTCACGTGAAATCGTAAAAATTGCTCTGAAAATACCGAATTTTCTTCCCCAAGCCTGGAATCATCTTTCTGTACGTTTTTTTGACTATTATCGCTGCATCCGGAGCTCTTCTGAGCTTCTTTGCCCAAACTCCGGTGCCAGAGCTCCACCTACGTCCATTAGGCCACCAAGTCAGCCAATAGATACCCAAAGTACGCTATCTCGGACAGGGATTGAGCCTTCTGAGGCCTAAAGTACGCTAATTTCGGCCAAGGAAAATGGCAAAATTGGGTCCTAAAGTACGCTAATTCGGATGGGGTCTGGTAGGAGCTTCCGGGGTCCTTACTAGGGTTCAGACCATGTTCTCGTTGACATCGGTACAGAGTACTTTGTTCAAAAGATAAGCATCAAATATGAAGTAATCTTAATACCAATGCTGAACATACTTATTATGCACAGGTCTTTGTCGAGACTCGAATTGCTGCGCTCATTTCTACCTCACCCCTGCTTGTTCATTTGCACAAATGGCGAATGCGGTGAGCCTTTCATCCTGATACTCGTACTAAAATCATACTCACGAAGGCAATACTGTAGGACCCTGTTTCCAGTTTCTTACGATATATCACTACATAGGCCACCTGCGACCATCGATGTAAATGTCGCTCTGACATTGGACGTCTTCCAATCTATGACTCTCTTCCTCTCAAGAATTTCATCTTTCAGGATTAGATTCAACCTTCTCAAAAGCAATTGGCCTCGTATCTGGTGAGCAAGTTGAAAATCTTGCTTTCGGTGCTTTCTATGCTGGAGAGTGCTCTTCCTTGCTCTGGCTAGTATACAGGTTTTGCAGATATGATGTGTGAATAGATAGGTCCATGTTAGACTATGTGACATGTTATATGTAAACCAAGACAGAATACAAGTTCTATCTAGATGGTGGTTAGTAGGGGATCAACATGAATTCGCTAATCAAAGGAAAACATCAACTATGTTGGGAAGTAATTGTCCATCAGGTTTTTCGTACACAAACTCATGACTAGGGTCCAACAAAGTCATCCGACAAACTGGTCGAGCAAAATAGTCCGAATCATACAGAGTGCGAGGACATATTAGCGCAACTATTGTATCCTGGCTACTCGGAAACTTTGCACCTGAAAGAAGAAGATACGACTGTAACCTGGTCGAGGAAACTTGGTTCAAGACCCTCCATGTCCAAGGGTAGGTTGCGAGATTGAATTCAATAACAATTTTTTTAAAGGAATTTGAAAAGTGTTGAGCAGAAATCGATCGAGAAATTTCACCACAGTGAGCTTTGACTTCAATGAGTACCCGAAAGAGGAGCTGGAATCGGTCCAGAGCACTCATATCTGCTGCGTCTTGATCATTTTGGGAATAATCCCGTGGGTGAACTAGCGAGAACATGAGTAACAAAATCTTGAGAGAGAGACGGACCAACTGACTAATTCGTTTAGATCTTGTATTCTGACAGTCGTTTTTATGCCCAGCTTGCCAGTCTTGCCTTTGACACGATTTTGAACAATAACTAGCAACAAGACAACCCCCACATTGTCGCAAATGATTGTTAGGAAGGAAAGGCTCACAACACTGGAAGCATGACTGTCAGAATACGTTCATTCACTGAACAGTAGACAAATGCGCACCTGTCTGTTTGAACAAGCGGTTTCCAGGGCCTTTCGAAAGCAGATGGATCGCGTGTAGCTAGCTTCCGGAGAGTGAATCTCGCCCATAAGATCTGACCAGACTTTACGCAGCCGTCCAGTCAGATAGATCTCGAGGTCGTGGGATTGTACCTTCTTCATAGTGCGACGGCACCCTTGGACAACAGGTCTATAGATTGAAAGGAGAAGAACCGTGTTGAGTATTTCTTCGAAGACGCTGTTTATAGACTGGTCCCGCCCTGAGTCGAGTGAATTCTGCATCCAGTTCAATGTCTTTGCTAACAGATGCAACAGACCAATATCTAATACTTTGGCAGTCCATTGTGGACCACCAGATATGAGCAGCGAGAAAAACCTAGCAAGCGAATAGATAGATATGGCACAGAAATTTTTGAGATCGGTGTTCGAAATCCGGGCTATCTTGGTGTACCATCTCCAAAGTTCATGAGCTTGGATTAACACAGGATCAATTGCATCGAGCGTCGGAAGGGGTTGAAAGAACGAGGCTGTCGCAGACAGGAGCATTCCTCGATTTGCAGCTGCAAGTTGACGCTCTGAGCCAGAGGACGACCGTGTCTGACTCAAAAAGTCTTGGAGAGCGGTCAACCACGTTGATAGCAAGTTCGACGCCGGACAAACGTCTGCAACGGTCCGAAAGGAAACGTCAGCGGGAGTACCCCCAATTATTCGACTAAACATCACGAGGAATTGTGTGACAGGGCGATGTACAGCAAATGGCCACTCTCTGGTGAAAGCCTGCACCCAAGATTTCGCCATGACCCCAACTACCTCAGGATCACCCGCCAAGCGAGCGACAAATTCTCGCAGTTCCCCTTCGGTAGATTGACTAGCGGAGGCGATCGAATTCAAAAAATGGAACGCTTCTGAGAAGCAGCGACTGGCAGTGTCAATCGCATGGTCATCGGGAGCGTAGAGTGCATCTTTGAAAGCTTCGAGTGGCTTCAAGGATGGTTAGCCGAAAATACATGTTTTGCAGATGACACACGGGAAGGAGAAAAAACTCTGCTCGACGGAATCGACCGGCAGGTGCACCAGGGGTGAACGTAGTAATCGTCGTTGTCGGGGGCGTGGTCCTCGGGGTGGTGCTTGATAACGGAGGTGGAGGGGCAGGGGCAGGAGTGGCGCCGGCAGTTGTCATAGAACAACGTCATCGTGGTCGTGGAAGACATCATCAACTCGACAGACTCGCTAGAGTCGGACCTGGAGTCTGAGTTGTCCGATTCAACATCGACGTCCACACTAAGTCTGCGTCATCTTTGTGGTTGGAAAGATGGGTGTGATGGCTACTGCGGCTAGTGAGACTGCTAAGCCGACTCAAACGACCTTGCTGGCCACTGAAACTCAGAGCCTCCTCGAATGGAGTTAATGAACGGCCATCCGAACGACCCTGTATATTAAAACCGCATCTGGTCTCATTTTCGGTCGTCGGTCGGAGCGCACCTTCACACTGAAAATGAAAGGTACTATGTCAGTGATGGAGTCGGGCCCTTGGGGCGTTCGTTTCCAACGACCCAACGATCCCTAACGTCTAGCACCTAGAGTCTTTTGGCAGCGGTTTCGGTGGACAGAGCCATTTACCGGAAGCGTCGGCTTCACGTTTGGATGATCCACGGAGAGCCAGGCTACATAATCACTTGAAGCCTTGAACGTGAGGATGTCCACCATCCTAGTCCTCTTTGTCATCCGTAAGCAGTTCTGCCTGTACGCTTAGGCATACGGAGGTGATCCAGATGCAAAATCCCACTGAAAACATCAATTAAGACCTTATTCATAGTAAAGGGCTGTCGGAAAATGTAAAGATAGAGGAGAGAAGTATTAAGACACGTAACGCACCACGGAAGCACGGAAGATAAGTAGACCCATCACGAAACTGGAAGATAAGCAGACGCCATAACTAATTGACAAGAATTAGAATACCAAGTTGAACCCGAATTAGCCAGACGCTAAAGCGGGTTTACAGTTGAAGTAAGGGCGGGACTCCACCCGACACAACTTGGTAAACACTTCTACCGTCAAAAGGAGGTCAAGAAATAAGCGCCCAAGTCTTTGCGATTTGGTTGTTTGAGGCAGACCTCTGCCACCGTCTACTCTTCGTGCCCATATGAAGCGACCGCCAGACAATCCAGCTGATAGCGTAGCTCCTCAATGACATTTTGTTGTCCTTTTTCAACCACTGGCCTCGTATATTGTTGCGGCTCGACGGTTCACCGAGTTTCAAGTAGGAGGTTTGACCTGGGAGGAGTAGGAGGGAAGACTGCGACGATAACAGCGAAGCAGGAAGAAGCAAGAGGGTCGAGGAGAAAGTCGAGATTGACCATACTGATCTCAACGCGACAGCTGCTCCTTCGACCCTCCGAAGCGCATTATCAAAATACCCCGCTTTCATGACGAAGACATCACCGTTCGCGGCGTGCGAGTCGCTACTGACCACCCCTCCGTTCGACTCTGCAATCTCCTTCTGGCTCTTCTACCACGTTGGCACCCAGCCAGCAGCCCCATGTCAACACTATTGTTGAGTTCAGCTTGATTTCACCACTTGAGAGCGAATATGATCTGAAGTGAGAAGAACTTCACAACTTTTTGAGAGTGAATCTATAAGATTGTGCACACACCTATATCCGACCGATTCGGAGCACTGATCCACATTTACCATTCGAGGCTGGGTGCACACCAATTTGAATGATTGAGAAAGGCCAACGCAGCCCGGATTTGTGCAGAAGAGCGTATCATGTATGAGTGTAAGTAAGTTCAGCATCGGACGCAGTGGAGGGCCCTTATATAGAAAGGTTTAGATTTGAGAGTAATTGACTGAGAGTATGCAACCACGTTATCGCGCACTGTTCATGCTTCATAACGGGTAAGGTGAGAGAGGAAGAAGAATAAAATCGAGGCACTCTACGTCGCACTGCTCGTGCTCAATAAGGAGTGACACTGAGTCGGGATTGAGATATTAATGCCTGGCCTAAATCAACATAGGCGCGCCCGCGGAAATCTTCTCACGCTATCAAGCGCTGATCGTTTCTGCACCTAAGGGTTTTCTTCTTGCATGGTCTTTTGTGTTGGTTTAAATTGCACTTCCAATGTCGTTCTGTCATATTTAGATAGTGGCTCTCCCAGCTCCTCTGTATCGAGCTACAAAACTGTTTTCCTCATCCATGGTCATTCTTTCAGCAACGGTGGGTGATTTCTTCAATAGATATCAATAGCAGGTTCTTTTCTCACTCAAACGTCTCTCACCCCTGAACACACAATACAACATGGCGCCAGGCCGACGAGGTTTCTCTGGCTCAACCCCGCTCACTCAGGATGAGAAATCATTTTCATCGAAGACGATGGCCCTCAAGCTTCTGCTACCGACGAGGCCAAGACAAAAATCCTAGAGCTCCGAGGCCTGGAGATTTTACAGTTCATCGACGCTTTATTCAATGTTCTGGAATTCCTCCCATTCAAAACAACAGTCAGAAGGTGGATGGTGATGAGAAGACCCGGAAAGGTGGACTAGCTATCGTTGGCTGGTCTTTTGGGATCACATTTTCCCTTTCGGCAATCGCGAACATAGACTCCTCGTTGGTCTCTAACGGGATGCGAGATCGGGTCGGACAGTATCTACGTGCCCATATTATGTTAGGTGAGCCACAAATTTGCTCTAAAATTGTTTACTTGTTTTGACAAAAACCATGGTACATGCAGAGCCCGCGCTCACGGGTTTTGGTCTTTCCATTCCCCCAGAAACGCGGCTTGCGTTCCGCGATCCCAACATTCCTTACTCAGCTCGCGCACCGCTCTTCAGTCATCTCAACACAGGCTATCACGACTACAGACAAGAACTTTGGCTTTCCCGAACGCCTTCAATCTACACTTTCATCGCAGCGGAACATGACGAGAACGTCGTCCTAACGCCATAATCTAGCACCGATTTGTACTTTTCAAAGGTCCTCCAACGTCAACTGCGAAAGACTTACTTGGAGGCGTGCTTTGATAAGAAACTACGGATCAATCTGCACCGTGGAATATGGTGACGGTATGGGCAGACATCGAGGATAAATCTTACTCGTTCGTCTGGCCGACCTTTTGGGAGATCGAGGACGATGATATGAAGGCTGGAGGGGAGAGAAGGGAAAGTTCATACGATCTATGATTACAGATGGCGTGAACCATTCCGTGAGTGATTCTTGAGAATCGTTTCCATGTAAGGCTTACGCTGATATATCATACTATGTATCAGACGCATTGGGATGAGCCCGAGAAGACAATGGGAGTATTCAGACGGTTACCAGACACATCTTAAATCCTAGCAGATTGAATTTCATTCGAGTTCCCCAATCGTATGCTACGTTGTAACCCCGGTTAAACGGGAAATTCCACGTTAGGGCCTGTTAGGGCTATCTGAGCAAGCAGGCCGACATTGGCAGAATATCAAGTGTGATTACCCGAATTACAGGGAGGATTTTACGAAGTGCAAGGGTACTTTCAAGGATTTCTGGCCCACTCAAACTCAAACTGGCAGGGCGGTCGGGTCCTTCGTTAACAGTCACGTTAGTGTGGATTTTACCGACTTGGATAAACTAGATCGAAGACGAAAGACGAGCAGCTATATCAGGTGATTTCAGGAAGCATTCGAACAATCATCTGGCGCATTCACCCCCAGTTCCCAGCCTCGATCTCTCTCGCTTCTTGCCGCGCGTTTCAATGGTCCATCGAACATTTAAAACCGTTTGGATTAGAAAAGTCTTGCGTGGCGGCTTATTTCAACCAAAATCGACATCCAAAACGTCTTCCACGAGAGATTCACCTCAATCCAATCTGTGTCCCAGAATGAATCTACTTCCGAATGCACGTCTTCAGAGGTCGCCGCTTTGAAGCAGCTGCCAATTCATCAGGATGTATTGTCGTCTGAGTCGTTTTCAGCGTTAGAAAAATGTGCAAATATTCCGGTATGACTTCCATATATCATTGTGAGTGTCTGAGTAGCTAATCTCATTTGTTTTAGAATCTCGATGCGATTGATAAAGAGGCCGAAAGTCGTAGACGCCGATACCGAGACGGCTGTAGTGAGTTCTACTACTGTCATGACTTTTATTGCTTTATTGTTTATTGAATCATTCATCCTACATCTAGGCTACGAATATGTCTGAAAGCATCAACAGTAGTCTCTTTACTTCTCCTCGTCGGGAGTCCATCTCTCCCCTTTCGCCGTCATCTTCATTGGATGGTGCTTCTCTTTTCTCCCCAAGGGAGTCCCCCAAATCATCAACTAGCACGCTCTCGCCCCTGCGACAGCAGTCAGAAAACTACCATCAACAAGAACCAAGCGAAAAGTTTGACCTCGAATCCTACCATGGACATGGTACCGGCACACTCACATCTTTCTCTGCCATATCCAAGCCTCTCTTCTTCTTAGAGACACTACTCATGCCCATTATTTAAAACCACATCCGAAAGTCCTGGAAAAGATTACTAAGTTCAGCTCTCCATCCAGGATTCCCCGTCGCTTCCACCATTCGGGTCGCATCACAAGAAAGCACCTCCTAGACCAAACGTTTCTGCTCCCTCTATTTCTGCGCTTCCATCATCATCATCTAAACAATACCACAATGCAGTACACAAACCTTCAGGATGCTTTGAACGCTTCCATGATACATAACGCAGAGGATAACTACTTTGGGGCATTCATAGACAAACCTCGACCTGTCGTTCGTCGTAAACAGAAACAAAGTCCATTTGACGGTGTTCACCTGCCTCGCAAAAAGGCCAAGTTGAACCCATCTACCGTCGCGGCGCCATCGTCTGGCAACAGTTCTGTCTCCATAGTGGTCAGATCAGTCAAAACTCGACGACGACGAAGATTTTCTATATCCCAGGTAACATAATGCCGACTGACAAGACGCGTGAGGACGGTGATAGTTACGTGCGGCTCTTTGTAGGCAGGCACATGGATTTCATTTTCGGGGCGAGTTGGTTGAAGAATGCGCACGAGTCCACCATACCCAATTCCTCTAAACAGAAAAGGCGTGACCGTCGGATGTTGCTGGTCAAGAATTCTAATACGCGTCATATTGGAGCGAAGAACCATCTACAAGGCGAAATCCAAAAACTTGGGACGAAGCGCGCCCTACCCCCTGAATTGAATAGCTGTAGTACCGGATTAATGAATTGGCAGCGGAAGGATAGGATGTTATCCTTTTCAAAAAGAAATTCAGGGTGGGTAGAGCGTATGTTTGCCTCCATTTTTGCTCCTGAAACTTTGGCAGGGTATTGGATTGTTCAAAACTCGGACGCAGAGTTTCCTGGAGATGAGACGGACGATGAGGATGATCTTCCGTACCTGGACCTGTCAGAGGTTCATAAAGTGCGAGCGTCGTCGTCGTCATATCCTTCCGTCGACACTGGGAAGATTGCCATGCCTCTTACAAGCCCAAACCCGAAGTTCTTGATAGCGGGTTTCTTCTGTCATGACCGATATACACTCGAGTCCATGAAGCTGAATGCCGACGACTGGGAGAAAAGTTATGAAGAAAGAGTTGTCGAACTGCATTGGCGGTGGTCGTGGAAGTTCGAGTAAAAGATTGTATGCATCGTCATCATCGTCTTCATCGTCGATCACATCTCGCGCTCAGTGTTGAGAATGAGTCACATCAGCGGCGACACAAGATGGAGTAAGTAAATGGGGGAGTAGCTCGTGAAGAGTTTGACTCTGAACGAGCTAAGTGGGTGATAAAGCTCGAGGAAGAAAAGGTACACAGGATTATGTGACTGTCAGTTTCACTAATTAGTATTACTGTCTTTCGACCTCCGAGCATCATCGAGTATAACTCGCATATTGCTTTCCGATTTCAATGGTCCTTCGTGAAAACTAACACGCTTCTATCAGCCAGATTATAGAAGAACTATTTTACCACACCCGCTCTGGACGATGGTCTAAGAAGTACGTGAATTGATCTCAACTCAAGTAGTATTTTTATGTTTCACCACGAAACTCCACAGATTGCATTGGATTGAATCGAACGAGCCGCTTTCCGCTTGGCGCTGGATTAGGTGATCAACGACAAATTTCCAGCGCACCCGGAGCGCAACGGTCACGAAGGAGGAGCTTCACTTACAGAGGTTCTATGTCCCGCTGGGTCAATCAGAGATTGTGTGTCCTAGTGCGGTAGGGTTCGGAGACGCATGACTCTGCTTTTTTCACAGTCTTTCCGGGAGTTGAGATGGTTCTAACACCACTTATTTCATCCGTACCAGCGTGGATTGTCTCATACGTTCTGACTGATCCGAAGGCTTTCGCTTGCGTTCTGTTGATAGTCGAGACATGTTTGTCACCCCATACTGCACATGTCTTACACGAGGTCTTCCCAATTCTCTTCTCAACTCCAACCTTCAAGAGAAGCGTCGCAACTCAAATTCTTTCACGCCGTGAACCTGGTATGGATTCACATCCAGGCTCCGTCAGCCAACGGCCACTGGTATTGTATGGAAGTTGTACTAGACGCCATTAGATGCGTGAGCGAGCATTTACTGTTATTGCCGTAGATCTCTGGATACTTTTAAGCCAACGTCGTTAGATTTAAGTTTCTCATTCACGGTCGTCATCCTCTCCCTCGTCGCTAGACCGGAAACCGTCCCTCTGAGGCAAACCTAGCGAGGTTTCGTCTCCTAGGGGGTTTGGTCTCCAAGCTACCTCGTCGCCTCCGTTTGCAGAATATCAGTCATACAATTTGAGCTGGTCTGGAAACGATCACGGCATAGATATACCAACTTCGCAGACACCCTTTCCTCCCAACCATCAAAGATATTCGTCTTCTTACGCTGCAGGATCTGGTTATGTAGTCATGTTCTAATTAGAGATTTCATTCAGAAGTTCCGCAAATTGATAAAATTACATGAACGTTTTTATTGGACGTTGCTTTCTGTTTCTCTTCGGAGCCTATATACGACTGAGATAGAGATAAATAATAGATATAGGCTCAATCTCAATGACAGAAGACTTTGAGAAGCAAGATAGGTCACTCACTGGAAGGATGCAATTGAGTGTCACGCATCTGAGAGTCCATACACGTGACAGCCATCTGGAGTCTTAATTTTATACTACTAATAGTAAAATAGTACTATTAGTATTACTACGTCCTGCGGAGTAAAACTCTGCTTGAACGCAATCTACAGACCTCTGTACGGGCCAACTCTATCGACTCGTACGACCTACGGTTATTGGAACCTCCACTTCAAGCCTTCCATGATGGATACGACTTTTTCTTCGCTAACTTATCCATTCCTACGGATAGAATCAAATCTCGAGCATCTTTCACGGTCGACTGTGTCGTCACTCGAACGGCTCAACCTCATACCACCTCTTACTTCGGTGGGCTTGATGATAAGACCGAACTTGCACAACGACGGCACGATGTCACACGCGAGATGCGAAGGAGGCGGAGTACATAAATTGCTCAATGTGGTCTTACCTCTCACTGAATAGTACGTTCTATCTATACGAGTTCTAGCTATATTTGATAACTTCACTTTATCGATAGGCCGTACCAGTGAAGTTACTAAAATATTGTTCGCAAAAGCTTCAACAAGTGTCAAGGGACCCCATAAATAAAGCGTGAGGAGAAGCGTGAGGAGAAGCGCAAATCTGGCAATCATTGAGCCCATGCTCTCAACGTTGAATCGTTTATTTTACTTGTTGGCAGTCATTTTATAGACACAGAATAAAAGTCCCGTCGGTCCTTTTATGCGAAAGACGTGCGTTGTTGACTATTCAATGATTATACGTTGCATTCTAACTTCCATATCAAGGATTCACTCAAAAATTGCCTAGAAAAATCCCGTCATATTGTTTCCTTTTTCAAGCTGGGAGAGGCTGCTTTGACTCCCATTAAACATATGTATTCGCAATCTATGATTCTTTTTGCTCTCCCATGAACATGATGTTTATTCTTACTCCAGTCTGACCCGTGCCCATAATGAGTATTCAGGCGTCTTATGAGACGCAAATTTATTTCAGAGGACAATCACCCTTGTCCTTCTCCACGAGATCGTTGGTGATGTCGTCGAATAGCACTGCTATACAACAGGTTTTCATTTCCCGCACTTTCTGAACCTCACCCTAATCGTCTCCGGCTGCTCACAGTCAATCTTCGTACACTCTGATTTGCACAACAAACCTGTGTCCTGCAAGAGCTTCCATTATCACTGCACACGCCGTCATTGCCTGTTCACGCGCTTCCGCTTGTCTACAGGGTATCACAACGAGGGAACTTCTTCCGGTTACAAACCGTTTGCTAGTGGCGGTGCTTTTTCTTCACGCCCGACGCGAGGGTCTGTTCAATCCGTCTCCGACACGCCTCGTTCTAACGCGTCTGCTTGCGGCGCTCACCAATATATCTCACACTCAGATATCAATATCGACGCCTCCCATTCTTCCTTCTCAATCAGTACTCATGCATCGATCTTTCGAAGAACTACGGCGGCGGTATGTCATGCGAGCGACGCGGGAGATTTCAAATGCAGATGGGCAGGGCTATCTTTACGCTTACGTCGAGGATGATGAATGGAAGGTGGGCCTGACGAACAACTTCGTTCGTCGTCAGGAGGAGTGGAACAAGGGTTGTCCTTGCCCGTGGAGAATATGGCTTTTGCCTATCCGGGTCGCGAACAGGCGGAGAGCGGGTGAGTTTTTTGGCTTTCGCTTTTTATACCTCTCAATGGCCTGTAGAGGCACTGGCGCATCTTTTACTTGAAATGGAGTGTCTTGACCGCCCGCGAACCTATTGCCGATGTTGTACGTACCCGAATGTTTTCCTCAATTCATAGCGCTACATGTCCAACATACAGGCCGACGAACGCATATCGAGAAGTTTGTTTTCTCCGGCGACTGGTACGTCGTCTGGAGCACAATTGTTTATCCTATCCTTTTGAAGGCCGCTGTCTCGTGAAGGTACGCGATTGTTCACCTTTTCATAATGTTAGCTGACATTCCAATAGTTGAAGTAGGTCATAGCACATCAATATTTTTGCCTTATAGTTGTCACTCTTGAAATTGGTCTCTGAACTCTTAGGCTTTGCAGCATGTACAATATACAAACTAAAAAATGTGTGTGTGTATGTCCTTTGTTGCTAATGAGTGAAAACTTAGTAGTGACTCTATAATTATCTAGACGTGGAGAATTGGGGAAACAGGTCCTCAACATAATGAACACAAAAATACTCAAGCACTCAAAGGTCCTCAAGGTCCTCAAGCACTCGAAGGTGATCACAAGATCCTCAATCACTATGCTTGTACATCCTTCAGTAGACAATCTATTATGTTCTTCGCTGTCTCTATGTAGACGACGCATCACATATACCGACACACGTCATGTATCCCAACATCCCCGACATCATCGTTGCCACGCGTTCCGACCTCCCGACATCAGCGACGTACCGACATTTCGACGTTCCGACAGCTCGGCGACGTCTGGACGTTTAGACATTCTGACATCGGGTACGGATAATCTCTGCGAGGTTATGGTGAAAATACTTACTGCGCGAGAATATCGTATTATCTAAAATGGCATCCGGATTTCGCCACTATCTTCTGTGTTAGGATAGTTTCGATAACATACATATCATGTACAATCGGCGCAAGTTTCAGGTTAATTTCCCTATAGATAGGCGGCACAGGGACAACCGGGACAGCCTCGTTCAGCACGGGCGGCATCGAAAGCGCCGGTGATTCCTAATCAGAACCAGTCTTATTCGAATACTCATCATCCGAGTGGCGGTAATTCAAATAGTTCCAATACAAATTCCAAAGGTCGGCCAATGGCACGAAGAATACTAGTGCTCATAACAGCAAGATCTGGTCGACTAGCTCTGTTGAAGAACGCGAACGAATCAAAGAGTTTTGGTTTGGTCTAGGGGAAGAGGAACGACGAAACCTGGCCAAGATAGAGAAGGATACGGTGTAGAGGAAGCTGAAGGAACAACAAAGGTATTCTTGCAGCTGTGCTGTGTGTGGCAGGAAACGGTTGAGTCTTTTTTTCTTCCTTTCTTTTGGTTTTACAAAGAAAGAGAGATACTAATTATTGATTATTAGTAACGCCATCGAAGAAGAACTAGAACGTTGACCCAGACGCCGATCTCGGTGACGACGAGTATGAGGAAGAGGATGACGACGGTGAGGACTATGAGGAAGAGGACGAAGAGGACGAGGAAGAAGATCCTAATCCTAATCCTAACGATGAAGAACTCAGTCCAAATCCAAATTTACCTGCGCATCCTGGGATAAATGATGTTGGAATTGGTCGTGGACGAGGAACTCCCAGACGGCCTGGAACGACGCCACAATTAGGTGTAAAGGGTGGTGCAGGACGGGAGGGGGAGAGGTCGTAGTGCCGAGTCACCATTGAATGGAACTGAGAATGGGAAAAACCAAGGAAGAAACATTTCATTCAATCTGGGCACTAGTCTTACTGTTACAGGTGTGTATCGATTGCCTGTCTTTCATTTATTCTACCCACAAATCCTGCGTTTTCGTTTCTGATCAATAGCGTCGTCGTTGTAGATGTTCTTTCCCACTTACTCTATATCTCGACGATTCTCCTGCTATAATTCCTACTTCCTTTCCCCATTATTTCCCTGCATATTCATCACTCCCTTGTCGTCATGCCCATCTTCCACCGCCATCATCCACCTCCATTCAATTTGTTCAATTCGCTCATGTCACACAAACTCTCCTCACAGGTCCTGGCAACATCCTCACCGTCGCCGACGATCTTCCGAAAAACGATGGTCAAAAATTCCTTGAGATGATGGAATAGCCGGCCGAACAAAGGACGCAGCGTGAGGAGGAAGCTGTAGGTGACCTTGAAGACGACTCGGAAGATGAGGAAGAGGAGGATTGCGGTGAGGATGAGGAGGTTCTAGGATCGGAGGATGATGATGAGGATCTGGATAGAAGAAGGCAACGGAGGATGAAGGTAGCAATGATGAAGATGATGAGAAGGATGAGGAAGATGGACGACGAAGAAGAGGAGGATGACGAAGGAGAGGAGGTAAGTGCAGTTCCTTCTGTCGGTGGTGTCATTCACCATCGTTCCATTCACTCGCTCCTCTTGCGGGCTTTGAGGAAGCGATGTTGATGTTTTGTGCTCCCGCGATGCCACCTATGTTATTACATCCATTTCGTTCACTGATTGCTTTCAGATTTTCCTTTTTCGCTGACAGGTTATGACAGAAGAGCAGGAAATGGAACAAGGCAAACGAATGTTCAGTATCTTCGCCCCACGTATGTTCGAGCAGAGGGGTTTCACAGCCTGCCGTGAAAAGGTCTCATCGTCCTCTTCCTTTCTGAAATCTGAAATTCCATCCTGATATTCTATGGCTTATTTTACAGGTCGCCCAAGATGCGGGAGCTCGAGGACGAAGACAAGATCGCTCAAGAAACGTGAGGTGAAGAAGCAGAATGCGAACCAGGAGACAAATGATAAGAGAAAGTGTGTTCCCGTTCGCTACATATTTTTTTCTTCAATGCTCATCTCATCGCAACAGAAGCTCGCAAAAGAATCTGAGAAGGCTCGTCGGGACGCGAGAAACCCGCCTCCGAAAAGGCCGCCAAAGCCCAACAAACTGCTCCCGAAGAGGAACAGCGTAAGAAGCGCGAAGAACGTGTGGAGCGTGAAGCCCTTCGCAAAGCTTAGGAATTCGAAAAGGCAAAGAAAGAGGAGGAGAAGCGGAAGAGAAAGGAGGAGGAGAAGAAACGGATTGAGGGTAGAGAAGGAACGAGAGAAGGAACGGGGGAGAAAGGGGTTTAGACGTAGCTAGAAAGAGAAAGGTCGCGGTCCAAGTACGTGTTTTGGTTTTTTCGTTGGGTTGAGATCAAAATTTTTGCTATCGAAGGGCTATCTATCTGTGGCGTCGTCAGAACCACGTGGGATAATTGACGTAAAACTTGAAGGGGAACGCTTTCTTAATCTTATTCTACCACGTCCTAGTATATCCTCATCCTCAACGTTCGCGCTATGTCCGAACAACTGCAGACAACTGGGTACACAATCCCTTTTCTGTATCTACTTGAAGTGATTCATTTTTGCATAGGAAATGCAAACATGACAAATTTCTTCCGCTCAACGAGCCTCCGTTGAGACGAGGAGTCGCTGATAGAACCTGCTTTCACGTCACGCCTGTTTACTATCTGGGCTGGTATATTCCTGGAGACGAGATTCCCGACTACTATCCGGAAGCTGGAGGCGAAATGCCGACCTTTTGGACGAAAGAGGTTATGATACCTTGGGTCAGAGATTACGATGCCAAGTATAAGAGCCATGAACGGTGCGCTTCGACATCGCCTAAGTCATCCTTGATTTGCTCAGTGTCCTATCCAGTCATTGCTATTTTCGACCAGAATTGGCATATGTAACTGGAACAAAGGAACCACATCTTTTGGTCTTCATTTCCAGCAACCGTACCCAAGAGTTCATTGATATGAGTCAAAATGAACAGTTCATTAAAGATGCTGCTCGCATTGCTCATGTCAAAGATTTCTTTGGTGAAGTGAGGTGGATTCGCCGGTGAGGCCCAGTGACAACTCAAAGTGGTGAATGTGTTGTCACTCTCAATGGATAATGATGTTTCTATCAACTGTATCTCCCATGTGTTTACTACCATTTCTTCTCAATTTTCATGTTTGGTCTAGTAATAGGCAAAGATGTAGGAGAGGAGCTCAAAGATCTCATCTGATCTCATCTGCATCCATTATTGACTGTGTGCTGATGACGCTGTGTGCCCAATTGGAAATGATTCGCTGTTAACGTTGACCTAGATATTATCTTGAAGGGATACAGCGAAAATTTGGATTTGGTGATTCACGACACTGATAGAGTTGAGGACATTGAGGAACTTGAAATGAGATAGCTACCTCAAGACTCAAAAAATCGGAAGAGATAATGGTCGTTTCGAATCAAGTGGGGACTCCACGTGCATTGCACAAAATATACAGTACATATCACACTCTGTTATCATGATTCGGCGGAAAACTCCTTCATCTGAACCAAAAAGTCTTTTAAACCTACCTTGAATTGGGTACTATCATTATAGTTGTTGTTCATGCCCGCCACTAGCTCCTGGATATGTGAGCTGAGAAAGGATCTAATTAATAAACTGTATTGCGACTATGAGTAGGCACTCACCCATGGACATGCGGAAACGCGCTGCTTAGCAGCTTGACACAGTAGTTCTGGAAGAACTCCGTCGTCATATTCGAGGTAGAAGTACCAGTAATAACATTAGCAGTAGGATTTAAGACCTCCGCCGGCATTCCAGTCTCATTGACAATCTTGAACATTCTCGCGAGCACTGATGCTTGCAATGAAAAGCCACTCTTGTGTTCTGAGTCGGTCATGACATAAAAAATCTCTTGAACGATGACAAGGAAGTACTGGCTGTAGAAGGCGTGTGCAACTTCCGCAACTTCTGGGGAGGATGAGGAAAATGCTTCGAGGATTTCAAAGCACACTATATTGAAGAGAAGGGTATAGTCAGTCGTGAATCGTGAGGTGTTGGATATGGTGAAACGAGACATCTGCGCAATAGACTTACTGTGTAACCCGGTATCACCCAAATCTCTTGCAGAATGCTTCATCGCCCAGATGATACTATTCATAACGAGCTTGAATCCCTCGGGAGGTATACTCAACAGCGCTATTGGAGGCACAACCAATCAGCATTTCGAGAGACAGATGAAATGCGACAACATTTCGACGACTCTCACCTGGGAAGCAATTTAAGATAATCATACGGAGAAGACGGAAAAAGTAGAGCCGATGATCAGGGTACTCTGTCAGATCTTGGGTAATCATCTCTAGCGTTGGCTCGAGGACAGCACTAAGTATTGGCGGTACTTGCGGGGTGATTAAAGACTGGGACGGGAGGCAGAACCAAAGAACACGGGTCAATATTTTGTAAAAAAGCTAAGTATAACGGTCCAAGAGAAATGACAGATGGAGAACTGCGACATAACGGAGTGAAGTAAATGAAAGGTCGAACTTACACCAAGACACTTGACGACATCGCTCATTAGATTCAACACCTCCGCATCCCTAGCCGCCGCTATATTTCGTTGATAATCCCCCAACACTGCGTCTAACAGCGGAGGGATGAAGTTCTCATTGACGACCTCGATCTGTACGACGGTGTTGATGTATGTTTGCATTAGTTTAAGTATATCTTTCTTCAGTGCGCGCAGTTGACGGATTTGCGGAGTTTTGGCCATAAGGTCACCTGGAAGATAGAGTGAAAGCGATGAATATCGTTACAAATATCAGCAGATATCAAGGTCAAATGTTTACCTTCCTTCGCAATAACTTCACTGATCATCCCACTAATGGTTTTATACAATCCTAGCATATCCGTGAACTTGAATATTCTCGCTATTTGAGGTGTGTAGGCTTCCCCGCCGATGGACGAACATGCTGAGACGTTTGTTTTAATGACATTCGAGAGAAGCTTGACGGACTCCTGGTTATGTAGTAGGGGAGGTGTATTGGCGGAGTTGGTAGAATTTTGAGAGGCTTGAATCATCAGGGTATCCCACTAGTACATTGGGAGATCATTCAATATAGAGAGGAAGAGGAATAACTTACAGCACCATTCGGTAATTCCATGAGACTAGCTATTAGCCTCTCTTGTTGAGCTCTGTTCAACGCCTCAGCGACGATTACTCCCGTTGCTTCATAAAATGTGTGTACCTATGACAACAGTCAATAGCGAAAAATGGTATGAATTATTGTGCGAATGACTAAGAAGAAATAACACTCATACATACCTGTTGAGGAGATAAATCCACTGTGATCCTATTGATTGTCCGCAGAATCTCATCGATGAAAGGTTCTTTCTCGTCCGACTGTCGAACGACAAACTGTCTCCCGCAGGTTGTAGTGATTTTCATGTACGTGTCACAGGCCATGTCTTGAACACCTGAAAGCATCTGTATTAGTGAATTTGCGTACAGATACCAGTTCTTAAATAGAATCCGAGTGAACGATACGCACCTTCGTGCGTCTCATGCATGAACTCGAACAGCTTATTCACCACCGTCTTCAGGAATCTCCAATGGGCTTTGAGGAAACGAGGGTATTGGCCCACGATGTACATTATATTCGAAGCGATGATGGCTTTGTTATCTTTACCGCGCTTTTGCTCGACTAGTCCCAGAAGTTCGCGAATAACGAGGACCAGGAAACGTTTTTCGGTTTCTTCGTTTATTTGGAGCCAAAGATACAACATCAGTAAGGAGAGACAAAACAATTTTTGTATACTCACCCATCGCACCTGATATACTCCCAATAGCCCAACATATGTTTAAGTTTCCCCAACTCCATTCACTGCCGTCAATTTGAGCTGCCATCTTCTGCGTTAGGATCATCTCGACATCAACGACATCAAGGTGAGTAAGGTAAACCATGAGTTCGCGCATTGATTTGTACAGGACAATGGTGTCGGTTTCTACCAGGTATTCGCGGACGACTTCGCCTTCCTCGTTTTCAACGACCAAGACCTGTATAAGGAAGAGAAATAGAACGTGAGTATGTGATGGCGAAATCGTAAAGAAAATGAATGTGTAAAAAGGCCGGACATACCCACCTCTTCAGGTTTGACCATCTTCCCCACAGCCACGAGCCTTAAATTCGACAAGACTTCCCTATATATATCTTTCCTCAGTTTTAGCCTGCTGAAATCTGTGCCGATGGGTATCATAGATACTTCGTCGTACAACCCAACGAGGAGTATCAGCCAGTATTCAAGACAGATCTTGAATACTTCTCGCTCGTCCACTTGAGATATCTTGATGAGGTAGAAATGAGCGTTAATGAGCGCTTCGCGGTCTGCGTCTACATATGAAGTCAAAGACAGGTTAGCGTGTATGGCTATAACGCGACTCACCTTCCTCCATTATCGGCAAGTGCTTCGAAAAGAAATTTGCTAAGAACAACGCTAGAGCGACGACCATTTCCTGTCCCGCATCCGACGCGTTTGCATACGCAGATGCGATATCCGTGCTTGGTAGAATAAGCTTGTTGATAGTTGTCATGACACTCATGAAGAACATCTTGAGTTTCCCATCGTACATTGATACGTCCGACCGAGGGAGGCTCGCGATTTCAGCGGCACATTTAAGGGTAAGATTACGATATTCGGCTGATTCGAGGAACTGACAGGAAGCGTGAAACGTCTCAAAGGATGGAGAAGAAGAGTTATGCATACCTTAGGGGTTATTAGAGACTTCTAGGGGACAGACTAGGGGGCAAATTATAGGGGACAGCTAGGGGACAGCTAGGGGACAGCTAGGGGACAGCTAGGGGACAGCTAGGGTACAGCTGGGGGACAGCTAGGGTACAGCTAGGGAGAACTGGGGTATAGCTAGAGAGAACTGGAGGGCAGCTGTGGACTACTATATACACTAATTCCGGTGGATACTTGGTCCGTGAATTGAGCGCCTATTTACTTCTTTTGGAAATTAGGCGCCCATTGCAACTCAGATAAACTAATTCCCATCATTGAATGAGGTGAGAATCATACCTTCCACGAAGGTGCCCATTGGTGGCAGTTCCCATGGGCACACATTGCAGCTCAAATCAAGTAATTCCCATCAGTGAGCAAGGTGAGAACCATACCTTCCACGAAGGTGCCCTTTGGTGGCAGTTCCCATGAGCAAACAAGGATGTCCATGAAGGTGATTATCAATACTTGCCTTGAGTGAACTTTCACTTAGTAAAGTCCCAGTGGCTCAGTGGTAGAGCATCTGATAAATGTGAACTGGATCCCGTATGGAATCTAAATATTGTCAAAAGGACAGGGTTCGAATCCCTGCTGGGACAATCTGGTTTTCGTTGAGTTCTTTTTGATTCCCATGACCAAACAGGAGTATCATGCTGTCGACGAAGGTAATAATTCCCATGACCAAACATGAGTATCATACTGTCGTCGACGGACGGGATTCATCTACAAATGGCGCATTAGCTCAGAGTCACTGCCTGCCTCCCTTGGCTCCACGATGCCCGGCTGTTGTAGTCACTCAGCTCACTCTACATTGAATGTTGTTTTCTGACTGCCCGCATCTACTGCTTCCTTCGATGAAACTATCGGTGGTTGAACAGTGAATATGCAACAAATCTAAAACGTATGACACATGTTGTGACCTGGACGACTTAATAAACAAAACATATATGTAATGCAGAGAGGTTAAAAGGTCATCAACAGCTATGGTATCTTCTGGATGTTGCTCAGCTTTGTCCCCCGATGTTTCACCATCTTTGTCAGAAAATCCTTCACCACCTATGGCTGTTCATCGTAGAATATTCTGGAAAATCGCTAGTCTACATCTGCAAAACCTGGATATTCGGCTAAGCACCGAGAGCAGATCCCAGCAGATCCCAGTGCTGAAAGCACTGAAAGCAGTATGCTTTGAGTGCTTTCACTGCTGGGAAGTGCTCTCAACTGCTTTCGGACCCTTAGCCGAATATCCAGGTTTTGCAGATGTAGTTGTGACCGCGGGGTTGTTACCGTAGCTGGGGATTTTCCTTTTTAGTACATCACGTGTAGCGCGTTGTACAGAGTCTCACGATAATTTATCAGTCAATGAAAAAAAAATCGACGCGTCGATCGTCTGCGACAAGTGCATATAAACACAGATACACCCTCAGAGAATGCTTTGAATCAATATTCACACTTCTCATTTGACTCACCGCCTGGACATGCTCTCATTTCGAGAATTGTTCAGTGTTATGTCCCATATGTCCCGCATGACTATGTGCTCGAAGGTGTTGGCAAAGTCTTGGATGGAAGTGACTTGGTGGCTATCACACCAACTGGCTCTGGGAAAACAGGATACATGGCTTTTACTGCCCTCGTCATGAGAGAACTCTCAGCTTCCCCGGAAAGCTATCTGCATCTGAAAGATATCATCAAAAAATTTCCCAAACACCCACTCATGCTCGCCATTTGCCCCACGGATTACCTAGAGTATCAAATGGTGAATGATGATTCCGTGATATGATATCAAGATTCACTAAAGATATTACAGGAGGAGAATTTCGCTCGTATCAGTTTGAATATTCTGGTCATAAACAATGACACTCTCCAAGCAGCTCGACTGAATAAACATCCTGAGTTATGGCAACAAGCTCAAGATAACTTATCATTATCCATCATCCTCATCTCTCCGGAACAGCTCAAGTCGAAGAGCTACGAGGCTGCCCTCATGAATGACAGATTCTATGAGCGGATATACGCAATGACTGTTGATGAAGTCCACCTTCTGTTGACTTGGGGAAAGAGCTTTCGGAAACCATTCCAACAGATAGGTTTAGCAAAAGCTCGACTTCCAGATAATGTCCGTACTCTTGCTTTGACTGCCACCATGCAGGTTGGTTCAGCTCTTCACTCCATCTGCAGATTCTTGGGGATGCCAGAAGGAAAATACCACCTTATTCGACGTTCCAATCAGCGACCTGATATCCAGCTAATCTTCCGTGAGATCTCTTCGCCTGTCGAAGGTCTATTCTTCCCTGAACTTGACTGGGTATTGAAGGAGAAGCGGAACACCATCATTTTTGCACGAAGAATCCATTTTGGAAACCGGATTCATGAATACATGTATCACCAAGACAAAAAGTCAGGAGGCGATCCACGTACTGTCTTGAAGCGTATGCGGGAGTACACTTCACTATCAGCTGAATATAATGAACAAACTCGGGTGTTCATGCAGTCCGGAGATTGCTTAGTTGTATTTGCGACGAGCTCGTTGGCAGTTGGCGTTGATGTTGACAATGTGCAGGACGTGATTGTTTTTGGAGACCCGGAGGATGTGAATGAGCTAATTCAGATGATTGGGCGTATACGACCTCGCTGGCAACAATCAGGCAACAGGCCTACTCACCGTGGAATCATTTACTTCTTTCCCAATGCTTCTGAGCGAGCCGAGCGAGCAATTATCCTGAAAGATGTCACTGCAAGCTCAAAGTTCTCAGAGTTAGAGAATGCAGCTAACGAAATGGACAAAGGGCTTGCTCAGCTCTATCGTGCTAGGTGCAAGACTGCTGAAATCGATGCCCAGTTCCAGAATCCAAGCAATGACAAGCTATGTCAATGCCCTACCTGTCGAAATTTCCCCTTCCTTCCAACGCAAATCACCTGCATTTGTAGTGGCTGCGTTCCCGAGGAAACAATGTCAGCTAAGACCAAACCTTCCAAAATCTCCAGACCAAACCTTCCAAAATCTCCAGTGACGAATCTGAACTACCAAAGAAACACAACTTGCGTATATCTAAAGCTATGCGAACGCATGGTACTCGCCAGTTGAAGCAGTTCCGGCTTCATATCTTTCGTACTGCCGATCCGAGAACAGCAGGACTACTCTCCCCAGCCATGTTCTTCTCCGACGATGAGATCAAGTCGGTCCTTGACCATTTTGATCAAATAAAAGAGGTTAGCGATGTATCTCAAGTGGTCAAAAGTAATCACCACTTGAATGCACATCATCAAGAACTGTTGACGTGGGGTACACACACTGAGAAAGGATTTTGAGGTAATCAAGTTGGAGGAGAAGGGCAAGCGAGATGCTGCAAAGAAGGAAAGGCAAGATATGGCAGCGGAAGGGCATTTATTGTTTCCTGATAATAGTGCTCATTCTTCGCGATACGAGCAAATCGATCATCAATATCATGAGCTGATTCAGGAAAGGTGTCCTCGGGAAACTCCATATAAGTTCCAGCAAGACCAATAGTCATCTTGTTTTCACGTCCAGCTCGCATGTCGCGTTGTCGTAAATAGTTTTGTACATTGTCGAAGAAGAATTTACCCAGCGTTTAGGGTTTTTTCCAGCCAGTTCTGTCGCTAAACCTTCAGCAAATCCGAGCTCACGAAGGACCCGATAATTGGTCCCATAAGCAGGCATAGTTCCTATGCGACTTTCATAGGCAAACAAGTCTACTGGTGCTGAAGATGAGAAGTAAAGGATTCCGCGAGCAACAGGAAGCCAGTTGGCTTGTCGATTCAGACAAAAGTTGAGGGCAGCAATGGAATGCGTAACAGCCTCTGAATATGTTAAGCTCAAAATCTGATTCTGATCACAAGGCTCTTACAATGTCGATTGGCCTGGTCTTTCTCGCAGCAATGTCACCCACATCTGATGTTCCTGATGCAATACATGAAAGGAAATCGAATAGGAAGGGTTCGTGTGTGTGAATGATTTTACTGACTTGGGAGACAGTATTAGCTCCAATATCTTTCCATTCAGATTGTATGGGGTTCTTCGATGCACCAGAATCTGATTTTGCAGTCAGTCGTATATGAAGGCCATTCTCTGGCTTTACAGCGCGCTTGGCCTGCAAGACTGCATGCTGGATACTGATTTGGGCTGCGAATGAGGATAGAGATGCACGAACATTTTTGATCTCAGAGTATTTCGGAGTGCTGGTGGTCCACATCTGGTGTTTATGCTTTTATCGCCTGGCCGGCCATCAGGTGAGGTGTACCAATTCTCAATAATTTCCCCAGCATGGTGTTCACACCGTCCACTGAGAAATCGTTCCATAGCAGTGGAATGAGTATTTCCACGATCAAAGTCCTTCCATTTCGAGCTCCAATAGAGATAGTCACTATAAGACCAGTTCAGGCTTTGAATATGCTTCAATACTGATTCGAGCTTCTGAAGGGTGGTCAACTTTTGTTTCTGCCTTTTTGTGGTATGAGGATGTGCCAGTGAAAAGTTCAGAAAAGTATTTTCGAAGTCACTCTTTCTTTTTCCTGGTCTAGACGGGGATTTGAGTGATTCGTGAGGAGAGATATGAGAAGAGGTCTGAGGAGTATCTGAGGAGCTCGGACCATGAGATCGATGATGGGAACTCTGAGGGGTAGCATAGAAGCTAGAGGCAGGTATTGGTGATTCGGTAATGATATTTCTGGAGCCATATTTTGCTGGAGTATGGGGTTTGATTGAGCTGAAATGAATACAAACTCATGTTGACTTCGATATTGACAAGTGCAGACTTTTGGAGTGAATCAGAACGCGAAGCAAACGCGAAACGCGATACCTCATGTGATCAAAAAGGGCAAAACAATTGCTCATCCATGACCCTTTTTAGGAAAGTGCTCAGCTACGGGTTTAGTAGCGCGGTTGAAATCAGACTCTAGATTAGATTGCAACGACTGTCTTGCGTAATTTTAATTACAAATCTATTGTTCTGACTCGGGAGACTAGGCCCATCTGCAAAACCTGTATGTTCGCCAGAGCAAGGGTACTGGCTGGAGAGCGCTCTCCAGCACCCAAAGCACCGAGAGCAAAATTTCAACCTTGCTCTGGGTGCTTTGGCTGCTGGGAAGTGCTCTCAGCTGCTTTCGGAGAATTAGCCGAAAAAACAGGTTTTGCAGATGGGAATCAGTGGTATTCGAATTTTGGGTGAAAGTAACGCTTTTCATCTGCAAAACCTGGATATTCGGCTAAGGGTCCGAAAGCAGTTGAGAGCATTTCCCAGCAGTGAAAGCACTCAGAGCAGCCTGCTCTCAGTGCTTTCGGTACTGGGATCTGCTCTCAGCCCTTAGCCGAATATCCATATTTTGCAGATGTTGTCACTCTTACTCACGTGACGTGCGCACATCTTGTGTATGATCTTTCTTTTGATTTCCAGTTGCCATATTTCCTCATATTTCACGCATCCTTCCACCACACTAGAGGTAATGTTATGGATTGGTCTGTAACAGCCAGTGGAGGTTAGCCTAGGTTAGCCTATCACAAATCTTTCTCATAATCTTTCTTATTTAATCTGCTGCCGTCTGTCTCCGTTTTCTGCTCCTTCTTCCAGACTCCCGCATCCAGCGGGGTCAATCAAATTCAATGTCTGAGACGGTTGATATTTCTTCTGATCATTGGACAACTGTTCATTGCTAATCGATTGCTCTAATCAGGCCAGTGAGCTCGACCAGAAGATTCAAGATGTCTTCAAGCACATCCAAAACAAGCGAAAGATCTTAGAGGCTTCTCAGCTCCTACTACAGGCAACGACTAACCAGGATGTTTTACGAAGAAATGCCGCCAAGATCAGAGAAACCAAGCGATCTCTTTCATATTTCGAAGAGACACTCCGCGAGCTTCAGGCGCAAGATGCAGCAGAATGAGCCTGGACGCTCTTCTGGTCTTCAGGTGACATTCAACAATACTTTCTCTAACCCAACGATTCACCCAAATCATTCAGGTTCCTCCGAAGGAGGACCGCGACAACCCGCTGGCAGCGCACATATCTATGAAGCGTTCTCTCGATTCAAGTGCTTCCGGATCGCCCCAAACCAAACCATACTTTAACCTCGATATAATCGAACCCAAGACTCCCCTTACATCAGCTAAAATCTCGAAAATGCTGCATCGAGTTCGAACTTCAAGTAGAAATGCAGTACAAGAGAGGCATCGATAAGATGGCAAAACTATAGAAATCACTGTCGACAAGGCAAACGAAGTCGAAATTGCTGCTTACGACAAGCAAGTCGGCGAAACACATGCGGTTCCTATAAGTCTATTATGAATCCGCATCAGTAATCTTGTCGAAGCTCTGAGAAGGAAAAAGGCATTTATGGAGAGCGGACATGGGTTACTGCTGGCGCTGGTCATCCAAAATCGGCGGACCTGAACGTCCCTCTTAGCTTTGGCGCTGCTCCTCCTGGTGGCTTTGGTCCTCAGGGAAGCATGGGAGATGGTATACCACAGCAACCATCTGAAGGTATCGAGGCATGGTTGGCAGTCGAGCCTGCAAGTGCTATTCTCTTGCATTCGAACTTTGGTGAGTATCTCGCAAACGTGTCATCTTCATACGTGGACGCTCATCGTCAAATAATCAGTCAAGGAAATCGTCTGAAAACGCCAGATCGATGCACCTCTCGGCGGTCTAGGTCGACAAGGTGCTATGCGTAAACGGAAGGGCGAACATGAGATGAACGGGCACAAGTTTGTTCAAAAGCAGTTTTATCAGCTCATGTTCTGCACCTTTTGCAGCGACTTCTTACTCAACGCCACGGATTACCAGCGCAAGGATTGCCGTTACACATGTCATAAAAAGTGCCATGAAAAGGTTGTCACAAAATGTATCTCGAAGTCCAATACTGGAGTAAGTGCTCTCTCTTTGAACTCTGGTGATGCAATCGTTCTATTCACTGAGATCATGTATCAAGTATGTACAGTGTTCAAATAACCTTGGATCATTAACCTGAGTTTGAGTACATTGGGAGAAGGCCGAAGGCCTTCGAGTCCTAGCAAACAATGAGACTCTAATGAGGTATGCACGGTCAGCCGCGATGGGCGGGAGGGCCCTGAGCGGCCGCGTGCTCTCATTGAGCTCGGACTGCGATCTGTCTCTCACCTCGGCTTGATTTCTGTGGGTGTGCAGGTTAATGTGCACCAGGAGGGTGAAAGGAGGTGGGTGAGTGAGAGAATAAGGGTGGGAGGGTGTGGAAGAGAAACTCAGGAGCTACCAGGGACTAGTACTGAGAGGCTTCGACGTACACTCGTCGACGCGGTGCTGGAGGGTACTGGCAAGAGCAAGAAGTACCGCATCACGTGTCCGTTCGAAGACTCAAGTACTCAAGTTTGTTGCGTTTCTTCAACTTTCGATGTCTCAACTTCTAAACTACCAAGTGACTGCTTCGAAACAGAAATTCAAATTACACCATTCTATGATGACGAGGAGAAGATCAATCACCATATCCCTCACCGATTCAAGCCTCTTACCAACATTGGTGCAACCTGATGTTGTCACTGTGGATACATGCTTCCGCTTGGTCGTAAGAACGCACGTAAATGTTCGGAATGCGACCTAGTAACCTGCCATGCTAATTGCGCGCACCTCATTCCGGACTTTTGTGGTATGTCGATGGAGACTGCAAGTACTCTCCTATGGGACATGCGGGATATCAAGAAACACAGGGCTCAGCGTCCCTCTCAACCATCTGCGCCCCGACAGCCTTCACGTCTCAGCCCTCCCGCTGATACTATGGGACGTTTGAAGCTTTCCGGTGCTCCTGAGACCGAGGCAGATCTGTTTGGTCGTCAACAACCTTCGCTACCCGCTACCCCGCCCAGCGGATATCCCCAGGCTCCGTATTGCCCAGCAGCAACAACAACAACAGCGCCCGCTCAACGGGCCTCCTCTTGGCACAAGACTACCATCTGCTGGCGTTAAAGCACCACCAGAGTACGCCCAAGAACCTCCGCGTCCTCGGACAGGTCCTTATGAACAACTGCGACCTGGCGCTTATTATGTGAAAATTTTTCTTTTCGCACTCGCTGCCGAATAGGTTTGGTTACCCAGGGTACTCGTCCGCCTGTGCCCCCAATCCCGGTGCAAACAAAGATAGGCTTTCCCTCATCGCCGATGCAACGACCGCCTGATCGTTCCAGCAGTTTCACCGACGGCGCAAACACCACCCCAACAGCCGCAGATTCAAAGACAACAATAATAGCAGCAGCGTCAGCCTATCAGAGGCGCAAGGTCGGCTTGGATAATTTCAATTTCTTAGCTGTACTGGGTAAAGGTAACTTTGGTAAAGTCATGTTGGCGGAAGAGAAGAAAACGAACGTGTTTTATGCGATCAAGGTCTTGAAGGAGTTTATCATGGATAACGATGAGGTTGAGAGGTTAGCTAACTTTCATGCATCGCATGGACGATTGCATAGCACCCGATCAGATAAGCATGTATTCTTAGCTGCTGCTAAAATCCGTTCTTGTTTGGGCTGCATTCGTGTTTCTAGACCGAGACACGAGTGTACTTTGTCATGATATATGTTAGCGGTGATCACATGTTGCACATTCAACGAAAGCAATTCTTGCTACGACAAGCTAAGCTTTACGCATCCTAGAGGTGCTTTTGGCATTGGAATATCTCCATTCGTAAGGCATCATCTATAGGTCTGTTTAAACCGTTATCAAACTTCCCTCAGCCGACCTTAGCGTTGCACACTCAACAGAGATGTGTAGCTGAACAACATCTTGCTTACGTTGGACGGGCATGTTAAAGTTGCGGATTACGGTCTTTGCAAGGAGGAAATGTGTTTTGGACGACGAGTACTTTTTGTGGGACGCCCGAGTTTATGGCTCCGGAGGTCTGTAATTGAAAATCTACAATATGACGCACGGTTTATAATTCGTCAACCCATAGATTTTACTCGAGCAACGCTACGCTCGTGCCGTGGATTGGTGGGCGTTTGGGTTCCTCACTTATGAGGTGTTACTGGGACAGTCGCCGTTCCGTGGTGACGATGAGGACGAAATCTTCGACGCTATATTTGAAGACGAGCCTTTATATCCCATCACTATGCCTAGTGATGCCGTTTCAATCTTGGAGAAGGTGAGATGCTCTTGTTCTTCCTCGAGAGTTCTTTCTGTCGAGACTTGACCCTCGATAACTTCCAGTATCTTTGTATCAATCTATTCTGTGTATGCTAGGATCTGTCATAAAGTACGCAGCCCCTATCATTACGCAGCCCCTATCATTTTCCCTTTCGCACCGTCTCGACGCCTTTACTTGTACAATACATCATCCCATCGCTGTCAATCTCCATCGATTACTGATCTATCTATTACTGATCCACCTGACCCACCTTCTCTTTCTATCGGCTTCTGCCCCCTTCCTTGCCCCTGAACTGTACAGTATTACATCGTTGTTTCTCGCAGACTAGATTATGTATATATAGCCAACCCTCCACAGCCTGGTCCCTTATCTTGACCTCTCTGTCATTATCTGGGACCAGGTATGTGCTTACTTATTATTACCTATGACTACGATACTCAATATATCTCTGTCATTATCTGGGACCAGTTCGCCTCCGCTCCGCTTAGTCGCTCCGCCTCACTCACCTGCTTAGTCGCTCCGCCTCACTGCCTGGCTTAGTCACCCCGCTTCCTGCTCCGCTAGTCACTCCGCCCCTGCCGCTTCGTGACATTAGGTCAAGATCCATTACTGCACTGACAGCCTACCGATAAGGTTGTCCTTGCAGGATCCGTAGACACCACGTCTTCCCCAGTCCCGCCCGATTCTGAAACACCTGCTGCCAGTATAGACTGCTCCACACTCCCGCACGCACTTGACCCCAGAGACCAAGCTCACGCCCACAACAACAACGATACTTGGCGCGATTGCCAGTCTCAACCTTGCCCCAACGCCCTTTCGAACTCGATCCGAGAGCCACTCACTGTGAGCAATATAACCTTCCTGCCAATTCCCCAACCCCGATTGCCTACTCCCATCATGTCGACTCCTGTCCCGCCTGCCCCAAATACCTCTGCTGAGGATCTCATGGCTCAGCTCATCAGACAAGTAGCCAGCCTTGCTACAGCAATGGAGGAACGCTCATCATCCAAGTCAAGCATGAACAAACCCGAGGTCTTCAAGGGTAAAGATGGTGCTGAAGCTCGTCGCTTCATGGCTCAGTTCCAAAATTGGGCGTCAGAACAACCGGATCTCGCCAAGAGCCAAGTTAAACTTATCAAGTCCGCCCTGGGCTTCTTCACAGAAAGTGCTGGAGATTGGGCAACTCCCCATCTGTTACACTTCAGTGCAGAGAATCCCCCTTTCGGAGGAAACTGGGATACGTTCTTGAAGGAATTTAGCCAGCGGTTTGAACCAATGGACCCAGGTATGGAAGCCCGTAGCGAGATCAAGAACCTCAGACAAAGTAAAGGGCAGACAGTTGCAGAATTTGCCCAGAAGTTCAAGGATATCGGAGATCGGACTGAAATGTCTGATATTGATTTACGGGAACGCTTCTTCACCGCTTTACTTCCGGAGATCCGACAACACCTTATCATCGTAAACATCGCCCAAGGAATCGCTCCGACTTTGAAAGAGGCAATCAAACGAGCCATATCGGTGGATGTCTACCTGCATGATCCCACCATGACCGGCCGAAACACCGGACACGCTCCCGCACACACTGCTCACATTACCCCTGCCGACCCTCACGCCATGGACATTGATGCTACTCATACCAGCACTGGGAATAGCAGGGAGGCCTTCCTTGCCCGTATGCGCGGACGATGTTTTGGTTGTGGAGCTCAAGGCCATGTTAAGCAGAATTGCCCACACAAGGAGACTACCTGCCGATACTGTGGACGCCGGGGACACCTAGAATCCGTCTGTCAGGACAAGTTCATGGGACTTAGTCGCGACCGTGGCCGACGCCAACAGCCTCGCCGTCAGCAGATCTCAGCCACGGCGGCACCATTTACCTTATTCCCAAACGAATCAGTTCAGATTGCCGCCTCAATCCCAACACCTGTCGCTGGACCTGCTACACCGAGCCCCGCTAATCAGGACTTCTCCACCCAAATTGGACAAATAAGGGAATTGTTGGACCGTGCTAATGCCATGTCTCCTCCGTCCTCTGGTTTTCAGCAGGGTTTTTAAAGAGGGTACCCGCTCCGGCTGCACCGAGAGTACCCCATAATCAGTTTACTATGTTCGCTACCTCTTCGTATGACTCGCTCCCATCATGTACAATATCATCTATTTGGGAATTAAATTCCAGCTCCCCACATTTCCGAATTCATGCGAAACTGAGAGGAAGGAACCATAGTATAACAACCGCAGCCATGGTAGACTGTGGAGCTACCGCCCTGTTTTTAAACCAAGACTTTGCCACCAGAAATCACGTAACCTGCGCACCCCTCCATAAACCAATCGATGTATTCAATATCGATGGTACACCTAACCGAGCCGGGCGAATCACCCACTTTGCACGCTTAGCACTCACAGTGGATAACCAGGAGCGATGGATGGATTTCCTGATCACAAACTTAGGAGGAGAGGATATTATTCTCGGACTCCCCTGGTTACGGAAGGTAAATCCAGAGATTGACTGGGAGAAGGGACGACTTTCAGTAAAGCCACCCCGGGTACATATAGAGGAAGTAGAAGATGAGCAGACTTCACACCCTCACCTAGTGGCGTCTACTACCGATAGTCCAATCCAGGAACTCCTGAACGAAGGATCCCAACGTGAACCCAATCACACTGAGGCAGACCTAGAGGAGAATGAAATCATAACAGCAACGGAGGAATCCCCAATACACCGAATACGAGCCAATCACAAAACGCGTCGGGCATGGGTGAAAGCGGGGATATTGGAAGAACAAACAGAGGAAGTATGGTGCTCAGCAGGGTTCACTTATTCTCAACAACTAGCAGAGGAGGCTAACCGCGATAAACCCATTAAAACCTTTGAGGAGATGGTCCCTGAGCAGTACCGAGACTTCAAGAAGGTTTTCTCCGAATCTGCCTCTGAGCGATTACCTGCCCATCAGCCCTGGGATCACGCTATCGATCTTGTACCCGGAGCACCAGCAACCATGCGGACAAAGATCTACCCAATGTCCTTGAACGAGCAGGAGGAACTCGACCGCTTTCTAGAAGAAAACCTACGGAAAGGCTACATCGTTCCCTCGAAGTCACCCATCTCATCTCCAGTCTTCTTCGTGAAGAAGAAGGATGGGAAACTCCGTTTCGTACAGGACTACCGGAAACTGAATGAGTATACTGTGAAGAATCGATACCCTCTCCCATTAGTTGCTGATATCATTAGCCGGCTTCAGGGAGCGCGATATTTCACCAAGTTTGACGTTCGCTGGGGCTACAATAATGTGCGGATTAAGAAGGGGCATGAATGGAAAGGCGCATTTGCAACAACTCGGGGCTTGTTCGAGCCTAAGGTTATGTTCTTCGGTCTCACGAATTCCCCTGCCACATTCCAAGCACTTATGAATGCGATATTTGCTGATCTCATTGCAGCTGGCAAGGTGGCAGTCTACCTAGACGACATCCTCATATTCAGTAACGACCTCAAGGAACACCGACAAGTGGTACGGGAAGTATTAACGCGACTAGAAAAGCACGACCTCTATTTGCGCCCAGAGAAGTGTGAATTTGAACAGCAACAGATCGAATACCTGGGACTTATCATTTCAGAAGGGGAGGTGAGAATGGATCCGGTCAAAGTAGCGGCTGTTCGTGACTGGCCAGTCCCTACCAACCTCCGGGAACTGCGAGGATTTTTGGGGTTTGCAAACTTCTACCGGCGCTTTATCCGAAATTTTGCAAGAATAGCTCGACCTTTGAACGACCTAACCAAGAAGGATACCAGCTTTAACTGGACTGGTACACAACAGGAGGCATTTGACACCCTTCGAGAGGCCTTCATCTCCGCACCAATCCTTGCTCTATGGGCACCAGATCGGCCCACTCGAATTGAGGTAGACGCATCAGGCTTTGCTACGGGAGGCGCCCTCATGCAGAAGCAAGACGATGGTCAGTGGCACCCGGTAGCCTTCAGATCGGCATCCATGCAGCCAGCAGAACGGAACTATGAAATATATGATCGGGAGATGCTTGCCATCATTGAAGCATTGAAGGACTGGAGGAATTTCCTGGAAGGACTTCCACAACCATTCGACATTATCACCGATCACTCCAACCTCGAATTCTGGCGCACAGCACAAGACCTTACCCGTCGACAAGCCCGATGGGCCCTCTATCTATCACGGTTTGATTTTCATATGATCCACCGTCCTGGCCGAGTAAACACCCAAGCTGATGCTCTTTCTCGTATGGCAGTACATCATGTATCAGATAGCGATGACAATCAGCAACAGACTGTCCTTAAACCTGGCCACTTCACCAAAATCGCCGCTTCAATCCTACGGAACCCCCTAGAGGATCGTATTCGGAAAGCCTCAGAACGGGAAGCACAAGTACTGGAAGGTCTGGAAACAGTCAAGAAGCACGGGTTACAACGCTTGGCCAATGGGATAGCTGAATGGGAGGAGGACAACGGGTTGGTCTATTACCGGGGCCGGGTATATGTACCAGCAGACAACAATCTCCGCACCGAGGTACTCCGTCAATGCCATGATCATCCAACTGCTGGACATCCCGGATTACATGGGACACTTGACCTGGTCAGCACCCACTTCTGGTGGCCGACACTGCGTTCTTTTGTGGAGAAATACGTTGAGGGATGCGAGATTTGCGCCCGCAAGAAGATCCAACGACACCCACGAGCTGTGACTCAACCACTGGATGTACCATCCGGCCTATGGGAAGAGGTAGGGGTCGACCTGATAACGCAATTGCCTAACTCCCAGGGATACGACGCAGTCTTGGTCTGTACAGACCTGTATGGAAAACAAATCCATGCTATTCCTTGCACCAGCTCCATTACAGCCGAAGGTGTCGCCGATATCTATTACCGAGAAATCTTCCGTCTCCATGGTCTTCCCCTCCACTTCAAATCCGACCGCGGACCTCAGTTCGCAGCTAAACTCATGCGATCCCTCCTCGCTAGACTGGGAATTAAATCAGATCTAACCTCCGGATATCGTCCTCAGTCCAATGGCCAAACTGAACGCGCAAATCAGGAAGTGGAAAAATACATCCGCCTCTATGTGGGACGACGGCAAGATGACTGGGCAGAACACCTCCCCATGGCGGAGTTTGTGATTAACTCGCGGACTCACTCGGCCCTAGGCATGTCCCCATTTGAGTTAACCTACGGATACCTTCCCCTGTTCAATATCCCGGTTGGTCAACGCAGCGGCATTCCAGCGGTGGATGACCGCATACGGATTCTCCGAGAAGCGCGACAGGATGCTGGAGCTGCCTTACATCTAGGAAAGAAGCAACAAAAGGAGGGATACGAACGTGGGAAGCGAAAAGCGCATCAATTCAAAGTTGGGGACCTAGTTTGGCTAAGTGCGGAGGACATTAACCTGCAGCTATCCAGTGAAAAACTAGGAGACCGACAGCTAGGACCTTACCGTATTCTGGAGAAAGTCGGACCTCTGGATTACCGCCTTGACCTTCCCTTGTCATTAGACCGCCTTCATCCTGTCTTTCATGTCGACAAACTATATCCATGGAAAGGTAACCCCATCAATGGCGAAATACCAACACCACCAGAGCCGGTGTACTTAGAAGATGAAGATGAACCGGAATATGAAGTGGAGGAGATCTTGGACAGTCGGGTACGATGGAAGAAGTTGGAATATCTAGTAAAATGGAAAGGTTACGATGCAGGACACAACTCTTGGGAACCCGCACCCAACCTCAGCCGGGCACCAAAATTTGTTCGGGCCTTTCACAAAAAACATCCGACAGCGGCAAAACCTTGACCATCGAGGGCAATGGTCATAAGGAGGGGGGTAATGTCATAAAGTACGCAGCCCCTATCATTACGCAGCCCCTATCATTTTCCCTTTCGCACCGTCTCGACGCCTTTACTTGTACAATACATCATCCCATCGCTGTCAATCTCCATCGATTACTGATCTATCTATTACTGATCCACCTGACCCACCTTCTCTTTCTATCGGCTTCTGCCCCCTTCCTTGCCCCTGAACTGTACAGTATTACATCGTTGTTTCTCGCAGACTAGATTATGTATATATAGCCAACCCTCCACAGCCTGGTCCCTTATCTTGACCTCTCTGTCATTATCTGGGACCAGGTATGTGCTTACTTATTATTACCTATGACTACGATACTCAATATATCTCTGTCATTATCTGGGACCAGTTCGCCTCCGCTCCGCTTAGTCGCTCCGCCTCACTCACCTGCTTAGTCGCTCCGCCTCACTGCCTGGCTTAGTCACCCCGCTTCCTGCTCCGCTAGTCACTCCGCCCCTGCCGCTTCGTGACAGGATCACCAGAAGGCAATGCGTCACCATTGCGGAATTGGACAATTACATCTAGCGGTATACTGCTCAAATATTTTACTACGATTTTTTCCCAAAATTGTTCCTACTCTTCCAGCATAGATCCTCATCTGATTATGCTAATGCTTTGTTCCACATTCATACGCCATTCAAATATGTCACATCCCACCAACTGATTATCCTATTGCTGGTATCTGAGGGTATTTTCAGCAACGAGTCCATGGGTGGTATATGATATATGATTGCCAAATACGACACCCAAAAGATCTCAGCTTCGTTTGATCAAAAGCGTCGTACCCACCTCCGTAACCAACCACTGAGCTGAATGGTCCAAGTTCGAACGCCAGAATATCTTTCGGTACAAGATTGATCGTGTTATTCGATCTCTCACTGCGTGGGGGAAGCAGAGATTCTAAAATCAATAGTTGGAAGGAGGTATGTACGTGAAATGTCTGAAGAACCGCCAGCGTTGTTCGAAGCTGCATTTCCTCGCGTTCGGATTCCATCGATGAGAGCAGCTCCGCGTCCGCTTGGCCAACTTCAGCATCTGTTGATGAACTTTGAGGGATATTTGTTCCCTGGCCGCCGTTCCCGAAGTCCGAGCACGACCCCGACCGCACCCAAGGAACAACCCACTGGTTTTCCGCATCGCCTTGTTGGTAAACTGGCTGGCAGTCTACCTTCAATCCCTGTGCCCGAACCCCGAATTTGAGCTTTCTCGTAGCGATTGTGCTCAAGGTGAGATCATCGTCGCCCTCTTGCCTGATCGAGCCCCAGCTCCTCCAGTTCTCGGCACCGTTCGACGTCGAATAAGATTACATGAAGGTACCTCTCAAGAGCCTATCCGAAGACTGGTGCAGACGAGACACACATCTTCGTACACACGCCATACGTTGGTCCAAGCGATGACAAGCCCGAGTTTCTGGTCGGAAACGTCACTGAAGCCAGGAGTACAGCATGAGAAATTGGACGAATGACTGTTTGAAGAGTCGAACCGAAGAATGCGGTGCAACCCCCCACCGTGATCAAGGAGGTCGAAGCGTCAGCCCAATGCCCGCGCAGTCCCGTACTGGTCTCAGAAACTAGACGAAGCCAACGCTGCAAGAGCAGACCTTCGAAAACATCAGCTGGAATACCGCCGTCGCTGGGGCCACACTGACAACCTAGACATCACGCAAGGGACTCACCCAGTCACTACCATTGTCAACCTCTATTCACGGCCATGAGCAAGATCCAGCCCAGGGCGACACTGTGTAACATCTTTCATTCTCCCTGGTGTTCAAGTTAAGTAGCGCGTGAATTTCGCTTTGACGGATCAACCCATTGAGACCCATTGTGAAGGTGCCAAGCTCCTCAACAGGAACTAAGAGTAGACAGAACGTAAGGGTAAGGAGGAACATGTCCAAAGTAGTGACAACTTACCCAGGCCCGAATGTTATGAATGCTCATTCCTATGCCACTGGCCGATTTGCTGATCAAAGCACAGTTTTTCAGGGTATCCTAGATACCTTGGAAAGAATCATCTTTCATGCAAACAGGGAAGCATGATGACATTTGAGGCAAAGGGGTACCGGCATTGAAGAGAGTGGGAGTGGCATGGGTGACATATCGCTCGGACATGAGAATGTAAGTTTTCAAGACATGCTCAATATCGTCCCCCGTGTATCCCAAGAGCGACCCGCATGATCATTTGTTGTAGCCGCTCAGCAATACGACCGTTAAGGCGGATGAGGTATGTCCGTTCCAGAGTTTTATATCCAAAACTGTCTAGCACGAGGGGGCCACCTTTGTCGGGATCAGATTTTCCTAGGGCGGTATCAGCGCACCAGCCGTGGACGACGCTGGCTGGGTCCTTGTGAGGACCAGCGTTTGCATTTAACGCGGCATATGGGTGCCTGGAAAGTAGGTACGGGTACGCAGATGGTGCCGAAGAAGTTCATCTTTCATTGTTTGGTATTCAAAAGTAAGTCTTGTGGGAGTAGCAGTTGGAAATCGCTATTATGATAAGTCAGTACAGTGAATGAAAAGAATCACCAAGGCCACGCACACTCCTGAAATTCCGCAATTCGACGGATGTTTGGATTGTTAGATGACTGTTGAACCGAACGCTGGTTTGCATCCCTATGCACCCTGTAGTTAAGCGGCTGCTTTCTACCGTTCCCGTGCCCGAATCCGACATTCCTAAAAGCAAAATCGACCCGGCGACCATGTTGTTGGCGGTTGGTGAAAGAGCTCTGCTCTCGAAAGTCATCCGCGGCCGTCCCTTTCAAGGAGGGACACCGATAGGTAAAGCGATGATCCTATCACTTTTGTCTAACAGTACGAAACGGGACCTCAAAACTTAAAACTTCAGCGGAGGGGGACAGGGAAGAGTTAGTAGGAACGGCATACATCCCATCCCAATCCAACAACCGTAGACAACAGATCTAAACTCCTCCAAATCTTCGTCAGCCCGGGACTGAACTTTGAAGTAGGAGACGCGGTCCACCCATTAGAACCAGTGGACTCCGGTGTCTCAAACAGCACTTTGCAAACTCGAGGGACAGTTTGGAACGAGATGACCAGCAGCGTTACAAATCCGACACACATATCCTTCCGGAGGCTTTTGTCGTTCGGGACAATTGTTGGTGAAGTGCAATATTTCCTGATAGACTCGGAACCATTAGAACGTGCCACACTAACAAATTATGATTGGAGACGGCCGTTGTGGATCCAGCAAAGAGCGAGGGATAAAGGGTAGCGACAAACAAGGCCCAGGTGTACAGCGATACGAAGGCTGATGTGATGAAGCAGAAGCAGAAGTGAAAGTGTTGACTGTCTGCGAGTGGCATTTACGGATCAATAACATAGTAAACCCACAGCTGCAATGTCGAATGTCGAATGGCATTGAACGGTGACGACGCAGCTGAAGGTCAGCCTGCTTTGGAAGAGACAAAGCAGAGCTTGTGAACGAAACACTCAAGGAAAGGAGCCGCCGGAAGTAGGTTGAAGCAATAAATGGACGCGACGCATTCCTGGAGAAGAATTACTGTGATAAAGACCCTTGCAATGGAAAAAAAAATAGTCAACGGGCCTAAGTCAACATCGATATACATCTGCTATGTTGTCTCTATTACCCTGATACAACTTTATCTTGGATCAATCTATCCATAAGATAATGCTGGTTCTTCAACAAAGATATGTAGGAGGTGATGTATCATCTACGCCAGATCTACGCCCAGTCAGAAGCGTCAGGACCAGGATGCGGATTCTGTTTATTGAAGGCTGTAAGTGTTTTGAAGCTGTGCCGTGCGTGTTCTTCAGAGCCACACGGACAGGGAATCTTCCGATTTTTACGGCGATGGACTCCAATAAGGATACCTTCAGAAAAGAACTTGAATTAGAAAGAGTATTACTTCCCTAAACACGTACCTTGGTAAATGAAACCGTGATCACCAGATTAGAGCTCTGCCTTGTAATTGGCCTTCGTCAAGTGAACACGTCGGGTCGTTGCATCGCCTGTAGTACATCATAAACCACGCAGGCAGCCAATCCACCAAAAATCTTACCTTTTTGGTATTCTGACTATACTTAAAGTCAGCGAGCGAATAAATCAGATTATAATCTGGATAGGCTAGCAAGCAGTTGGTAGCATAAGGAGCTAGAAGAGAAAGGACACCACTCACCTGTATATAGGAATGAACGTCGTGGTTAGAACGAGAGAGGGAACTTGGCGCCCAAACTCAAACAAGCGCTAAATCCGGACCGCACCGAGATACTACCGCGGGATCATATTTTGACATGTCCCGCTTCCTCGGTCAGACTTATCTATGAAGTTAGTTTTCATTCAATATTCTTGACCGTGTGAGATTTCCTTGGCCTTCAGCTTCAGTAAGCATCAAAACCTCTGCGTTTGTGCTTCTGCTCCATCAATTTCCTTCCGTCTCCGGCTTCGCATTGCAGATATGTGATGCCATCATCGTGGATTGTTCGACTCTTGATATCACCCTCTGCAGGCTAATGTCAGTCCTCTAATGATTTGGTCACAATTTCAGATATTTCTACACTCTAGATTGTAATGTACTCTGCCGGTTTAGTTTGCAGGCTGTTGTTTTAGAATTTGCGAAATGACTTATAAATTCGGAGCTGATTGCCGAGAAAGTTTACGGCGGTGCGCAATATTTCTCGGAAGATCCCGCAGAAGTGGCGTGGTATGGAAACCAGTAAATCCGTAAATTTGTAAATCTGTAAATTCATGAATTTGATGACATCATTATTTACAGCCTTGATATTCTTCTGCTCATCTTAACCACCAAGTCTTGAGCTTGATCATTGATCAATCTGCTCTAGACATGGATAAAACTGTATCAGTACAATGATTAGTATGGCAAACAGACAGGCCCATGCCTGAGGTGTGGTACTTGTACACTGATCAATACACTGCTAACTACTACACTGACCATACACTGACCATATACTGATCTGTAAAACCTAGATGTTCATGAGACCAAATGATACTAGCTGAAGAGTGCTGTGCATGCTTAGCACTCATAAACTACTGGGAGTGCTTTCCCGCTGGACAGTGCTGTCAGCTGCTTTTGAGATTTTAGCCAAAAATATAGGTTTTACAGATGTGACTGATACACTGACCACAATCCTAGGAAATTGCTTGCAAACACAAATTTGTACAAATTGTTATCTACTCTGCAATTCATTTAAGCCAAAGTCCTTGCAAGGGGTCTCCAAGAATACTGAGATACTTTCTGGGCATTCAAGTTATATAGTATTGAATTTGTTCAGCAATGTACTAATCTTTAAAACCTGTACTCTTAGCTATTTACCTGGGAACAGCTGGAAGCACTTTCCAGCAAAATTAATAGTCATGTAGGGTTTTGCAGATCAGTATACATACTGGCATTATCTTAGGGTACCAACAGAAAATTCATGTTGGTTGAATGTACCTAGTGTCCACAGATATTTTGCAAACTGAGGCAATGGCATGTAATAACACTGTCAACTGAGTACACTGACATTAAAGATACACTGACATTAAAGATACACTGACATTAAAGATACACTGACATTAAAGATACACTGACATAAAGATACACTGACATTAAAGTACACTGACATTACAGATACACTGACATTAAAGTACACTGACATTAAAGATACTGTAAGACCTGGGTCAAAATAGGTCTTAGGGTAGGTTTTGGTATGCGGAGGTTTATGTTGTAGCGTGCTAGGAGCAGGCTGGAGCTCGAAGGGAGCTACGAGAACCGCGACCGAGGACGGGAATGACCTAGTAGTGGTTGGAACGACGAGATGGTGACCCTTGAGGGGTTCCTAGGAGGTCCAGGGAGGTCCCTAATGCGTAGGGAGGTTCGGGACGAGTGCGGGACCGTAAGATATTGCGTAGTAGGAGTTGTACTCGCTAGAACGTCAATATAGAGTCGAGTAGGTAGTTTATGCAACGGGGTCTCGAGGGTGTAAGCTCCCGAGAAGGGATATGCCAGGGAGGGTAGGTCCCTGGGGGCTAGGTTGGAGGATGGTCGTCCTCGAGTGTGGGAGGTGGTAACGGAGAAGCAGTACGTAGTTCGACGTGAGGGGTAGCTTCGACGTTACCTAGATCGAGGTCCCGAAGCTTACGAAGTAGCTAGGGAGCTCTGGGAGGTTTGGGGAAGAGTAGCTTTACCAAGCGGATAGGCGTTGGGGAGCTTTAGTAATGTTCGAGGGAGCTCGGGGACTCACTCGGAAGGCTTAGACTTGAAGTAAAAGCGTATATTCGATCGTACCGACGATCAGAGAGACAATAGACAGAAGTAGAGAGAAACAGAGGTAGAGAAACAGAGAGGAAAGAGAAATCCGTATGGTTAGCAGGTACAAAGGGACAGGGACTGGACCTATGCAAAAGGGTGTGTGTTCAAAATATACCAAGCTGGGGCTTCGGGACATTGAGGCGTTACTTAAATAGGTACGGGAAGTGAACAAGAGAACATCTGGAGGCATGAGGTAGCTAATCGGAGGGAGGGAGGTAATCGAGATTAATACTTAAAGGGGTTATCGGCTAGAGGGCTTTCGTACGCGTGTCGGGATGAAGGACGTTTGGGTAGTGGCGTCAGAAATACTTGGGGAGGTGTCGGGTGATACTTGGGGAGGTGCGGAGGACATACAGGAGGTGGTTAGGACGTATGGCAACGTGTGATGATTACTGGGACTGGTCTGGTTGTAGCCAGGGCATGACATTACCCCCCCCTGTAACCCCTTCGCGCCCTCGCGATGGGTAGGCGCGTTTTTCTGGGCAGTCACCTGACATTCACGTGGTACCCGAAAATTTTCTTGTTGAAGTCCTTCAGATTCTTGCTTCTCCCTTTCTTCCACCGCCTCAGTTTTTACGAGTCAAACTCTTCTAACTGCGATGTCTCCCACCCCTACACGACCTTTTTCACGCACACCATCTCCATTGTTACCCCCTCTTACCGCTTTGGGGGAGGTACCTTCCCCGGCTCCTGAATCCGATGGGGAGGTCGAGGCTGATCAGCTAGCCTTTACGATCGAGTCGCCGTCTCGTCCCTAGCTTCAGCTGTTCGAAACGGTCTTCAACACTGGCAAATCGCTGTCAGCCTACTGCCAGGATGATCCTTTATGGCCTATTTTAGCGGAGGTAGCATCTCCCTGTACCAATTGTCTGAAGACCCCAGGGAAATGTAAGGTGTTGCCAAGCTCCCCTCGGTGTACGAACTGCTCGTCCAAGAAGACTTGCAGTCTGGGGAAGATCCTCCGGTTCAGATATTTCGCTCGTCGCTGTAATCAGGATCTTGCCTACAGCCGAAGATTCTTAGAGCTCCACGGAACTCCTGCCCATAAATCGACTTGGGGTATTCCACTGACTGCTTGGCGCGAATACGACTCTGCGCTTCATGCGCGTACCTCCTCCACCTCCATCCTTCTCGAGCTGAATATGTTGGACGAGCAGGACGCGGTCGATGCTGATCAGCAAGAGCTGCAGCAATTTATGACCTTGCAGCGGGACGAAGCAGCTGTTGCAGCTAAACGCAAGCGCAATCGTTCCCCTAAGCCTGTGGCTGGTCTCTCCAGCAAGAAGATTCGGTCGGATGCTCCCAAAACGGATGCTCCCAAAAAGCGTTCTCGTCGTAAATCCCCTGCAGTCGAAGTGAATGTAGAGCCTTTCCGTCGCGTTCGGTTGGTGGTTCCGCCTGTTCGCTCGGTGGCTCCTACCTCCCTTCCTGTTCCCCCTCCTTCCTCCCCTTCCTTAATGGGGGTACTCAACAGGGATCTGCCGATGCAGGGTCCCAGCGATTTGGTTCGATTGGCGGATGCGGCGGAAGTCCATCCTGGTTTGGTTCAGCAAGCCGGTTCCTCCTCCCCTGTTCGAACACCCATAAAAGGTACAGGGCAGGATCTTCTTTCCTCGACCATGCCTCCCATTCTCCGTCCTGCCCTGGTACCCCGCAATCCCGCTTCGCACCCTTATCGTGCTGAGAATCAGCGTCTTGCCGCTCGGGTTCGTTTGCTGGAGGCTCAGCTTGCAGATTCACAGCGGGAGAATTCCTCCCTGACTTCTGCTCTTCGGGATACTTCGCATGCTCTCGAATCTCGACAACGGGAGGTGGAGCAATTGAGGTCCTCCAGTCAGGAGTTCCTCCAGCGCCAGGAGGAGTATCGTCACATCATCGACCAGTTTAATACCCTGGATAGGGCTCTTTCGGGACCGTCTGACCAGGTAAGTTTGTAGGAATG